CTACCCTAAGCAACAATGCAAGCATGTTCGGGATGCGGTTTTCCCCATTGAAATGCAAAATTTTGCTTCAAGATTGGATTGCGTCGGCACCTGAACTAGTGATAGGGAGTAAAGTAGTTGAGTGTGGAGACCGCTTCACTTATCTCGGGAGTCTCATCATTGCTGATGGTCTGGTGACTGACGAAATCTCAGCACGGATACAGAAAGCTCGACTGGCTTTTGCTAACCTGCGTCACTTATGGCGCAGGCGAGATATCCGTTTGCTGAATAAAGGACGAGTGTAGAATGCAGTGATTCGCTCCGTTCTCCTATATAGCTGTGAAACATGGCCGTTAAGAGTAGAAGATGTTCGTAGGTTACTAGTACTCGATCATAGATGTTTAAGAAGCATTGCTCGTGTATCGTGGGACAACCGTATAAGCAATGCTGTCGTTAGGAAACGAGTTCTAGGTAGGGACGGCAAATCAATAGATGAGGTAATAAAGCTTCATCAGTTGAGGTGGTTGGGACATATGCTGCGTATGCCTAACCACCGACTGCCTCGACGAGCTTTGTTTTGTAGTGTAGGAATAGGTTGGAAGAAAGCTAGGGGCGGCCAAACCAAAACATGGCACAAATCCATGAAGTCATTGACAAGTGGACTGTGTCATGTCGGTAGATGTAGGCTACGTGGTTGGGGTCCGCGAGACGAAAGTCACCAGTGGTTAGAGACCTTGAATGACATGGCCCAATATCGTTTGCAATGGTGCAGGTGCATCCACTCTTTGTGTTCTCTCAAATTCTAACCTTCTGAATTCCTCATCATCTCTATCTTTCTCTTGACAAATTTATCTCACTGAATTATACTTATCGAATCATATCTTCGCTCCCTAATCTTCTCCATTACTGCTAATACTTCTATTATTGCTATCACTCTTGGATTTGAACTGACAGCTGCGTCTCTGTGCTGATATGGTATGGCAACCTGAACTGATGTACTTACGTACGAAGTTCTGCGTTGTATCTGTCTGTCATTCTACTATTATTGAATAAAAAGTTCAATATCAATTATATAACAACTTACATATGTTAAATTGAATTTCTCCAGTTAAATTACTCTTTGGAATTGGTTGACATTGAAAACGTAAATACAAACCACTTGTCAATGGATAATTAACACGGAAATTTGTATCCGAAGTACGATCAACTATACGGGGAAGATAAGCAATAAAGTGTAATGTGTATTTGTTGATAACATTTCTCAATTATAGATATGCTAAAAGACATTGTTTAAGTAAACCATTTAATAGGACTCAACAGTAACTTTGTCAATGTTCAATAATTGAAAGTAGTTGAGAGGAAATGCTGGTGTGGTGCGAGCTACTTATAAGTAGTATATGACGTGAGTGTCAATGTAATGTCTGGCAGCAGAAGATGGGGGAAGATCAAGAAAGGAAGAGTGGGAACACAATGGAATTTGTATGAAATGCATGAATAGTGACAATGGATTGATGTTTTGCAACAGGAACAGTCCAGTTCGATATGATGAACTGATATTTTGCAATTAACAATTTACGATATGGTTTTCCGATTTTACTGAGTAACTCTGTAATTTTCGTTAAATACGATCCGGTTTCACCACCTGTGTTCTTGTTCACAACACTAGGATCTAGCTTTTGAGTCAACTTGGCGAGAAAAATTTCTTCCCGTACCAAAAGAACAAGAATCGAGAGCAAAGAAATCAAATTGGTTTACATTAGCTCGTGAAAAAGGTATAGGGTACTGAAGGTCATTCCATTCAACCTCACATTTTGAACCCCAGTATGAGAGAGTTATTCATATGCCATACGGAAAGTCAAACTGCACTTGTCTGCTCAAATTTGATTGGTACTTAATGTTTACTAATTCTTGTCATGTTAATTTACTTTCCAGTAGTGTGATTTACGACATTTTCTGGAATACTTATGTTTTACTTTGATCTTCCAATTTCTTCAGCTGACGTTTATTAACAGATCGATTCGTGATCAAATATTTTTGAAATGTAATTTGCTAGTACATTATATCGTTGTGATACTCATCGTATTCTCATTGCATTGTCGATTGGTAATATTTCTGTGCTGTGGTGGTGGTGTTTGGTTCTCTGAGCTGGGTGAGCTGTGAAAAACACTACATAGGACAAAGTGGATGACCTCTTCAGCTTCGTTTACGTGAATACCAATTAGCAGTCAAACGCCACGACAACTCTTCGCTTATATCAATACACACCGACAATTATGGACACACATTCGATTGGAACAATGTGGAAATACTGGATAGGGGGAGGACAAAGAACACTAGAGAATTTTTAGAAGCTTGGCACTCAAGTCAATCGACAATCAACAAACACATCGACATTGACCCAATTTATCAACCAATCAGGAAAATCATAGGTGACACAGGATCAAGAAACAGATCAAAAGGGGGATGCAATCAAAACAAAGGTGCAAACAACCACAGGTTTAAGGTCAACAGCAACCAATCAAGATCGAGGTTAACAGAACAAGCTACAGGTCAAACGTGAAGAAATTCGAATACTTCACTTCTTCTATCTGAAGTTTGTGCTGATGATGTTGTTCAGTAGAAGAACAATGAAAGCTCCACAACCAAAACATCCTCCAGCTCAGAGAACCAAACACCACCACCACAATCATCCACCTGAGCTACAAGTCTTCTCCACAATCTCAATATTTCTGTGTATCAGTTACTTATTGGTGTAAGAACAATGAGAATATACAATTTTTGTGACCTAAGTGTATCCGAAAAGCGGTCAGTTTTAAATGAACACAACTGAAACCTACTGTGATCATAAAATTCACCTGTATTCCTACTATCCATTTGTACTTTTACCTATTAAATGTGTAGTGACGTAATCTATTTCATTTCATTGTGATGATTGACTCATAAATTGCCTTGATTGGTTCTAACACTTTCATATATAAATATTCATGTATACTAGAGAGAGAGTAAAGCAGCCTGATAACGACCTAATCGAAAACAACAATATTGATCGCTAAGATGTTGTTCTAATTTTCACAATGGGAATCTTTCATATTGTAAAACAATAGACAAATAACTTTGTGAAGCGACTACAAACTGTTAATATCTTTGGGGATGTTAAGGAATTAGTTAGGTAGACACCGAAAATAGTACTTATTGTTGTCAACACCAGGGAACTAAGAATTGACAGCAGGATTATAACAACTTATCTAAGTAGAAGCTTGATTTAGTAGTGTGGTTGGTAAATACGTTTCACAGATGATTGGGAAAAGCATTTGACAGCCGGATCTCTTTGCTTAAACACAATACAGACTGTGAACTCATTAAAAGATTAGTGTGTTGCAAATCAATTATGAAAATGCCGTTTTCAATTCGTTACTCATTACGTTGAAAGTCGACATTGTGAAAGCCAATGACAAACAGGATAGATGATATTTATTAATTTAAAAAGTATGAAGTACATGTTGGGGGATGTTAGATATCCACAACTCGCTTGGTAAATGCCCTAATTTTGGATTTCACGTTCGCGAGCATGGGCTGATCAGTTGACCTTGAGATTTCATTTCCCAACAGGGAAATCCTTGGTTGTGATTGGCTGCTGTGTATTTTAGTGTGCTAACTTTGTGACTGTCACAAGGACGTTTCTATGATGTATAAATAAACCAGATTTGTGTGCTTGATTATATTGTGCTGTCTGGGTGTTGTAGAATATACCTTCTACGCTTATCAAGACTTCTATTTTGCAGTTTGGGGATCAAGGTTAGCCTACCTGGACGCTGACTCATTGTCTCGTTTGCGTTTATCGACTAAGGTGAACTCGTAATAGCTTTAAGTGTACCTAATGACGAACCTAACACTACATTAACTAAAATGCAGTACTAAGTGTGGTCGATCGTAAACATTTTAATTGCCACAGGGTATTCATGTCAGTATATGACATTAAAGAGTAGCAGCAGATTCCTTAGAAGTAGGTCTCAGCATCCGATACATCACCAACGAAAGTACATTCGATGGAGAAGCTTTGAACGATGTGAAATCCTTCACATATTTCCATCGCAACCTTCCTAAACAAGATGTATCTGATGCAGTTGTAACGACATGGATTAACAAAGCAAGGGTAGCATTTCCTACCATTCAAGGGTATTCGGAACTCAAAACAGCTATCAGCTAACACCAAAGTCAGAACTCTCAATACAAACGTCAAGACAATTCCAGAGAATTGAGCGGAAATTTGAAGAACTGTGAAAACCACGATCCACTGTTTATTAAGAGTTGTTTATGCCAAATAATGAGGATCTGTTGGCCAGATACCATCAGTATCAACCTACTGTAGCAAAGAACAAACCAGATTCCAGTGGAGGAGGAAATTCGAGAAAAGCGCTGGAGGTGGATAGAACATACATTACCGAAACACCCTCACATGGAATCCTCAAGGTCAAAGAAATGGAGAGGTTGACCTATGAACGAAAATTGTTGAGAATTCGAAGCACAAATGAAAAGAATGAATAACAACTGGGTAGAACTGGAATGGAAGGCCCAGGACAGAGTAAGTTGGAGAACACTGGTCGGCGACCGACGCCCCATTAGGGGTGATAGGTGTAACTATATAATATCATATAACAACCAAAAAGTACCTAATAACCGGATGATTTGAATATCAACTTCAACAATGCGACGTGCACAATAACTTACCTTTGTCAGTTATATCAATACTTTTGTTTAATTGATAATCAACTACTGTCCAAGTAGGTTTTTCACAATATTTAGCATCAGGAGTAAAACCGCCAACAATGAAATCCCATACTGGCGGTTCTTTTCCCTCACCAACACTATCATCATCATCCTCACCCACGGATTCAATTGGTTCCGCTGCTTCAGCAAGACCTAATTCCGTTCTACTACCATCATTCATTGGTTGAACACGTATTATTGTTTGAATACGTTTCACTTCAACACCATCTCGATCACGAACCACTAATCCTTCATAGATACCTTCATGTTGTTCAGCTGCAGCCCAAATATTCAAATTTGTTTTATCTTGTGAAGTACCTTCAGGTAGAGTTGTTGACTCGGAATCCGGTGGTATTGCTTCATCAGCTTTCTTTTCTTGTATCGTCTCAGGTAATGGTCCAATTTTCTTCCATGTGACAGTAATATCTTCTTTGCCTGGTTTTGTTCGTACTTGTACAACATGCGGTTGCATAAATGGAATGGTTATTTCAGCTGGAGGATCAATAATATCCTCTGGGGTAACTGAAATCAAGAAATTAATTGGCTTGATTATTTAAAAAGCGGAAAAGTATTCAAGTGGTGACAGTATATTTTACGTACAACCATATAATATCATTGAAATTGATCGATTTATGGTTTAAAAAAAATGTGTAACTTAACAATCTTCACAACAACCCCGTAATGCAAATTACCTGTGCTCACTAATGACTAGCTTCGTGAGGAATCTTCTCCAAGTTCCTCTAGTGGGAACACGTGACCAGTCAAGTTCAACCTGTTTGGGTGTAACTACAGTAACTAACGACTGCCTCGACGAGCTTTATTTTGTGGTGTAGGAGTAGGTTGGCAGAAAGTTAGGGGCGGCCAGAACAAAACATGGCACAAATCCATGAAGTCAGTGACAAGTGGACTGAGTCATGTTGGTAGATGTAGACTACCTGGTTATGGTCCGCGAGATGATAATAACCTATGGTTAGAGACCTTGAATGAAATGGCCCAAAATCATTTGCGATGGCGCCAGTGCATCCATTCGTTGTGCTCTCTTAAATCCAAATCTTCTGGATTCGTCAGCACCTCTACCTTTGTCTTTCTAACTTACTTACTTCTTGAATAATATCTTCAAACCCTAATCTTCTTCATTACCATTAATACCTCTACTATCTTTATCACTGTGGGATTTGATTTGACATTTGTGTCTCTGTGCTCATGTGGTATGGCAACACGAACGGATGTACATACGTACGAAGTTCTAAGTTACAACTGACTGACTTATCATACCCCTCTACAGTCAGCAGTACTACTTCGCCTTTAGACCTTGAGTAGCTGCTTTTAGTCTTATGATTCTCCGATCGACCTACCAAGCATGGTAGAACCTACAGGAACATATTTCCCAACCAATACAGCTCGTCTGGGTCATCATAGCAGGCGAGCCCGACCACCACGTCAAGGTAACAGCTACAGTCAGATGAAACAAACCTGAAACGATCAATGCCTAAACTTTCATGATATTTGCCCTATAAGTTATAAATATGAGTTTGTGAAAGTTCTTTACCACACTGCCAAAAGATTATGCTCACGAAAAAGTGCAAACTCTTAAGCTTTTATAAATAAACATAGTAAGGCGCGGATCGGTAAAATTAGGGCAGTACTTCTATAATTGAACAACATCCGGAACTCAAAACAACTGTCTGTCAATCAACACCAAAAGCAGAATTTTCACTACAAATGTCAAGACGGTTTTACTGCATGGAGCGGAAACTTGGCGAACTACCAAAGCCATCATCCAGAAGATACAAGTGTGTTGCCTGAGCAAAATACTTCAGATCCGTTCGTCAGACACCATTAGCAACAACCTACTATCGGAAAGAGCAAATCAGATCCCAGTGGACGAGAGAATCGGGAAGAAACGGTGGATGTGGATTATGCTCTCGTAATGACTACGAAAACGTATTTTTTTAAAAACAAACAAACTTACTTTCATCTGCTTCTGTAGCTATAATAACTGGTGCTATCATCTCAGTCCATTGAGGTGTATAAACTGGATCTTTCCCAACAAAATAGCCAGTAATTGAATCATTCCCCGATTTAATTGTTTCATATGGTATTGGAAGTTGAACAGTGAATGCACCACGTGCAGTATCCGTGATCTCGATTTTCGTATCAATTGGAGTTCCATTAATCGCATACCAAATTGTATGATGTGTATCTAAAATTTCAGGCTGAAAATAACCAATTTTAGAAGTGTTAGGATATTCATCCAATATCCTAAGAGAATTATTGGTCAATTCCTATTGGTTAATTTCTACTGGTCAATTTTATGATCGTCCTAGATATCAATGTCACGTGCTCCCTTGTTGTTCCTTATTGGTTATCCTGACCATCAATGTCATTCCAAATGTTTCTTCCTATTGGTCGCCTTAACTGTCAATGTCACCGACTTCGATGCTGTTTCCTATTCAACCTAAATGTATAAATACGCATTATCTGTAACGTTCTATGACCACGACCAGGACTAGGGCTCGGTCGCGGATCCCCAGTCCGGCATCCTGATTCTCTTCTGGTTTCGGACCTCGTACTCTCCGGATGCTTGTAGAATACAGGTTCTACTTCATATCAAGTATTCTTATTTTTACTTATTATGGGGGGGGGGGGGTAACTGGGATAATTGTATTTGAGTAGGATGTCGTGTCGCTCTCGTTTTCTGACTATGTAAACTCTCAACAGTTCAAGTATATCAAGTTGACATGTTTACGTGCAGGCGTAACAAAAAGAAAGATATATTTTTGTAGGTTTTAGGCAACACAAGAATTCTCACAAAAAGTCAATTTTGCAGTCATCCCTGCCCCATACGGGAACGTACATGTTGTCTAGTTTGGTCTGCGGACAACTGGACGTCCAAAAAGCACGCACACGAGCAGTGGCCCCCGCCCGAGTACTTATGAATCAACTTGATCCTTCCAACTAGTCCACTAGCCATAGTTCCCAATCGGCAAGGCGGGTTTTCCCTGGTAGACCTGACGCCCCGAAACGGATTACCGAGCCACCCAGCAGTGCACTAAACAGCAGCCGTTCCAATCGTCTGACCTCCAACTGCCTTGCGCCAATACAATCGGCCGGAGCCCTCAGACCCTACATGAAGCTGAAGATCAAGTTTGTCCCACAAGGTCAGTCGGAACGTACACCCTCCCATGGGGCTCCATTTATGCACGTCACATAATATACCCATTCAATTAGATGATGAGACATTTGGCTACCTTAAGAGAGTCATAATTACTCCCGACAATAGTACCAGTCTTTAGGAATGATAACTGAAATTCGTAGACAAGGCTGAGTATTGATTTTACTGCAACAGCTTTCATACTACACATTATTAACCGGGATTCGGAGCATGTGGAAAACATTCTTGCAAGTTGTCAGCTTTTCATGGTTTTACAAAAACCTGCATATAGCAAATGACTACTGACAGGATCAACCAGTTTATTCACAATTCGATAAATTAACCCTCTATTGTCAAAGGTAATTTTACACCGATTTTCAGGAAAATCAAAGGAGACTGCACACATGTGTGCATGTCAACGTGAACAGTTCGGTTCAATCCTGTGGTTCAACCACACAGTACCTGACATCCTGGTGGAACATTCACATCATTTATATACACTAGTACATATGTTTAGTGATTGCTTCCGATCCATGATCGATATGCACAGCATGAGAATAGGCCAATTCGACTCATCCCACCTACATGACTGTCAAACTCATTATTATTAGCAATGGTGATATGCAATACAGCACCCCAATGACAAAAACCCTCGAGAATGTTGCAAAACAACCACCTGTATCAATGAAATCGGTCAACCAGCAAACCAAGACAGACAGACAAATAAAACGCAGAACTTCGTACATGAGTACATCAGTTCAGGTTGCCATACCACGTCAGCACAGAGACGTTTACTGTCAGTTCAAATCCAAGAGTGATAGCGATAGTAGAATTATTAGCAGCAATGGAGAAGATTAGGGAGTGAAGATATAATTCAAAAAGTATGATTCAGGCAAGCCCAACCATCACATCAAGGTAGCAGCTACAGTCGGGACCCAAAGCAGTAATGTCACACTATCGAAAATGTTCATCACAATGAATCTCTGGTCTCATAGGAAACCTGCAGCTTTATATAGCAATATATTTTATGGTGTCCACATCGTATGGAACAGGATAGCAAGAGATGTAGCCTAGCTTGATGCTCAAATACTCTTAATACACTTTGTCTCATGTCGGGTAATGATTTTTTCGTAATACCGAAATTTCCATTTTCCGACCATATGAGACCTGAATTAGGGGGAAGTCTCCCTAAAATCAATCGGTCTATCCAGACAGACATGTAATACTTTATGCCTGATAAACATTGTACTATTTATCTCTCTCTGTATATGAGCTAAAAAATTGGTCCACAGATTATATATATATATATATATATATATGTAGCATTGTAAACTAGTATTCATGATTTGGTTCTTGTACAGGTAGGTTATTTCTCCCATGTGGGAAATTTCTGATAGCTTCATACTTCTATTTTACAGCTGTTGTCTAAATTAGTTACATATATGCTTCATAGTTCGACAAGCCCTCAAATAGGACCCTCAAATTAAAAGGAAAAGAGGAAGACCAAGGAACACATTACGTCGAGAAATAGTGACAGAGAGAGATATGAGAAGAATGAATAAACATTGGACAGAACTGGAAAGGGAAGCCCAGGACAGACAGAGTTGGTTGGAGAAAACTAGTGGGCGGCCTATGCTCCATTGTGGATGGTAACAGGCGTAAGTAAGTAAGTAAGTAAGTAAGTAAGCATGCTTCATATTTCATAGGTTTAGGTTTTCAATGTATATTATTACATCAACAAACACTTTAACACATTGAAAACGTCAATCAATCATTGTTAAACTACTACCATTAGAAACGTGCAAGCACTGAAAGACGACCATTTCGTCCAGATATGGGACTCATCAGTGGCAGTTCGCATCCACGACTCCCGCACCTCGCAGAAGTCGAACTCAGGGCCTTCGGCCTTGAGTTGAGGGTTCGTACCTATGGGGTCACGGATGCGTATTGCTGAAGAATGCGATATTTGGACGAAACGACCGTCCAGTACCAATCAAATGACTAATATTCAGACCGGAAATAAAACATACATTTCTTCAGGAATTACAACGACAAGGGATAATTTTAAACCAATTAGCACTAACCACATACTTTGAGCCCCCCGAAATGCCCTGACACAGTCGACAGTATGGAGAGTCAGCTTACTCTCAAAATGCGATCACAACCAGGGGTGTATAGTCACTGTCGAAGAAGTTCTACTCACTGTTCTCTGATGGCAAGGGTTTTGTTTACCGAATTACGAGAACAGAAAGCGAACGTCCGGTATAAGTTTAAGCCGAATTGGTAGGTATAGAGGATTCATCTAGGAGAGTTGAAAAACTAATAGTGATGGACAGAATGGTGTATGAACCCATTATCATCAGTCACCAACTACCATGGAATTGTATCCCCTGACATAACTGCATCAGCTTGCGAATCAGACTAACTGAGATCGATTTTTAACAAAGAACTACCTACCTACCTGAATATCTATTTACATGAGAAATGAAATTTCTTCATTTTAGCACAATAAACATTACAATTTGCCCATTGTTCGCACACTTACTTTCACTTGACCACTGATCAGTGTTATTTGTGAATTGTCAGGATCTTGTTTGATTTCATAAACTGTCAGCACAGGTGAATCAATTACTGACGGTACAGGTAATGGGAATTTTCGATTGATTTCATCATCTTCCGGTACTTCAGGTGCTGAGACAACATCTATACAAGATGATTAAAAGATAGAGGGAGGAAAAATAATGAAATAATGAAGACATGGCCAGTGGAGTTCAACCCTGTCGGGCGTAGGTTCACTTACTTACTTACTTACGCCTGTTACCCCAATCGAGCATAGGCCATCCGCCAGTTTTCTCCAACCAACTCTGTCCCGGGCTTCCCTCTCCAGTTCTGTCCGATGTTTTTTCATTCCCCTCATATCTTTCTCTATTTCTCGGCGTAATGTGTTCTTTGGCCTTCCTCTTTTCCTTTAGCCTTGAGGGGTCTATATGAGGGCTTGTCTTGTGACGCAGTTGGGTACTTTCAGTAGTGTGTGTCCGATCCACTTCCACCGCTTCTTCCTGATTTCCTCCTCCACTGGAATTTGGTTTGTTCTCTGCCACAGTTCGTTGTTGCTGATGGTGTCTGGTCAACGAATACAAAGTATTTTGCGTAGACAACTTTTCATGAATTTTTGTATCTTCTGGATGATGGCTTTTGTAGTTCTCCAAGTTTCCACTCCATACAGTAGAACTGTCTTCACATTTGCATTGAAAATCGTGATTTTGGTTTTGGTTGAAAGTTGTTTGGAGTTCCAGATATTTTTCAATTGTAGAAATGGAGCCTTTGATTTGCCAGTCCGCGCCCACACATCTGCATCGGATCCACCTAGGTTGTCGATGATGCTGCCAGGATAAGTAAAGGTGTTAACGTCCTCCAAAGGATATCCATCAAGAGTGATTTGGTTGGTGTAGACAGTAACTACCAAAGATAAATGGATGAGGTAGCGCAAAATCCTTAGATTGGTTAAGGTAAGGCATTCACACCGTTGGATGCCACCGGCTCAGTGGTCCGGAAGTTAAGTGTTCGTGTACAAGACCGAAGGTTCTGGGTTCGAGTCCTGATGGTAGTAGGAGTCATGGATGTGAACTGCTACTGATGAGTCCCATTACACGATGAAACACCATTCAGTGCTTCCTACTGGTGGTCTAATATAGAATCAGGCATGATTTCAAGGTAAGCCCACCATCTTCATAACAATCTGAATGAAAAATAACTCATAATTAATGGAAAGAACTAGTAAGTTTAAAACAATACTTTTTTGATTGAAAGGTTCACGTTAACAATGTTGCCTTCATATTTGATATGAAGCCTCATCCTAAAATTACTCATTCCATTTATTCGTTCATAAGTAACCATAAATTATTAGCACTAAAAGATGAGAATTATCATTTCAAATCTCAAAGTACTAAAGATGGTAACGCTAATGAAGAGGATCTGTGTTCAAAGATATGATTCAGGAAGTATGACAGACAGATAGATACAACGCAGAACTTTGTACGTAGGTTCAGGTTTCCATACCACATCAGCACAGCGACGCAACTGTCAGTTTAAATCCAAGAGTGATAGCGACTGTAGAAGTATTAGCAGTAATGGAGAAGAAGTATGATTCAGTGAAGTGAATGCTAAAAGACAAACTCAAAGTCCTGAGCAATTCAGAAGATTAGAATTCGAGAAAGGACAAAGACTGAATGCATTTTCGCCGTTGCAAGCGAGCCATATCATCCAGGGTCTTAACCATCGGTTACTGTTGTCGCACGAACCCCGACTAGGTAGTCCGCACCTATCAACATCACTCAGTCCAGTTGTCAGTGAATTCATGGATTTCTGCCATATTTTGGTTTGGTCGCCCCTAGCTTTCGTCCAACCTGTTCCTACACTACAAAACAAAGCTCGACGGGGCAGTCAGTGGTTGGGAATACGTAACACATGTCCCACACAACCTCAAATAATGAAGATTCACTACTTTATCAGTTGATTTGCCATCGCAATCTAGTACCCTCCTCCTTACATCAGTATTACTGACTTGGTGGTCTCAGGATATATGCGTATGCTTCTCAGACACCAATGATTGGATACGAATATCCTCGCTTCTTAGTGACCATGCTTCACACCTGTAAAGTAGGACGGAGCGAACTACTGTGCAATAGACTTGTCCTTTTGTTATCAAACGGATATCCCGCCCACCATGTAAGTGAAGCATGCTGGCGAAAATAAGTCAAACATTAAAAATCCTTGCAGTCAGTCAGTCAGATGCAACGTAGAACTTCGTACGTACGTAATTACATCAGTTCATGTCGCCAAACCACATTATTAGCACAGAGATGTAATTGTCAATTCAAATCCAATAGTAGAAGAGGTAGTAAAGGTATTAAGAGCAATTGGAGAGGTTAGGATTAGAAGATATTATTCAAGAAGTATGATTCAGTGAGATAAGTTTATGAGGTCAAAACTAGAGGTGTTGGAGAATCTAGAAGATTTGGATTTGAGAGAACACAAAGAATGAATGCACCGGCGCCATCGCAAACGGTTTTGACCACGTCATTCAGGGTATCTGACCATCGATTATTATGATCCCGCGGACCCCAACCAGGTAGTCGACAACGACTGACATGGCTCAGTCCACTTGTCAATGACTTCATGGATTTCTGCCATGTTTTGGTTTGGCCGCCCTTAGCTTTCTTCCAACCTATTCCTACACTACAAAACAAAGCTCGTCGAGGCAGTCGGTGGTTAAGCATACGCAACACATGTCCCAACCACCTCAACTGATGAAGTTTCACCACTTCATCTATTGATCTGCCATTCTTACATAGGACGCGTTTCCTAATAACAGCGTTGCTCACTCTGGTGTCCCACGACATACGAGCAATGCTTCGAAAACACCTATGATCGAAAACCAGTAATCTACGAATATCTTCTACTCTGACTGGTCATGTTTCGCAGTACACTCGTCCTTTAGTCAGCAAACGGATATCTCGCCTACTCCATAAGTGACGCAGATTGGCAAAAACCAATCGAGCTTTCTGTATCCGTGCTGAGATTTCGTCAGTCACCAGGCCATTGGCACTGATGAGACTCCCAAGATAAGTGAAGCGGTCTACACGTTCGACTACTTCACTCCCTATCACTAGTTCAGGTTCCGATGAAACCCAATCTTGAAGCAACATTTTGCATTTCGAGGGTGAGAACCATATCCCGAGCACACTTGCATTGTTGCTTAGGGTAATCATAAGACTCTGCACTCTAATCCTTTGCGGAGATTTTGAAACTCTCAAGATCAGTAAATTCATATTTACATACATTCTATCAAATATATATATCTACAATATTTCTTTTCTCTTAAATCTCCGAAAATTTCAATGACTTACTAGGATCAGTAACTATAACATAAAATCTTTCCTGCACTTCAGATCCAATGCCTTTTGCATGACACACATATTCACCAGCATCTTCAGGTTTAGAAAATTTAATTTGTAACAAAGTTTCCGATTGATATGTAGTCACATTTCCTTTACTGCTGCTGGTAGTCGCGGTAGCATATTGATCAGGTTTAATTAAATATTGTCGTGTAATAATTGGTTGACTGGCATATTCATTATTTGGCGTAATCCATTCGTGTGTAACTAGACCACCACGATAAGATGTAGCTTTACAAATTAAATTAATTGGTTCACGTAGTTTCACAATAACTCGTCGGGATTTAGTATCGATTGTAACAGCTATAATTAAGAGACATATGAAAAAATATATATACATATATAGTGTATATAGATTATCATGATAGAATACAATTTTTCATTTTAAAATGTATGTTACACCTGCACGTAAACACATCAACTTGATATACTTGAACTATGGAGAGTTTACCTAGTCGGAAAACGAGAGCGAGAATCGAGGATCCGTTAACAGGACATGCTGCTCAAATCCGATTATCCCAACCACCATATCGAGTAAAAGAAGACAAGACTTGATATGAAGTAGAACCTGTATTCTACAAGCATCCAGAAAGTACGAGGCCCCAGTCCAGAAGAGAATCAGGATCCCGGACTAGTGATCCGTGTCTGGATCATAAAACGTTACAGATGATGCGTATTTATACATTTTGGTCGAATAGGAAACAGCATCGAAGTGTGTGATATTGACAGTTAAGACGACCAATAGGAAGTAACATTTGAAGTGACATTGATAGTCAGGACAACCAATAAGAAACAACATTGGAGTATGTGACATTGATATCTACTAGGACGACCATAAAATTGACCAGTAGGAATTAACCAATATGAATTGACCAATAATTCTCTTAGGATATTGGATGAATATCCTATCCTGAGGTTGATCAGAGTTGGATGCCAGCTGGCTCAGTGGTTCAGAGATTAGGCGTTCACTGGCGCAGGACCGGAGGTCCTGGGTACGAATCCTGCGAGTAGTAGGAGTCATGGATGAGTACTGCCACTGATGAGTCCCATACCAGGATGAGAGGGTCGCACTTTCAGTGCTTCTAATGGTAACCTAACAATGAATGGCTCATGAAAATGAACAGAGTTCGACATTAACATCGTTGGATGCCAACCGGCTCACTGGTCTAGAGGTTAAGTGTTCACCAGTGCGAGACTGGAGGTCCTATGTTCGAGTCCTGCCAGTTGCAGGAGTCGAGGATGAGTCCCATGCCAGAACGAAACGACCGTCTTCCGGTTCTTCCAGGTTTTTTTATAACGTTTGCCTAACAATGACTGATTCATGACTTCAGTATTAAAATGTATCGTTTGTAAAAATTTCATTTGACAGGATCAAATAACTTATCCGAACATTAAGTACTTTGTTATTTCAGTAAAAAATATATTTGACTAAAATATTTCGAAAAGGTTTATTAAGTATTTCAGACAGTGATCATCGTATCACAAAGAAATGACAAGCCTGAGTGATCAAACTAGATAGTGTAAATCTTGATGTTGCAGTACTGACATTAGATATTATGATATGAAATTGTTAGTAGTTAAGAAGACGTCTTTATCATTTTTTTTCGCTAATCAGTTCTTTCTGAATAACATTAAGTAAATTTAACACTTTGAGTTAAGTTGGTACAAATAGTTTGAAATATACAAGTTAATTTTAATGTTTATCCGTTTATAACCAGTTCAGTTAAACCGTGTCGGGAGTAGGCAGCTGACCACTGAAGACAATGGCTGACGTCACCTAATAGCTTGGGTTAATTGAATTTAGGCGCAAACACCGTTTAAAGCCGCCGGCTGAGTGGTCTAGAGGTTTAGCGTTCACCCTCGAGGCCAAATGTCCAGGTTTCGATTCCCGCGTGAGGAAGTCATGGATGTACATTACTGATAAGTCCCACACTGGGACGAAACTTCGGTCCAGTGCTTCCAGGTTTCTAATGGTAGTCTAACAATGATTGGTTTATGGTTTCAATAAAACACATCCATTTATATCGACTAGACAACCAACACAAAATTTTGACTCAAATGACTCAAATTTACGGAAGATAGATTAGTCACTTTGTATCACCAACTGTTAAATTATGTAACAGACATTCGAATCCTACATAAAACAACAGTTTTCTGACGATTGCTGTTTAAACACACAAAGTTTGGTTTAAAAGACTCAAATCAATCGCCTTACACCGTTAGCTGAAATCGTCTTCACGAAGTACGAACAGATTTAGTTCTTATTCTTTGTCATCTTCAAAAAAAAATGATGAAAAGCTAGATGGCGAACACAGAATTTATACTGAAGTTTGATTATGTGAGCTTTCATTGTTCCCCTGAAGTTTGTGTGTTGACAATTTTTTTCAGAAGAGCGATCAACGCTCTGCAACCAAAATATCCAAATTAGAAAATGAAACTCCTTGATAATCGTGTACCTAAGCTAAACATTATCATCATATCAAGATGATAGAATTTTAGGTGGATTATGATCTGGACACTTATGACAGAACAAACATTAGAAATATTTTAATGAACTTAAAAGGTAGATCTAATGCAGATGTGAAGGCGCTGATCGACAAAGCAAGGGCATCATTTCTACAAATGAACAATATCTCCAACTCATAACAACTATCAATCAACACGAAAGTCAGAATTTTCAACAGAAATGTTAAGACAGTTCTACTGTATTAGGCGGAAACTTGACGAACTATCATAGCTATCATCCACAAGATACAAGTATTTTTTTAACAGCTATCTGCGCAAAATACTTCGGATCCGTTGACCAGACCTTATCAGCAATAACCTAATGTTGGAGAGAGCAAACCAGATTCAAGTGGAGGAATAAATCATGAAGAAACTCTAGAAATGGATAGGACACACATTGAGGAGACCACCCAACTGCGTCACAAATCAAACCCTCAATCGAAATCCTCAAGGTCAAAGGAAAAGAGGAAAACTAATGGACATATTACGCTGGGAAACGTAGACAGACATGATAAGAATGAACAACAGCAGTTGGACAACAACTGAACAGAAAGGCCTAAGACAGAGTAGGTTGGCGAATGCTAGTCGACAAAATATGCTCATTTAGGGGCAGCAGGTGTAAATAAGTAAGTAAGTAATAATACCTTTTGCATATGATCATTCAACTAACCTTTTTGACATGAATCTAAACGTTTCCCACTATAGATATCATAAATATATTCACCTTTGGGACATCTAAAAAAAGTATTAGAAAAATGAAAGTTTTTTTGTTTTAAAAAGTTGAAAAAAACAACTTATTTTTCAAGTAAAACCTTCAAAAAAAGTCATATTCTCTGTAAGATCTATTTTTTGAAGGTTTTGTTTGTGAAAATCCCCCTCCATATATAACATTTGTAATTTGTCCTTATTGAGATTCAATAAGTTGTACATTTTTTGTCAATCTGTTCGATTTCATTTTTGAGATGATAATATTTGTATTTTAGATTATAGCTTCTATTTCTTTTTTTGTCTTCACTGAGTTTCTATTGTTTCTTTTTGAACTGTATTTATGTTGTTTAAGCTGATACTTATTAGTCATGGAGACAGCCATGATGATTTGTTCCTCTTTTGATTGTGTCGATTGCTTGCTTTGACTGGAATTGTGCACTTTGATTGTGAATTGAAACACTCTTTCAGAATAGGAAACACTCTGTGTTATAAAGCAACCAAATATGATCTGTCGAGCGAATCTGATCTATCCAGGAGGAATGGAATATCAGTTATTTGTTGCTGTTGATTTGAATAACTGAACAATTGTTGTTGGAATAACTGAGTGGTAATATTTGTTTAGTTAATGATATCTACTAATATTTATGCAGAATATTAGAACCGTTATTGACTCAAATCACTTGTTTTGCATTTAAACTGGGCAATAGCGCGTATCTAACCTACCCAGACAGTTTTTCCTCAATCCAAATCTCAGTTTAGATCCTACATTCAATACATGGTACATGCATATAAGTTAGAAATTTCAAAAATGGCACTAACTACCAAAGACAAATGGGTGAGTTCGAGCAAAATCCCTAGATCAATCAGAGTTAGACATTAACACCGTTGGATGCAGGCCGGTTGGTCCGATGGTTAAGCGTTCGCGCACAATATCGAAGGTCCTGGGTTCGAGTCCTGTGGGGTGCAGGGGTCGTGGATGCTCACTGCTGATGAGTCCCACACCAGGACGAAACGGCTGTCTTTCAGTACTCCCAGGTTGCTAATGGTAGTGGTCTAACAATGATTGATTGATTGATGATTTCAAATGTGTAATAACTGTTTTAAGTTAACACTAATCACTACTGAGTTGTACCCAATAAATAATTGGTTAGTCTTTCAAAACTGATTATTATTGATTACTATTACAATGAAACTAATTATTTTAATAACCGAAACTTATGATACCCACCACTCGTATGTTATGTTAGTTAATTGAATAAAATAGACATTGAAATCATAAGCCCAGATTTAGTAATAAATAACACTTGTCAATAAGACTTATCTTCAAATAAAACGTAAATAATGTTGTATAATGAATTCGAGTCATGCTGTCTGTGAAGCAAACAAACAGACACATTGAGATTTGATCAATACATATGATTGAATGAACTCGAATGATTTAACAGGACGATATGAACAATTTATTATCGAATTCTTAGTTGTTACTGGTGCACTGGTTCGATCCGCCAGTAAGAGTAGAACATATTCGTCGGTTATTGGTTTTCGATCATAGGTGTCTTCGAAGCATTGCTCGTATATCGTGGGACACCCGAGTGAGCAACGCTGTTATTAGGAATCGGGTGCTAGGTAAGAATGGCAAATCAATAGACGCAGTAGTGACACTTCATCAGTTGAGGTGGTTGGGACACGTGTTGCGTATGCCTAACCACCGACTGCCTCGACGAGCTTTGTTTTGTAGTGTAGGAGTAGGTTGGAAGAAAGTTAGGGGCGGCCAAACCAAAACATGGCACAAGTCCATGAAGTCATTGACGAGTGGACTTAGCCATGTCGGTAGTTGTCGACTACCTGGTCGGGGTCCGCGAGATGATAGTAATCAATGGTTAGAGACCCTGAATGACATGGCTCAAAACCGTTTGCAATGGCGCGGGTGCATTTATTCGTAGTGTTCTCTCAAATCCTAATCTTCTGAATTCTTCAACTCATCTAGTTTTGACTTTCTAAACTTATCTCACTGAATCATACTTCTTGAATAATATCTTCTCGTTCTAACCCCTCCGATTCCTTTAATAACTTTACTAACTCTACTACTATTATGGGATTTGAATTGACAATTATATCTCTGTGTTGATATGGTGGTCTGGCAACATGAACTGATGCACATACGTACGAAGTTCTACGTTGCATCTGACTGACTGAGTTGTTACTGAATCTAAGATTGTGTTTCAACTCCGTCTGGAGCTCCTCTGGGGTTAGTGCTGGGTCCCAAGCCCAGATGTAGGAGGAGGAGCGTTGGGCGACTCAATCTCGTAGAAAACTAACTCTCTATAAAACAACGCCAACCAGAAAATGGGACAGTTTTTAAGCCTCAGAAAGGTTATCCATTAACTTGAAACTGACAAACATGAATTATTGACAAATGTTAACTAGAACAACACAGATCATAAGCGAACAATAATTGTTGTTTTCGATTAGATCGTCATTAAGCTGCTTTACTCTCTCTAATATCCATTATTATATTTGTATATGAAACTGTTAAACCAGTCAAGACAATTAATGAGTAAATAATTACAAACTGAAATGAAATAGAGATCACGTCACTTCACCTCTAATAGGCAAAAGTACAAGTTGATAGTAGGCAGATAGAGGTGTACTGATAGTAGTAAGAATAATAAAATACGATAACAAAAGTTTTATCATTAGTTGGTCAAATGTGGATAAACAAACTTAAATAATCATCGAAAACACCAAAACCATTACGTAATAAGCAAATGTGTAAAGATAAAAAAGTATAATGTCAATCGTTAGTTACGTCATATCAGGCCACGGAAGAGATAGGGGTGTCACCAATTTCTTCTGAACACATAAATTGGGTGTGAATGTACGAATTCCTATGGCTTCTCCTATATGTGTAGGAGACGGGATCGAACTCCGTTGGGAAATGATGGAGGTATACGATAGATCACCCGAAAAGATCTAGACTTATCTACAATATGACCACTATCAACCAGGTGTGCTAAGATAGAACTGCGTATTGTTTTTTAACTGGCCCTTCATAAACCATGCTGGGAGATGTTCACTCATTCGTTGGTTAAGTTGCCTGGTAGTACGCCCGATATAGCTATCTCCACAGGAGCAGCTGAATTTGTAAATGCAGTAGCTGTCATAAAACTTATTTCTAATAAAATCATTTCGAAATTCTTATTATTCAATACTTTGATTGAACTGTTCAAGACAACCGCAAACTCATTTCTTACGCATATACATGTTCAGTCTAAATGAGATTAATATCTGACTTAATACAATTTTGATCAAAGCAAGATATTTCAAAAAAAGTTTTCATCCTATGTAGACTTCGTATATACGAGAGACATGCTGGTCTGAATCCAGGTAGAGTTTCAGTTGAGACTGGTTATATATTTGTATACTTCATTGTCTAGTAGTCCCATGTTTTAAGTGATAACCCAAATAAAAGTCAATCTGTGACGAGTACCATTTATAATTTAGCTGATTTTCAGGCAAATTTTCAGGCAAACAAATGGAAAGTAAGTTTGTGTAGAAAATTCATAATATGTGACCTTCATGTGTAAAATTATTTTACCGAAATCCCATAACTTACTCGTCACATTTAGCACCTAAACATCCTCCACATTTCACATCTTCACCAAGAGGTTCTAGACGAATAACTGTTTGTTTTGATAGGTCAGTACAACCCTAAACAAAATAGATATATATAATTCAAAACAAAGAATACAATTTGAAAGGTAAAAATTGAAAACATTGATATGATGGAGAAAACTTGTAGCTCAGGTGGATGATTGTGGTGGTGTTTCGTTCTCTGAGCTGGTTGTTTTGGTTGTGGAGCTTTCATTGTTCTTCTACTGAACAACAACATTATCAGCACAAACTTCTATTTGAAGTTTGTGCTGATGATGTTGTTCAGCAGAAGAACAATGAAAGCTCCACAATCAAAACAACCAGCTCAAAGAACGAAACACCACCACCATTGAAAACATTGTTTGATAAAACATTATCGTATGAATCTATCAACCTTTTTAGCATAAATGATACTTTAGGTCAATGTTAAATCAACTAAATGTGTATTGATTTTTTCGGTGAGTGATTTTTGATTCTAAATTGAACATTGAATGCGATGGATTAAAACTTTGAAATAGCTGTTCGATTGATTGAAATTTTACTAACCGAAATTTATAGAGAAATAACTGACGAAATGTAGATGTGCACATTTGAAATCATCAATCAATCATTGTTAGACTAGTATTAGAAACCTAGAAGTACTGGGCAGACGTTTCGTCCTGGTATGCGCACTGCCACTGATGAGTCCCACATCAGGACGAAACAGCCGTCTTTCAGTGCTTCTTCCAGGTTTCTAATGGTGGTGGTCTAACAATGATTGATTGATTAATGATTTCAAATGTGTAAAAAAAACACCACTCTCCATGATAAGTGTAGATAGATTCTAGTGGGTAATAAATTTCAATAAAACAAATATTCAGTTCGCTTCGATTAACTACTGGTTATCCAGCTAATAAAATCGATTTTTTTCTAACTGAAAAATATTTCTTTGGCTGAATCATTTTAAGAAGCTGTTTCTAGTCAACTTTATACAATTATTTGATGAGATGGGGGATAAAATTTGTAGCTCAGGTGGATGATTGTGGTGGTGGTGTTTCGTTCTCTGAGCTGGATGTTTTGGTTGTGAAGCTTTCAGTGTTCTTCTGAACAACATCATCATCAGCACAAACTTCTCTATCTGAAGTTTGTGCTGATGATGATGTTGTTCAGTAGAAGAACAATGAAAGCTCCACAACTAAAACATCCAGTTCATAAAACGAAACGTCACCACAATTAATTGGTTCAGTGGTCTCCTACTACTACTGTTGTGCACGCTACTTATAAGTAGTATATGACGCCAGTGTCAACGTAATGTCTGGCAGCAGAAGATGGGGGAAGATCAAGAAAGGAAGACTTAGAAAACAATGGAATTTGTATGAAACGCATGAATAGTGAAATGTCAGACAATGGATTGATGATGGATTGAAGATTTGCAAATTAACGGTTACGATTTTCCTGAGTAACTCTGTAATTTTCGTTAAATACAGTTTGGTTGCCCTCACCTGTGTTCTCCTTCACTACACTACTATTACTACTATTCGTCCACTAGGGTGTCAAGTACCTGTGTGGTTGCACCATGGGTCTGGGCCAAACTGTTCACATTGAAGTGTTAATACATGGACAATCTCCTTGGTTCTCCCTATAAATCAATCTCAAATTACCCCTGTCATTCTTTTTGTGTTCATAAAACATTTTATTCAGTCGATCGTCTATAAACTTACTGAGAACTTCTCTACATTACACTTTGTGTATAATATACGGATACTATTGTTCTAACTGACTTCATCTTTTTATTTTTATAAGTAGCTTCGGAGTTTGAAATATGCGGAAAAATTTCTTAATCCGTTGATTGTCAAAAGTAAATTAATTATTTTTTACGTTTCATTTATTATTACGTAACCTTGTGTTTTCGTGACTACGTAACTCTGAGTGTCATTCAATTTTTCCGAGAATTTTCATACGGATGCGGTGACACAATAATTCAGGTCAACTGAAGTTAGATGGATGCCACCGGCACAGTAGTCTAGATGGGTTCAGCGTTCAAATGCGAGGCAGAAGGTATTGAATTCGATTTGTGTTGGGGATGTTAGATCCCCAAAACTCGCTTGGTAAATGCTTTATTTTGGATTTCACATTTGCGAGCATGAACTGATCAGTTGACCTTGAGATCACACATTTCTCACCAGGAAAATACATGGCTGTGATTGACTGCTGTGTATTTCAGTGTACTATTTTTGTGACTGTCTCAAGGACGTCTCTATGATGTATAAATAAACACGGCTTGTGTGCTTGATTTTATTGTGCTTGCTGGGTGTTTGTAGAATATACTTTCTACGCCTTATCAAGACTCCTGTTTTTCAGTTTTGGGCTTTAGGTAGCCTATCTGAACGCTGGTAATTGCCTCGTTCACGTTTATCGACTAAGGTGAACTCGGAATAGCTTCAAGAGTACCTAGTGACGAACTTATCAATTTGCGCAAGCAGGGGTCGTGGGTGCACACTACTGATGAGTCCCGTACAAGGAAGAAACTGTCATCCAGTGCTTTCTACAAACTATTTTAAAATTAATTATCGTGTCGATTAATTTATCTAACGATTATTACTCTTCCATCTAGATTGTTTGAAGCCGATGAGAAACACTGACATAAAATTGAATTCATCTTGTAATGAAACGTTTTTCGCTCTTGGTCATGTTGTTTTGTTTAAGCGGCAGTTGTGTGTCCAATGAAATTGAGACTTAATCGTCCCAGAAGAGTAAAACAGTCATTTTCATGTACCTAATAAATACGAACAGTTTGTCAAATGAGTTCACCACTTGTTAACTACTATGTATTATAGTCTTGATAAACTCTCATTTTAACTTAACCCGATTCTTGATCGATGGTCGATCGATTTGGTCATGGGTATCACGTGACCAACCATAGTGAACCACTAGTGTATCGTATTCAGTTCAAGCTCAATGAACTTTGCATCTATTCACTTTCTACGTAATATGAAAAACGATGACCAGAAAATCGATAATTAAAACAAACACACAAACAAATTTACCTCACAACTTGGTGATAATTCACGTTCGTCGGGAGTAGTTGGTCGATTAGGACAATCACATACTTCCACTGGTGCTTTTGGTAATCCTTGTTCTTGTGCAAACGCTTGACGTTCAGCTGTTTTCACTGGTAAACTAATTTGTATTGACAAGCCAGATAATTTCATGCCTTGTAATGATTCACTATTCCCACTACTTGTTAAAATACCAATACTTGTGGTTGTCAGCAAAAAACGTAATAATTGATTTCTTGTCATACTAATTTGTGTATCATATGTTGTTGTAGTGAATGGTGTACCACCTAGACGCCAACCACCAGGCCACCAATTTTCATTAAATTCAACTTCATAACGTTGAGTAATGAGATTAAATGTTGCCAGTGTCCATGCACGTCCATAACGTGGTGACTATTTGAAGGTAAGCGAAAAAAAATAAATATTTTTAAAAAACTTATCACATCAGTTCTGATTAAACTTGGCCACCAGCATGAAATTTCATCCGTTGAAGTGGTTGGGACATGTGTCACGTATACCTAACCACTGACTACCTTGATGAGTCATATTTTGTAGTGTGAAAATAGGCCGGAAGAAAGCTAGGGGCGGCCAAATCAGAACATGGCACAAATCCATGAAGTCACTGACAAGTGGACTGTGTCATTTTGATAGATGTAGGCTACATGGTTGGGGTCCGTAAGATGATAGTCATCGAAGGTTAGAGGCCTTGAATTTCATGGCTCAAAATAGTTTTCAGTAGCGCAGGTGCATCCACTCTTTCTGAGTTCTCTCAAATGCTAATCTTCTGAATTCTTCATCATCTCTCTTTCTCTTTCTGAAATTATCTCACTGAATCAAACTTCTCAAATCTAATCTTCTACATTAGTGCTAATACTTCTACTATCTCCACGACTATGCGGTTTTAACTGACAACTGTGTCTCTGTGCTAATACGGTATGGCTACCTGAACTTATGTACTCATGTACGAAGTTCTACGTTGTAACTGACTGCCTGACTGACTGCTTGAATATCTGGCCTATTTATTTTGAGTAATTTACATCTTTCTGTTTGTTTTAACATGTCAATTATGTCTCTTGAATCGTATGACCTATTGAGGCGCATATTTAAAATGTTTACAACAACCTATCACTTCACAAAGTGCAAATAAGTGCAATCCGAAAAATTTCGGTGGCTGGTAGTATGCATTCAATAGGAATCTTGTCGTTATCGACTGATATTAGATAGGATTTCATTGAAAATCAATAAAACAATCATTGAAAAGATTTTTGATGCATTGATTTGTTAGTAAACTTGGCTTAGAACTTTTAAGTGATAGTGATCGAAATTCAAGATTAATCAGTTTTACATTGAAATCATGAATGAATCATCGTTAGACCACGATTAGAAATCGGGAAGCACTGGACCGTCGTTTCGTTATGGTTTGAGACTCATCAGCAGGGCTCATCCAAGACTCCTGCTACTCGCACGATTTGAGCCTAGGACTTTTGGTCTTGAATGGGAACGACTAACATTTGGACAACTGCTGATGAGTCCTATACCTGGATGAAACAGCTGTCTAGTGCTGTTCAGGATTCTTCTGATGGTGGTCTAACAAGGTAAAACTGTCACCTTCATAATGCTGTGATGGAAAATTCATCAGTCCGTTCCATGATCTCGTAAATATAAAAAATACTACGTTTTATTGGGTTACATTTACTCTTATGAAAAAAAGTAACTTCAGTAAACTTATTGGTGAGAAGAAATAATCTTCTTTTGAATACCACAATTCAATCCAATTAACAATAGTAACATCTTAGCTGAAATAAATACCATAACTAGAAACATTTCCTATGATGACATTGTTAGGATATTCATCCAATATCCTAAGAGAATTATTGGTCAGGTCCTATTGGTTGATTCCTACTGGTCAATTTTATGATCGTCCCTAGATATCAATATCACGTGCTGCAATGTTGTTTCTTATCGTTTGTCCTTACTATAAGTGTCACTTCAAATGTTGCCTTCTATTGGTCGTCCTAACTGTCAATGTCACAGAATTCGATGCTGTTTCCTATTCGACCAAAATGTATAAATACGCATTATCTGTAACGTTTTATGACCAGGACCAGGACCCGGTCCCGGATCCCTAGTCCGGGATCCTGATTCTCTTCTGGATTTGGACCTCGTACTTTCTGGATGCTTGTAGAATACAGGTTCTACTTCATATCAAGTCTTTTTATTTTTATTCAATATGGGGGTTGGGATAATTGGATTTGAGTAGCATGTCGTGTCACCGGATCCTCGATCCTCGCTCTCGTTTTCCGACTAAGGTAAACTCATAATAGTTCAAGCATATCAAAATGACGTGTTTACGTGCAGGCGTAACATACATGCACAAGTGTATTTTAAGTACAATAATTAACTCATTGCGAACATGACAGTTTAGAACGACAGTTATCGGAACTTCACTAGTGCACCTATAAAAGTACAGATCATGTCCAATTAACAGGTAATTCTTATCAAGAAATGTGTACTTTGATTAACAAATGCTCATAATAAGTAGTCGTGACCAGTAGAGTTCAACCCTGTCGTGGTGTGCAGCATTGCTTCCCAGAGATAATAGACAAGACTGCTTAAGACTATTAGTTAACCGAAGTTAGACATTAACACCGATAGATATCTCTCGTCAGACAGATTGACTTTGGTTCAAATCCTGCTAGTTACAAAAGTCATGGATGCGCACTGCTGCAGAGTCACATACCAGGACAAATCCGAGCCATCCAATGCTACTAGGTTTCTTCAAATAGTGGTCTAACAACATTCATCACAATTCATTCATTTCAAAAGTAACTCAATAATCTCCACAAGTGGTTTCATGTTATTTAAATTTTATCCGCTAAACGTTTTTATCTTTGGTTTTTTTTTTAAAATTTAGACAGTTAATATAAACATGCATTCAGACTATTTATTTTATCTTAAATGTTTATACGTTGATTTGTTTGATTAAAGTGAATCCCTGGTTGTTTTTTTTTTTTTCATTTGGCTAACAGACAATTATTTTAAATTTGTCATATGAACTGGAATCTGGACAGCATAATGTACAGTTCAGTTCAGTTTTGATAAGTGAAGTTAGCAAATCCGTACCATTTATTGTCATTGTGGTGTTGTGGAGAGGTGAAGTGTTTGCGCGCGAGGGAGACCGACAGTTATGGGTTCGATTGTTGCATGCAGAGGTTGGGCATACGCACTACTGTTGATGAAATGGACATCCAGTGTTTTCAAATTCGCTAATAACAGTCTAGCATTGATCATGATAGAGATGTAGTGTGTCGATTTCGACGTGTTCTTAATTTTCATGATTAGCTCTTCCAGACAATCGTTACTAACTAGCGTCTGACGGTTTATAAATCAGAAGGTGAACTCGTAGTGTTGAATACGTTTATTTGGGACACACCACAAAGCGAAGCGGAGAAGCAGCGAATTAAACGAATGAAGCGACGTGAATTGGAGAAGGCTGTTGAGCCAACTCCTGGGATTACAATGCGAACGAATGGGCAAAGGAAGCGAATGAACAGGCGAAGAGCGTTGGAGAAGGCTAATAAGCCAACTCCAAGAGATAGAGCGTGAGTAAGAATATATAGTCAGACAAAAAATTGGCACACATGAATAAAAGCGACGAATGATTGACAAGGTCAAATGACAAGCGGGACACGTCATGTGAGCTCATACAAACCAGACAATAATAAGAACGAATGTTACAACATATAAATTGTTGCTATACAAATGGCTTGGTCAAATAAATTAATCAAAAGGGCTTAACCAAATTGGAGATGTAAGCGAACTGGGATGTATGTGGAGGCACGACAGAGAATTACAGAAAATCAAAGTGTTTCTGTCTACTCTAGAACTCTTCAGAAGTATGTTTGTGTCCCACCTCAGATGAAAATAAAATGTTTAAATGCTTACAGGATCTGGAAATTTAAAATTTTCTATTTTGATTCAACGGTTAAATAGTTCTGACACTTATTCTAGTCATTTGTAAGTAACTGTAACAGTTCTAACTAGAATTACTGTTTTATCGACCGTAAATTATAATGATAAGTTTGTGACCGATGGATATTCGATATCATTGTTAAACTTCATATACTGCTCATCCTGATAACCGTTACTGCATAACCCCAAACGGTGTATGAAATTTAGAAGATGAATACAAAGTGTTGAAGACGCTTTATTTATTATCGCACCACACACAGATCACAAAACTCCAAGTGTACGAAACGAAATCGAAATGATATGCGTACGCTGAGGAGCGAACGAATTGGAGTAAAACGTACGCACAAATATATGGGAATATGGATAAGTCACCGAATTATTTATGCAACTAACATTAAAGTTAGTGGAATGAATATTTGCTCAGGCTGTAATCAATACTCAAGCACATATACGCATACAAACGTGACAGTAATGAAAGCACATAGGTGTAGACATGTTGTTGCTGTTCGAATGACTCTGTCTGTTAATTAAGTTACTGAAGTGTGTCAACCAAATCAAACGTCCAGAGGTTAGGCGGTCGCGCGCAAGACCGAATATCCTGGATTCGAATCATTCGAGTAGAAAGAGTCGTGGATAAGCACTACCACTGATGAATCCCATACCAGGACGAAACGGTTGTCCAATTCTTCCAGGTTTCGTCAAATGATGGTCTAACAATGATTGATCGACGATGTCAGTGTGTACAAACGTAACTAAGCACAAATTATGCGCGATGCTCTAAGTGATTTACCATTAATGTAACTCGTGTATTACTACTATAGTACCTAAGATTATTTATTCTTTCAGCGCAATAAGATAATTTATCTCCGCAATTTGCCAAAGTAACCTTGTGTACCCTAGTAATTGCTTTGACATATGAAATAAGTAATCGTGATTGACAATGTTTATTCTTGTAAAGAGTGAAGCAGTTATACGCCAATAACTTTTATACTGCACACTGATTGACGCTGACACTATGAATATATTATACACGTGTGGTTCTAACTAGTAGAGATCTACAATTTGTTGATCTGATCTAATCTTGATTCGTAAATCAGACAACTGTTCAGTTTTTATTTGTTCGACTAATTTCTCCCAGGTCGAACAACATAAAATACGACTAGATTTTCAAAGAAGAAGCAGTCGCTGACGGTTATGACCTATTCACAAAAATTATCGCAGTTTGTATTATTTATTGTCACAATCCGATTTACACATTGGTATTGTGAAACAAAAAACTTGTCATTTTTTAAATATTCTCTAATAATATGAAATTTAAATTAAATCAGAGTATAAGGTGTCGAAAATTACCTCAAGTTCCACAACAACACTTGCTTCACGTTGCGTCAATTCATTTGGATTCAATTTGATGGAGTCAATTTTGAATGACATTTTACCTCCGTATATATATTTCTGTAAAAAGAAGATAGACATTGGAAAATTGAAGGGCTATTTTAAAATACATTTCCTATGGGCTAATCCCCTACTCAGAGGAGCTTTAAAAAGTTAAGCATGACAGTGTGTTTAAAAGGTAATCCCTGTTGGAACTGCCTGGATTCCATTCAGATAGCATTATTAGACATGGCTGGGACAGGTCAGATTAACGACCGTAAACTGTGCCGTTACTAATGTGCGGGGGTCAACAAAACACATATCGTGGTATGAGCGTGAAAGAATATATTATCAGATGACAATTTATTTGCTAAGCTGATTCGACCACTCGATAGTTATTCAGTACACGATACCTCTGAGGTACAAACTTGGGTAAACGTACTTACTTACGCCTGTTACCGACCAATGGAGCCTAGGCCGCCGACCACCATTTTCCAATCTAACATATCCTGGGCTCTCTCTCCTTATAATATCTGCTTTCAATTCTCAGTGTTGCTTGATCTTACAGGTTTCGTTTGACTTGAAGAATTCCAAGTGAGGGCTTGTCTTGTGACGGGATTGGGTGCTTTCCGCAATGTTTATCCTCTCTACTTCCACCGCGTCTTCCTGACTCCGTCCTCTGCTAGAATCTAATTGATGGTGTCTGATCAACGGATCAGAAGTATTTTGCATAGACAATTGTTAATGAATACTTGTATCTTGCGGATGATGATGTTTTTGGCAGTTCTCCAAGCTTCCACCTCACGCAGTAGGACTCTCTTGACATTCGTATTGAAAATCCTGATTTTGGTGTTGGTTGACAGACGGTTGTTTGGAGTTCCAGATGTTGTTCATTTGTAGAAATACTGTATCAGATCCACCTTGCTCGTCAATGGTGCTGCCATGAGTAAACGTATCTAAACCTATTCGTGTATGTGTGAGAGTATGAGTCAACGTAACCTATGTATACCAAAATGTTCTAAGATACTTTCACATATGAAATAATCAATGTCAACTTACATAAATGGCCACATCACTCTGTGTGGGAGAAAGTGGTTTCGGTGGGATTAGATCAATACCGAAATGAATGATTCCCTTATTACTCAATGGATGTTTAACATAAAAACTATCTAGATCACGTTCAATACGTTGACTGCCATCTGTTGTTAACTCTTTACGTTGTAATCCACCCATTGCTGTACGTTGACCAAGCCATACATTGAAATCGAATCCAGCTGAATTATCCTTGAAAAAAAATATTTATGAATTTAAAAAAAATTTGTGGCAAGAATCATGAAACGAAACGATCTCTATTGTCAACATACAAAATTAGCTGAAAACTAATCAACTACTCACATGTAATGTGTAAAAATTTTTTTCTATGGAGATTGTTGTTTGTCACTGAAATAATGAATCAATCATTGTTAGACTACTATTAGAATAAACCTATAAGGACTGGACGGCCGTTTCGTCTTGGTATGAGACTCATCAGTGTCAGTGCACATCCCCGACTCCTGCAACTCACAAGATTCGTAACCAATGGACTTCAATGCTCCTCAAAGATAGTAGATGAGGATGAGCTAGACAGTGGGTCGATCGAAATCAGGCATCAACACCATGGCCCAGAGGTTGGACGTACGCGCTCAAGGTCGAGGGTTCCGAAATCGAGTCCTGAGAGTAGAAAGAGTCGTGGATGCGCTCTACTGAAGAGTCTCATCCCGGGACGAAACGGCTGTCCAGGGCTCTAAGGTTTTCTAATGGTGATCTAACAACCATTCATTCATGATTTCAAGGTAAGACTACCACTATCTTCATAACGCTCTAAATGGCGTCAATTCTACTGTTTATTCTATGAGTTAGCTTATCTTTCTATGCTTTAACTTGCTTTCTGAAGTGAAATATTGATTTCATTTTCAACTGTTCTTGTTCTAATTAGTACATCTGTTATTTTATTATTGAGGTGTGCTTTGTATTCATCAGGAATAATTATGTAGACATTTGAAATCATCAATCAATCATTGTCAGACCACCATTAGAAACCTGGAAGCACTGAAAGATGGCCGTTTCGTCCCGGTATGAGACTCACCAGTGTCAGTGCGCATCCACGACTCCTGCTCCTCGCAGGATTCGAACCCAGGACCTGCGGTACTGTGCGCGAACGCCTAACCATTGCACCACTGGGCCGTCATCCGACGGTGTTAATATCTAACTCTGATTGGCCTACGGATTTTGCGCGACCTCACCCATTTGTCTTTGGTAGTTACTGCCTACACCCGTCCAGTGCTCAGTGAGCATCCACGACTCCTGCACCTCACAGGATTCGAACAATGATTGATTGATGATTTCAAATGTGTAAAAACACAAACCTCCAAAACTCTGCCCCAAAATATCGTAACAGTGCTAACTAGTGACTAGCTTCGTGAGGAAATTCTCGGAGTTATAGTTGAGAAGACGTGATCAATCGAGTTTAACCCTGTCGGGTGTAGGCAGTAACAACTACCAAAGACAAATGGGTGAGGTCGCGCAAAATCCCTAGATCAATCAGAATTAGACATTAACACCGTTGGATGCCGGCTGACCCAGTGGTCGGATGGTTAGGCGTTCGCGCACACTACCGAGGGTCCCGGGTTCTAATCCTGCGAGGTGCAGGAGTCGTGGATGCTCACTGATGATGTGATGAGTCCCATACCAGGACGAAACGGCCGTTGAATGCTTCCAGGTTTCTAATGGTAGTCTAACAATGATTGATTGATGATTTCAAATATGTAAAAAAACACAAATCCTCGGAGCTCTAACTGAAAATAATTATGTAACCTTCCTCATAGTCATTACTGATTTACAAATTTATTTTATGATTGGTTTAAACGTTTCCCTAGACTAATGTAACTATATCTGTTTATTGAAATGTAACTTGAGACAGATCAAGTTGTCAGCGGTATTGTTTGGCTTAAGTTACGAACCAATCAGCTATTGAAAACCTGGAGCCATTGGATGGCCATTACATCCTAGTATAGAACTCCTTAGTAATGCACATCCGAAAATCAACACACGGGGATTGGATAAAAGACCTTTGGTTTCACGCAGCAAGACTGAACCGCTTGACCACTGAGCCAGAATGCGACGGTGTTCGTGTCTAATTTGAATCAACCCACAACATTGCTCGTTAGGAGACATGGATTTACACTGCTGAAAAGTCACTTCTTAGGACGAAATGGCTGTCCAGGTTTTTGATTTTGCTCTAGTGTTTATCAGCTCATGATTTTAAATGAAACTCTACCATCGTCATGACCATATGCTGACCGAATACAAATTTCCCAACAATAATTAGTGCTTTCGCATGCTGCAAGGTGCAGGAGTCGTGGATTCGCACGGTCACTGATGAACCAAGCAACCAGGACGAAACGACCGTCCAGTGCTTCCAGGTTTCTTCTAATGGTAGTCTAACTTTGATTGATTCATGATTTCAAATGTGTACCTTAACAATCTTCACAACCCCGTAATGCAATTACCAATGCTCACTAGAGACTATCTCCGTGGGGAGTCTTCTACGAGTTCTATTAGGGTGTTGTGACTAGTGAAGTTGAACTCTGTTCGGTTGTAGACAGTAACTACCGAAAATAGTGTATGAGGTTGCGCAACTGCGTGAATTGATCAAAGTTAGACATCAACGCAGTTTGATAGCCCCTCAGTGGTCAAGAGGTCAGGCGTTCGTGAACAAAACCGTAGGTCCTGGGTTCGAATCCTGCAAGGCGCAGGAGTCGTGGATGCTCACTGCCTCTGCTAAATCCTGGACGGAACAGCCGTCCAGCGCTTCCAGGATTCTTCTCATATCGGTCTAACACTGATTGATTCATGATTTCAAAATGTGTAACTTAGCAATCGTCACAACCTCATAATGAAATATACAAACATATCTATCTATCTATCTATCTATCTATATTCTCTTAAAGAAATAAAATATATTTCTACATATCATGAATAATTGTCAATAGCACTATATACATACCATTGTAATATTCCAGAAATAATGTTCATCTGACAAACGACATGATGTTGTTTTACCAGAACAATAACATTGTAAACATTGTCCCAAATAATTGAAATAGCCATCTTCACATTCATCACATTTTAAACCAGTGTATCCAGTCTAATTTTTGAAAGAATATAAACAACAAGAACAACAATGAGAAAATGAATTTGGATTTAATAAAACTATGCAAGGACGACCTCTTGATCATAAAAGTAAACCTGATGAGAGCGGAGATGTAGGTTTGATGAACAAGACGGATGGATGGACACAAAGCTTGGAGATTCTGGTAAATCTCAAAATGTTATAGATAATAAAGACATCAGTCAAAAAGTAGGGAAACAGTTGACCAATTTTCCAGAAGATTGAGACTTGTTTGAACTTGTACACTGTTACGAGTAGGAGAGCGAATGTCACTCCCCGGCTGCCTATACTATGGTAGGGTATTCCTTGAGGAACTTGGTAAAGGAAGTTAGATTAGTGTTGGTCTTAACAGACTGACCGAAAAGCCCAGAGAACAACTGCTTGAGGCCGGTCATGCACGGTTTTTTTATAGGAAGATTGCATAGTGTTAGCACCGCTCTTCAAATGACCTTACCGCCGGAGACGGAAATCCATGAGGTAAGGTGAGGTGTGAACTTCTATAGCCCCTTTCTTCCTTGTGAGGAGGTAGTATCGCCTTAGATGCGGGTTGTCCAAGAGAAACACCTTACTGCTGTCACAGCTCTCTAAAGTCAGTGGTACAACTTCACCCTCAGACCGTAATTTGCTGCTTTTAGTCTTACCGTTCTCCAATCGACCTGCCTGCCATGGTAGGACTTTCAGGAACATATGTTCCAGCCAATATAGCTTGGTTGGGTCATCACGATAGACAAGCTTGACCCCCACGTCAAGAGAACAGCTACGGTTGAGCTTTAAAAGAACTAGGGGAAAAAGAGATATCGATAAAGATGAACTCCTAGAATAATTTACACCTAGCAATCGCATTCAAAGGTGAGGATGAGTGTCACAAAAAACTGAATTTTCTTAAAATTGCACTAAGTAGACAGGATGACATCTTGTCAGGTAGAAAAGGGGCTTACTAACACACATTTTGAGAGTTTTTTCACATATTCGCTTCAAAGTAAATTTGATTGGATGTCTCAAAAGCAAAGCAAAATTGATCTATCCAGACGATGATGCAAGGAAGAAGTTGAAGTTTATTCACAACTTACTGATCGAGATCGGTTTATCTGAGTGGATTTTTGCAGAAGTACGTGTACCCGAAGAAAAGTAAGTTAGAAATGTTGACTTTTTCAAGGAGAAGTCATTCGTGAAGCTACAATGTGATTAGTTATGTCCGACATGATATATTAGCTAGGGTAACTATTAGGACATTTGACACAGCCAATCGTGCGTTGACTGTTCTAATCGATAAGCGATGAGTTACCTGAATTGATCTCATCAATGTACATTTATAAATTCAGCTACTCCCATGGAGACAGACATATTAAGTGCACTGCTAGGCAGTTCAACTGACGAATGAGTGAGCATCTCTCAGAGCGGTTTGGAACTTGTAATTTTATCAATTATTTGCTGTTAGTTATGTCATCGATTTCACCTTGTGATCAATGACTGATTGATATTCATGCAGACCAAAGTATAATCTGATACTGATCCAGTTGAAAAATACAATATTATTCACTTATATTTACGTTGTATGTGTGAATAATGGTCGGTTCAATTAATCTCAACTCCGCCTGGAGCCCTTCTTGGGTTAATGCCACTCCCTACTTACTTACTTACTTACTTACTTACGCCTGTTACCACCAATGGAGTATAGGCCGCCCACCAGTTTTCTCCAACCAACTCTATCCTGGGCATCCCTTACCAGTTCGTTCCAGTTTTTGTTCATTCCTCTTATATCTTTCTCTATTTCTCGGCGTAATGTGTTCCTTGGCCTTCCTCTTTTCCTTTTGCCCTCAGGGTTTCAAGTGAGGGCTTGTCTTGTGACGCAGTTCGGTGCTTTTCGTAGTGTGTGTCCTATCCACTTCCAGCTTATCTTCCTGAATTCTTCCTCCACTGGAATCTGGTTTGTCCTCTCCCACAGTAGATTGTTGCTGATGGTGTCTGAATGTCACTCCCAAGCCAGGATAAAGAACTAGAGTTGGGTGCATGGAATAAGCGATTCCGTCCCGTAGAAATCCACCTAACCAGAAAAATGATTCTATGGTCGGCGACGTATACTCCATCAGGTGTAACCAGCGTAAGTATATCAGCAAATCATGTTAGTGAAACACAAGGGCATCTGTTATTTATACATCTTGCTATGATACTGAGGATCAAGTTGAATAGTATCACCAGGTCTATGAAAGCTACCTTGGTGAAAACATTTTTGTACTCATGAATACAATACAGTGTAGCTGATCACATATGTATTTAGAACCAAAATCAGTCTGATCATAAGACAGGTATTTTAAATGAATTGTGAACGAAATCCCCAATATAACATCATCTTTGAAGTGTCTGTCTGGAATAGGCATGTCATTGAATAACACGTTCGGCGTTTGAGGTTAAATATATGAGACTGAAGGCTCAGAGTGAACAACAATAGCAATGAGATGTGTATAAATCCAGCTAATATGTCTCAGACAAGGCGATAAGCATATCCTCAACCAGCTTTAACAGAACATCTAATTAAAGACATTTCTCGAAGTAATCCTTAAGCGATAAGCAGCTAGCTATCTTACTATATAGAGCTGAATGTTTCCTATGAGACTGGAGGTTCGTTGCGATAACCATTGCCGATAGTTTGACATTACTACATTGGGAAAGTTTTGCTAACAGTTCATGTACAAATTTATTTTACAGGGTAACCGGTTTCATTAATACCGGTGGTTGTTTCGCAACATCCTCGAGGACCATTGTCACTGGAGTGCTGTATTGCATATCACCATTGCTAATCATAATGAGTATGACAGTCATGTAGGTGGGATGGATCGAATTGGCCTATTCTCATGCTGTGCATATAGATTACAGCGATCATGGGTCGGATGCAATCACCGTATATGTACTAGTGTATCATAAATGATGTGAATGGTCTACCAAAGTGTCAAGTACCCGTGTAGTAGTTACACTACACGGATGAGCTCTAATGTTCACGATGTAGTTGTTAACACATGGGCAATAAGTGTCTTTAGTTCTCTCATTCTCATTGTCCAATTCTAGTTATCATTTACAATGAAAAACTTACTTTACACTGACATTCACCATTATCTGATGTAGCTACTTGAGTACCATGATAATGACAATCACTTGGTTGAGGTTTAGTATCACATTTTGCATCAATCGGTAATTCTTCCCCAGCGTCTACAGCCAACTGACAACGATCACAATTTGGGCTGATTAATTTATTGTCTACATTAATTCGACATTGACAAAAATAATCATCATCAGCTTGTGGATTAAAATGACATTTTTTCACAATACTAAAAGTGAAAAAAAAAATAGACAGAAAGAAAACAGATTAAAAAAAGATGAATGATTGAAAATTGACTACAAATTTGTTTGAATTATGTGTATACTTGATGAAACAATCTACTGTAGAAGAGAACAAATCAGATTCCAGCGGAGGTGGAAGAAGCGCTAGGAAGTGAATACTGTGAATCCGGTGGCTAAAACACGCTCAGCGACAATCTACTATGACAAGGAACTAAACAGACTCCACCTGAGGAATAAATTAGGAAAGCGTTCTGGAGGTGGACAGGACATATATCTTGAGGAAAGACATGCCCTTACTTGGAGTCTTCAAGGTCAAAGGAAAAGAGAGAGACGAAAGAGCGCATTACGCCGAGGAATGGAGATAGACATGAGAAGCATGAACAACAGTAGTACTTAATAAAAAAACATTTTAAGTTAATTTAAAATTACTTCACTTGTTGTTAGTGTTAGGGATGTTAGATCGCCAAAACTAGCTTGTTAAATGCCTTATTTTGGATTTCATGTTTGCAAGCATGGGCTGGTCAGTTGACCTTGAGATTTCATTCCCCATCAGGAAAATTCATGGCTGTGATTGACTGCTGTGTATTTTAGTGTGCTATTCAAGGTAGCCTATCTGGACGCTGGTAATTGTCTCGTTCGCGTTTATCGACCAAGGTGAACTCCTAATAGCTTCAAGCGTACCTAGTGACGAACCCTACAGTTAGAGTATATAGTGGCGTTGGAACATTGACGACTGGTTGAAAATATAATTAACTTAGGGTAAAAATGGTTCCTATTATAATATGGCCTATTTTCGGATGAATTTATTACATATTCACGTAAGTAGACAAGTAGTAAAGAGAATTGTAAATGCAATGCGAAGCAAAGTGAAGCGCAGAACAGGGAATGCGACAACTCGATGCGATGCGATTAGAGTTTTTCTTTAGCGAGTTAGTTTTCTATGGAATGGGGTCTCTAAATCCCACTCTCAACCCTTCTCCTTTATCCGGCCTTGGGACCGGCCGTGTAACCCCAGAAGGGATCCATGTGAGGTCGTGATGTGGCATGAATAAGTAAATTTGCAGAATACAAACTTCCGCGCCTGCCTCAATCTTCTCAATCGGTTCCGCAGCCTCTACACAGTATGAAGATTCCATGGCCTCAGGAGTTTGAAGACGGAGATGTAAGGAGCTTCTTGAAGGAGTTCGAGGCCGTGACGGAGCTGGTAGCAGTCAAGGAGCAGAGGGCGAAGGCGGTGGTGTTGGGGACTCTACTAAGAAGCAGGGTGGGAGCGGTGTACAATGGTGTGGAGGACGCTGACTGGGAGGTGGTAACGGAAAGGCTGGGCGTGGTAGCGTGCGCCTGGAATCTTGCTCCTTGGAGGTCAGGGTGCGGGATTTCGCGAGACCGGGAGTTCTGGCATGTGGGTGCTCATATTGATCGGGCGTCCACGCTAAGCACGGCGCCGATATGGATGACCTGCCAGAGGAGGGGTTATCCAGGTCGTCTAAGGAGAGGCGGACCGGCCTGTTTGTTCGTCAAGGTCATGTTCAACGTAGGGTCTGCACCTCCTAAACATGACCCACCAGCTGGGATTGAGCCGTATGATCTTCCTAGGGAAGGAGATCTGGGGGCGCTTAGGAATGCTCAACAAGCAGCAACAAATAAGTTAAAGACTTCTTTCACGTCCCTTCTTATACTACTTATATCGTTCGTATAAGTAGCACACACAACACATATATATATGTATAAACATTGATTATTGAACATTTGTTTATTTGTTTTTGGAAAGTTACGCTACCGTGAGTTTGTTTAAATTAGTTAATTTGCGTAATTATAAATTTTTATGCAATTTTCTTCAATATGTCTTTCTCATTTCAATTAACATACTCTCCTGTATACATAGAATCTGGGTTTTTTGAATGGACATCATTTTAGTCGGGCATGGATTGATTTTTAATAGACCAAGTAAATTTCACTTACATAAACACTGGTCATTCATATAGGCAGCAATTTATAATACTGATTTCTCATGATTTCTTAATTGCTTTAAGACGAATTTTATATTAAGTCAGTAGAAATGGGAAAGGAAATTATGGGAGATTAGTATGTTGCAGTTTTGTTTAACTTATAAGCATAAGAAAACAGAATTTCACATGGACAAAATTTTATCATTAATCAATGTTGCTCTATAAATAATCTGTCACTTTGTTAGGATATTCATCTAATATCCTAAGAGAATTATTGGTCAAATCCTATTGATCGATTTCTATTGGTCAAAATTATGGTCGTTTTAACTGTCAAAGTCAAATACTTCAATGTTATCTCTGATTTGCCAACCGGAATGTCAATGTCATTTCAAATGTTACTTCCTATTGTTCGTCTTAACTGTCAATGTCATAGACTTCGATGCTGTTTCCTATTCGACCAAAATGTATAAATACGCATTATCTGTAACGTTTTATGACCACGACCAGGACCAGGACCCGGATCCCTAGTCCAGGATCCTGATTCTCTTCTGGACTCGGACCTCGTACTTTCTGGATGCTTGTAGAATACAGGTTCTACTTCATATCATGTCTTCATATTTTTATTCAATATGGAGGTTGGGATAATCGGATTTGAGTAGCATGTCGTGTCACCGGATCCTCGACCCTCGCCCTCGTTTTCCGACTAAGGTAAACTCGTAATAGTTCAAGAATATCAAGTTGACGTGTTTACGTGCAGGCGTAACACAACTTTAGAGTTGAAGAAAAAAGGGAGCAATTTTTTCTAAGTCGCCCAGTATCTACATGCAATTCGGAAGAACACCTGAATACGTTGCTATGAAATAAATCTTCTATTCGATTTCCGGAGATTATGCGCTTAGGGAAAAGCCGTTTTGTTTGGCGGCCGCCGTGCTAAGTGACATGTGAACATGAAGTGTAAAGTGAAGTAGAGAAGGAGAATGGGTCCACTTAATGAGATAGGACATGACTATGTATTTACAGTTAAACAAAAATAAGTTGAATTTGTGATAAGTGAAGTAATCAATGAGCACACGCACACTCAAGTAAAAACAACCAAGTTATAAGCGAACAATTAACAAGGTCAAACAAAGCACGTGTGAACAACTTCAGAAGAATGGATTAGTTGTGGAGATTGTTGAGATACTTTTTGAAATCATGAATCAATCAACATTAGACAAGGATTAGAAAAAATCTGGGAGCACTGGATGGCCGTTTCGTCCTAGTATGGGACTCATCAGCAATGCGCATCCATGATCCCCGCTCGCGTGGATCGAACCCCGGACCTTCGGTCTCGCGGTTGAATGCTAAGACGATATTGAAAGATGTTACCAGGATGAAACGGCCAGCCAGTGCTTCAAGGTTTCTAATGATGGTATAAAATTGATCGACCCCTGATTTCAAAAGCAGTAGATTAATTAATTCGAGAGACAAGCCCTATGGGCTCGACATATTAATACACACTATAAATTTGCTCCCAGTGATAAAATGAGTTGAATTTTCTTTTACTTAAAAACCAATTTAAATAAAAATCTTTTATTTGGGTAAAACTGTTCAGAAAAACAATAAAAGCTCTACAACCAAAACATCCATCTCGGAGAACGAAACTGCATCGCAAACATTTTGGTCATCTTACTCTATTCACTGTCAACAAATCATTGTTACTACATACCGAAATAATTAACACTGTTCAATACCACCGACTCAATGACCCAGGAGTGAGGCGTTCGCGCAAAAACCCGAAGGTCCTGGGTTCGAATACTGTTAGTTTCAGCAGTGGTGGATGCGCACTGCCACTGGGGAGTTCCGTACAAGGACAAAATGGCTATCCTGTGCTTCCAGGTCTCCAATGGTTGGTCTAACAATGATTCATTCATGATTCCGATGTGTAAAAACAACGATCTTCATAATATTATCATGTAAAATAATTGTTCATTTTATGAACCCTTTAATCTGTAGACATACCATCTTGTTTTGTTATCATCTAATCTAATCTAAACTTTCTATTAAATCATCAAAGTTTGTTCACTGTCCCTACTAAGTGTATTGCGAATTTTCATATATACGGACAAGAGTGTTTTTGTTGGGGATGTTAGATCCCCAGAACTCGCTTCATAAATGCCTTATTTTGGATTTCATGTTTGCTAACATGGGCTGATCAGTTGACCTTGAGATCACACATTTCACAACAGGAAAATCCATGGCTGTGATTGGCTTTTGTGCACTTTAGTGAGCTATTTTTGGGACGGTCCGAAGACATTTCTATGATGTATAAATAAACGAGAGTTGTGTGCTTGATTGTATTGTGACTGCTAGGTGTTGTAGAATATACTTTCTACGCTTATCCCACAAAAATCTGCCTGTTTTTCTAATCATACGTCAATAGATCACATACTAAAGAAACTGAATTAAATACTCAGAAAGATTGAAAACTTATTTCAACAGGGTTTTACATTGAAATCATGAATTAGTCATTGTTAGACCACTACTAGAAACACGGAAGCACTGGATGGACCTTCTAGTATGAGACTATTCAACAGTACGCATCCACAATTCCTGCCACTTGCAGAAATCAAACCCAGGACCTTCGGTCTCACGGCCAAACACTTAGACCTCTAGACCACTGAGCCGGTGACATCCTATGGTCGTTGGAGACGTTAGATCCCCAAATCTCACTCGGAAAAGTCCTGGTTTTGGATTTCATGTTTTCGCGCATTAAGTGCTCAGATGACCTTGAGATTACGTTTCCCACACTGAAAATCCTTGCCTGTTAGTGGTTGAAGTATTATTTTAGTACGCTATTTTTGTGACTCTCCCAAGGACGTTCCTCTCAATGTATAAATAAACTGAATTCGTGTGCTTATCAACCTCTTATTTTTTGTGTGCTTGTAGAATACACTTTCTATGCCATATCAAGACTTCTTGCTATAAATGTCAGGGCTGGGGACAATCGAATGAGAATAACCAATCGTGTCACTGAATCATTTGTCTTTCCTCTCGTTTACCGAATTAGGTGAACTCGTAATAGAATTCAAGCATATCATGATGATGAGCATACTTACGTACTTACTTTCGCCTGTTACCCCCAATCGCGAATAGGCCGTCCACCAGTTTTCTCCTGCCAACTCTGTCCTGGGCTTCCCTTTTCAGTTCTGTCCAATTTTTGTTCATTCTTCTCATGTCTTTCTCTATTTCTCGGCGTAATGTGTTCCTTGGTTCTCCTCTTTTTCTTTTGCCCTGGGGGTTCCATGTGAGGGCTTGTCTTGTGACGCAGTTAGGTGCTTTTCGTAATGTGTGTCCTGTCCACTCCCACCACTTCTTCCTGATCTCCTCCTCCGCTGCAATCTGGTTTGTTCTCTCCCACAGTACGTTGTTGCTGATCTTGTCTGGCCAACGAATCCGAAGTATTTTGCGTAGACAGCTGTTAATAAACACTTGTATCTTCTGGATGATACAAGTGTTTATTAACAGTTGTCTAAATGACGAGCATATCAACGGTGTTAATGTTTAACGTTTTGGTCAGTCTAAGGATTTTGCGCAACCTCAATTAAGACTTTCGTGAACATTTTTAAGTCACAACAAATTGTACTACTGAAATCAGTCCAGTTTAAAACCCAGAAAACCATTAGAGAGTAATGACTAACTTACTAAGGTAAATTATCTCCACACATATCACATGGTTGACAATCTGTAGCTAATAAACTTTTATCCGGTCGATAATAACCTTCTTTACACTGTTGACATCTTGGTCCAGCACGATTCCCAGCACATTCAATACAATTCCCATCGGGATCACATTTATCACAAGCACAGAATGGTCGACATTTCAATGGATTGTCAGGATCTTTTTGATAACCAGGTGCACATTTCTACATGAATAAGGAAAAATATATATACATGCATTAAAATTTGGTAGTGTACAGAAGGAATTTTACTTTAGCTGAAGCGCTTTCCGCAAGGTTATTACTGCCAAGATCAAGTGTGGATGAAAGAGGAGGATTTGGCGTTGAGAGTTAGTAACCCTATTGTAGTGAAGGAGAACACAGGTGGGGCAACCGAATTGTATTTATCGCAAATTACAGAGTTACTCAGTAAAATTGGAAAACCATATTGTAAATCGTTAATTTGCAAAATATCAGTCCATCATATCGAACTGGACTGTTCCTGTTGCAAAACATCAATCCATTGTCACTACTATCATGCGTTTCATACAATTTCCATTGTGTTCCCATTCTTCCTTTCTTGATCTTCCCCCATCTTCTGCTGCCAGACATTACGTTTACACTAGCGTCATATGCTACTTATAAGTAGCTCACACCACACTATCTCGCAGAGAACAATCTTGCCAAAATTGAAAAAATCACATTTGTTTGACATACCAACCAACAAGAACCTAATCTTTTGACTAGTTTGCTAACTTTTAGGTCACAGGAAAATAACTGGTAAACATGAGCAGTTCAAGAGTGGTTAAGTAGTAATAAACCGTTTATGGGGTTATGTAACATCACCTGATTAGAAGACGCAAACTGTTGTGGTAGTTTAAAGGTCAAAAGGTCAATCAGATTAAGATACAATAGTCTTGACTTTAGTATATAGTGTGTGCACTAATTTGTTGAGCTCATACGGCTTGTCCTAGTTTTTGGACAAACCAACTGACCTTTTAGTACTGAGATATATTACACACGCCTCTTTCGAACTAGTCAGTTACTCGCTTAAAGTCAAGATTGTTTGTATTTGAGTACATATGTTCATCCGCCTAACTAAAAATAATTAGGCTAGCCAAACACCATCAGCAACAACCTACTATGGGATAGAGTAAATCAGATTCCAGCCGAGGAACCAATCAGGAAGAAGTACTCGAAGCGAATTAGGCACACATTTAGGAAAGCACCCGACTGAGTCATAAGACAAATCTTCACCTGGAATCCTTAAGACTAACGGAAAAGAGTAAGGTCAAGGAACACATCACTCTGAGAAATGGAGACAGGCATAAGAAGAGAGAACAACAATTTAACAGAACTAGAAAGGAAGGCTTTGGACAGTGTAGGTTGAAGAATGCTAGTCATTAGGGGCAGCGAAAATAATTAGTCATGCTTCATCTCATTGAGTTGCCCCACGTGCTTTCTCCGCTTCGTCTCGCTTCTCTTCTATAACGATTTTCTTTATTATCTGTCTACTTAAGTGAATGTCTGCAATAAACTCATCCAGAAAATCGTATCAGGCAGGCTTTTACTAACCTCCATCGCCTAAACAGGGTTTGTCTAAGAATAATGATATACAGAAACTGAAGGAAAGATTTATACCATAGCACATTTTATTGTTCGTCTAAATTTGAGTAAGGTCGCGGACTACAAAACATTAGGAGTTGGAGTGTGAAAGTGTACTGTTGAGGAGTCGCACAAACTACTTGATTTGAAATGATTCTCCCACGGTGATACCAATCGGAATCACCGAATTCAATCAACCTTCATAACGCAAACTAACAAGTCAGTTATGTAACGGTTCCTTAGTAGCAATGTTTAAACAGAAAATTTCGATCGTGTTTTGAGTACATATAATATACTTATTTAGAAAAACACAACTTACTTAATAAACGCTAACCATAAAACACCTACCTCACATGAAAGACCTTCATAACCATGAGGACAAAGACATTGTTCAATTTCGCCAATCCATTGACCTGGTACATCTGATTTCACAGCATGTTCAATTTTTAAATTGAACAATTCTAAAGTGGTTTGATCTTTGAAATATTTCACACGAATGCCAATTTTTTTCACATCACTTAATACTTGCATAAAACCAGCACGACCGATAGTTTGATCAACTGGTTGTTTACATTGTTTGTCAATAAACCATCGTTCACGTTCCGATAAGCGTATATTGATCCGGTTATCATAACCGGTTGGTATAATATGAACTAATAACCGATCATTGGGTGGACACCAATAAATTGATCGATGTGTGGACTGTTTGAAAATCAATAATAATAAGAATAAGTTTTCTCTTTATTTTTAAATGTGCATATAGACCAACCATTAGAAACCTGAAAGCACTGGATGAACGTTTCATTGGTGTATGATAGGAACAGTCTTCAAAATCCCATAATGTGCTCACTAGTGATTAGATTTGTTAGAAAATTGTCGAAGTTCTAATAGGAAGCTGTGTGACTGGTGGAGTTCAACCTTGTTCTGTGTGTGATGCAGTTGTAACCCACCGTAGACAATAGTTAATGGTCTCACAATATGGTAGGTTGATCAAAGTTAAACATTAACACTGTTGAATGCCACCTGATTGGTCTAGAGATTAGGCGATCGAATTCCACCGAAGATGCTGGGTTGGTGATATGCTCGTCCATGGATATGCTTGAATGCTATTACGAGTTCACCTTACAAGGTAAACGAGACTGAAGACAAATAATTCAGTGACATGATAGGCTATTCTAACCCTGTAACACCTGCACGTAAACACGTCATTTTGATGTACGTGAACTATTACGAGTTTACCTAATCGGAAAATGAGAGAGAGGATCAAGGATCCGGTGACATGACATGCTACTCAAATCCGATTATCCCAACCACCATATTGAGTAAAAGAAGACAAGACTTGAATGTAAAGTAGAACCTGTATTCTACAAGCATCCAGAAGTCCGAGGCCCCAGTCCAGAGTCGAATAGGAAACAGCATCGCAGTGTGTGACATTGACAGTTAAGACGACCAATAAGAAGCAACATTTGGAGTGACACTGACAGTCAGAACAACCAATAAGCAACAACATTGGAGTACGTGACATTGATATCTAGGATGATCATAAAATTGACCAGTAGGAATTAACCAATAGGAATAGACCAATAATTCTCTTAGGATATTGGATGAATATCCTAAAAAATCCGTTTTTCCCAGGACCTGCTAACTAGATCAAGAAATCTTGATAAGGCGAAGAGAATGTATTCTACAGGCACCCAGAAAATACGCGATTGGTAAGCGCACAAATCAAGCTTATTTATACAATGATAGCCACGCCCTTTGGAGAGCGACAAAATAGCGTACTGAAATAATCCATCAGCCGATGACGGTCAACGATTTCCGAATGGGAAATGTAAGCTGTAGGTCAACTAAGCGTCTGTTGGCGCAAAAACATAAGAATTTCAAAATTAGGACCTTTTTCCGAGTGAGTACTGGGGATCTAACCTGCCCAATAGTTCAACTTTGCGCATATCGGGTTCGTGAATGAACACTTCTGATGAGTGAGTGAATGCTTGCATAAAGAAAGATATTACATCTTTGAAAAATAGAATCCCAATAAAAATATAGACTACTTATTATAAAGAAACTTACATTCAATACGACAAATGGTCCAGGAAGATAATTTAAACTTTCACCAAATAAACGTAGATTCAATTTAATATCATAGCCATAAGATTTCACCTATAAAAAAAAGAATTGTAAACATTACTTTCAATTAATAAGTAGTATTGATCAACCTGCTGAGATTGTGAACTTAGTAACTGACTTTAAAATTGTTATGCTCGTCAATTGATATGCTTGAATGCTATTACGAGTTCACCTTAGATGGTAAACGAGAGTGAAGACAAATGATCCAGTGACATGATAGGCTACTGTAATCCAATTGTCCTTGGCCCCACTAAGTAGAGGAAGAAGTCTTGATAAGGCGTAGAAAGTGTAGTCTACAAGCACCCAGAAAATATGAGGTTGATAAGCACACAAATCGAATTTATTTATGCATGATAGAAATGTCCTTGGGAGAGCCACAAAAATAGCGTACTAAAACAATACATCAACCAATAACAGTCAAGGATTTTCGCGGTGGGAAATGTAATCTGAAGGTCAAATGATCAGTTCATGTGCGAAAGCGTAACATGCAAAATTAGGACCTTTGTCAAGTGAGTTCTAGGAGATCTAATGTCCCCAACAGTAATTTTACAAATGAATTTGTAAGCAATGAAAGTACGTGATTGCTGGGTGTTTGTAGAATATACTTTCTACGCTTACAAAGCCTTTTTACTTCAGCTTTAGATTCAAGGTAGCCTACCTGGACGCCGGTAAAAGTCTCGTTCGCGTTTATCGACTAAATTAAAACTCGTAATAGCCTCAAGCATACTTAGTGACGAGCGTAATAATATTTTCGCTAATATTTTCTCCTTAAATTAATTCTAAACCCTTCAACTAAACTGGAAATCTTTCTGTACTACGATACTCACTGGCAGTTTAGAATTCTCTCGATTCCCAATCTTGGATTGTGTCATTTCCAAATTCAGTAACGAGTATTAGCTTTCTTTTCCCTTGAGATGTTACATTTTTTTGAATCACTCTGGTTAAATCTGTAAAATTATGATCGGTTATTATCATACTGTGGTGTACGCTACTTATGTTCACACAAGTAGTATATTATATCAAACGGAAGTCAAACAAACGTCTGACAGCAAAAGATCGAGAAGGAAAGAATAAGAACAGAAGGTGAATTGTAGGTAACGTAAAGTGAACTGAAATCTGAACAGTCGAAATGAAAGAACACTGAAATCTGAAACAAATAAGGATTAGTTTGCAAATGATGATTTCACGGGAAGGTTTTGTACATATGCTTAACAACTCTGTAATATTCGCTTGAATATATATTGTTGATGTCCTCACCTGAGTTTTCGTGCACAACAATACGATTTTAACAATATCTATTGCATTGACAGTTTATTTTATTCACAGTCTCAGCCTGCTCACAGTCACTTTTGGCTCATTCATGTATTGTTGTGAGGCGGTCTGATATGGTATGTATACGAAGGAATATCAGAAATATAGTAATAAATATTAGACTGGTGGTCATTGATATTTGATCGTCCTCTTTGGTTAGGGTAAGTATTCGGTTTTTCATCAGACACTGTCGTTCTTGTTGCATATTGGTTATTCGAAATGTCTTCTGCGTATTGGCATGTTCGTGATCCAGTTTTCCCTATCAAAATGCGAAATTTCGCTTCGGGATTGGCTGATTTCAGCGCCTAAACTAGTAATTGGAAATGGGGTTGTTGAGCGTGTCGACTGTTTCATTTATCTAGAGAGTCTCACTAGTGCTGATGGCCTAGTGTCTGACTGAGTCTCGGCACGGAGACACAAGCTTTTGCCAATTAGCATCACTTATAACGTAGGCGAGATATCCGTTTCTTAACCAAAGGAGTAGTCTATTGCACAGCAGTTCGCTCCGTCTTGCTATATGATAGTGAAACATGGCCAGTAAGAATAGAGGATGTTCGTAGGTTATTGGTTTTCGATCATGGGCGTCTTCGAAGCATTGCTCGTCTATCTTGGTACAACCGAGTAAGCAATACTAGTGTTGGGAAACGGGTGCCAGGTTAGGATGGTAGATTGATAGATGAAAAAGTGACACTTCATCATTTGAGTTGGTTAGGACCTGTATTACGAATGCCAAACCACCGACTACCTCGACAAGATATGATGCCTGGTGTAGGAGTGGGCTGCAAGAAAGCTAGGGGCCACCAGACTAAAACATGGCACAAATCCATAAAGTCACTGACAGCTGAACTGAGACATGTTGGACTATCAGGTGGTGGTCCGCAAGACACTAGTAACCGATGGTTAGAGACCACTAATGACATCATTTTTTCAATGGCGCAGATACATTCATTCTTTGTTTTCTCTCAAATTATAATCTTCCGAGTTCCTCATGACAGTGTTTTTTCCATTTTTAAATTGATTTCCCCAGGATATAATTTCGAATGATACATTCGACCTCTAATCATTTTGATTACCGCTAATACTTCTACTACTTATACCACTACGGGATTTGAACTGATAATTCGATCACTGTGTATGCTAATGTGGTATGTTAACTTGAACTAATGTACGTCGGTACAAAGTTCTACGTTGTAGCTTATTGACTGACTGACTAACTGACGGCGTATTAGTTTTTGCCAAAGACATAACATCCTTGACGGACTTTCTAAGAATATATATATGGTGTGTACTACTCACTACGAAGCTTATAAGTAGTATAACGTATATATGCAGCAAATTACAACTGGATAGAAGAGTATTAGATCACAAAGTATGGCTCAATCTGAGTCTTTTAAAAAATAGAAGAGTACTCTAGTTTTGCTAACGTATGTTTGACGACATGATGTAGATAGCTGTTCTAGTTAAATGTTACCTCCCAATAAATTGCTTGATTCGTCTGTTCTTACCGCCTTCACTCGTCAAATACAAACCTCATTTCCAAAAAAATAGTAGAGGTTGTTTATTATGTAACTCAGTAATGTGATCATAGAATGAAAAAGATATGATGGCGTACTTACATTTCTAGAGTAACTATCTTAAGAACAAAACTTATCATTGGTGGATGTGGCTGCGTCAGATTCCATGTCGAAGCTCACCACTTTTAGTGGTGAGGTAGCAAGGTAGGACTCACTACTTTAGTGGCCCGTGAGATGATTCCTTGATTTATGCTATGAAATAAATTACCCTCCCCTTCAGTTTCCCTTAAATCATACCTAGACGAACCCCGTTTATGCGATGGGCAGTGATAAGAAGCCAAATATGAATTTGGTTGAATGAGTTGATTTCAAGTAGTTGTTCATGCATTCATTTAAACAGAAAGACGAGAACAAGAAGCATGCAAGCAAAGCAAAGCGAAGTGGCGAAGGTGAGCGTTGTTCATTGAATCTGAAACGTTGATTACTTCATCGCATTCAATTAGTTCGAAAGCAACTTTGTCAAAATAGTTCTGTAGATTGCGTTAAATTAGGAGTCGAGTGTACTAGTTTTATGGGTTGCAGAACCCAGTGGATGAAGTAGGTGTCGATGAAGAGCTCATCAAGCCTCCCTGGGCACCATAATCCAAAACGTGGTCACACTGACACTCAATTAATACCGAAAGAGATTAAACTTACTTCCTCTTAACTTTAAGACAATGTATTTTGAATGTATTCACTTGAAAACAATCATCTTAAATTTGACGATATAAGAAGTGTTATATATACACTTTTTACACGTTGCTTTCTCCTGTTGCCCTGTCATTCTGTCCTGAGACTTCCTTTCTAGTTCTGTCCAATTGTTATTCACATCTAGGCGTTATCAGTATCTTGGTCTTCATACTCTCTGTTGGTCCTGAGGATTCGAAGTGAGAGCTCGTCTTATGACGCATTCAGGTACTTTCCTCAAAGTGTGTCCTATCCAGCTTGAGCCTTTCTGGGGCTACTGCCAGTTCCAAACCCGGATAAAGGAGGAGGGTTGGGCGTCGGTTTAGCGACCCCATCCCATAGGAAAACTAACTCGCTTAGACGGAAACCCTAACCAGTTAAAATAATTCAAACCATCAAATAAACATTGAAAAAATAGACATACTGTGGTGCGCGCTACTTGTAAGTAGTATATGACGTGAGTGTAAACTTAATGTCTGGCAGCAGAAGATGGGGGAAGATCAAGAAAGGAAGAGTTAGAAGAACACAATGGAATTTGTATGAAACGCATGAATAAGTGAAATGTCAGACAATGGATTGATGATGGATTGAAGATTTGCAAATTTCACCGTTTACGATATGGTTTTCCTATTTTACTGAGTAACTCTGTAATTTTCGTTAAATACAATTCGGTTGCCCTCACCTGTGTTCTCCTTCACTACAATACATACATAACACTTAGACTACCACTATTTCAATAAAAAATTAAACTAACCCATGAACCGGCTAGTTGATAATCACTTTCAACAAATGTTGCTTCATTTGGTACATCCGGTATCCTTAGTATATCTTCATCAATTTCCACTAAACCTTGACCTTCATCAATAATAGTTCCATCTTGATTATAAGTGTTTAATAGAATTGGTGTTGATTTTAAATCCAGTAGTATGTCATGCTATTAAAAAAAAATTAAAAATCAGAATATAAATTTAAAACTAGTTTTGTTTACCAAATGTAGGGCAATTTTTAATATGACAATATAAGTAAATGTTGAATTGCTGTCATACAAAAATTGGTGTGTTGACTTACACTACTGTCTGTTCAATGAACTTGAGTAAGATGATGTGAAATGTAGCAAAAAATATCATAATTGGATACCTGAAAGCACTGGATGGCTTTTTCGTCCTGGTATGAGACTCATCACATCAGCAGTGCGCATCCACTACTCCTGTACCTAGCAAGAGCCGAATCCGGGACCTATGGTACTGTGCGCGAACGCCTAACCATCGGACCACTGGGCCGGCATGATCTGGGGGTTTTGCGCAACCTTACCCACATGTCTTCGGTTGTTACTGTCTACACATGAACAGAGTTGAAATCCGTTGGTCATGTCTTCTCAACTGGAACTCCGAGAATTTCCTCACGAAGCTAGTCACTAGTGAGCACTGTTACGATATTTTGGGGCAGAGTTTTTTGGAGGTTTGTGTTTTTTTCATTGATAATTTCAAATGTGTAAAAACACAAACCTTCAAAACTCTGCCCGAAAATATCGTAACAGTGCTCACTAGTGACTAGCTTCGTGAGGAAATTCTCGGAATCCCAGGTTGAGAAGACATGACAAGTGGAGTTCAACTCTGTTCGTGTGTAAACAGTAACTACCAAAGACAAATGGATGAGCTCTCACAAAATGCCTAGATCAATCAGAGTTAGACATTACTTTTAGACGACCATTAGACAGAAATCTGGAAGCACTGAAAGGTAGCTCTTCTTCGTCCTGTCTAGTATAGGTCTCATCAACTCACAACTCTTGCTATTCGCAGGATTCTCACTACTTTTCTATCTTATTTTACTGATTAAATAATCAATGTAATCAAGATTAATTTTCAGAAATTTACTGAGTTCCATTTTTTTCCAATATGTTTGTCTTGAGAGAATTTCATGCTTTAGTCATTAGTATGCAAGTGACTTGTATAATTAGTAATTATTTTCAGTTGTTCATTTCTTAAAGGAATTATTTACCCTACTTAGGATGCATATATTGCAATAGAAAGTAGTAAATTTGAAGTAAACAATGTCAACTTGTCGATAATGCAATGTCTTGATGAAGTAATAAATCCCATAGAACAAATTTTTCATCAAAGGGATGGTGTATTGTGTGTGCATTTAAGTGCAAACGCAGGCATACGGATCCAGAGAGAGAGAGAGAGTTGATGATTTCCAAATGGGATGAAACGTAAGTGCTTAATTCCATTTAAAACCACATTCCAAGTTAACTGGCAGTGCACCTCCATAATCCTCACTTGCTTGAGTCGAACCCAGGACATTTGGTCTCGCGTGCGAACGCATAATCTCTAGACCACTGAGTGGGGTGGCATACAACAGTGTTAATCTCTGACTTCAATCAATCCCCTATCTTCGTTTTGTAACTGCCTTACACAAGACACCATCCAAATCCACTGGTCACAATTTTTTACTAGAACCCTCAAGAATCTCCTAATTAAGCTAGTCACTAATGAGCATATATGACTGTACAAATATGTACAATCAGAGAATATTAAAATTTATGGTATTTTATAGAGCCAGTGGTATCCAATGGCATTAATGTTTAACACTGATTAATCTAAGGTGAGACAATAACACCATCGAATAATGGCTCAGTGGTCTCGAGGTTACGCATTTGCCCAGAAGACTGAAGGTCCTGAGCTCAATTCCTGCATGCAGAGCTGGTGGATGGGCATTACCGATGTGTCCCCATACGGGGACGAAACGGCTATCCAGTGCTTTCAGGTTTTGTAATGGTGGTCTAACAATGATTCATTCATGATTTTGTTCACACATTTAATACGATATGAAATCTATTTCACTTGATAATTTATATTTAACTTATTAAATAGGAGAAATCCATATTTTACAAGATAGGTATCCGGATTTCATGAGTTTCAATGGTTGCAAGTAATATTGTTGTGCATTGATCATTTCTAATGAATTTTGTTCAATATAAAATATTGAATTGACCATTGTTAATAATACACTGAATTTATGAACCAAACATTGTTAGGCCGCCATTACAAACTTGGAGGTAGTGGAAAGACATTTCGTCCTGATATGTGACTCATCATCAGTGCGCATCTATAACTCCTGCTACCGACAGGATTCGAACCCGGGATTTTCGGTATTGTGTGCGAACGCCTAACCAACAGACTACTGGGCCGGCATCCAGCGGTGTTAATGTCTAACTCTGATTGATCTAGGGATTTTGCACGACCTCACCCACTTGTCTTTGGTAGTTAGTTACTGCCTACACCAGACAGGGTTGATGAACTCCATTAGTCACGTCTTCTTAACTAGAAATTCGAAGAATTCCCTCACGAAGCTAGTCACCAGTGAGCACATTTTACGATATTTTCGCGCAGTGTTTCGGAAATTTGTGAGGAAATTCTCGGAGTTCTAGTTGAGAAGACATGACCAGTGGAGTTCAACTCTGTTCGTGTGTAGACAGTAACAACCGAAGATAAGTGGGTGAGGTTGCGCAAAATCCCTAGATCAATCAGAGTTACACATTAACACCGTTAGATGCCGGCCCAGTGGTCCAATGGTTAAACGTTCGCGCACAATACCGAAGGTCTCATGTTCGAATCCTGCGGGATGCAGGAGTAGTGGATGCGCACTGCCACTGATGAGTCCCATACCAGAACGAAACGGTCGTCTTCCAGTGCTTTCAGGTTTCTTCTAATGTTGGTCTCACAATGATTGATTGATGGATTTCAAATATGTTTAAAAATCACAAATCTCCAAAGATCTAACTGAAACTAATACTGCGGTGTGAGCTACTTATAAATAGTATATGACGTAAGTGTAAACGTAATGTCTGGCAGCAGAAGATGGGGCAAGATCAAGAAAGGAAGAGTTAGAACACAATGGAATTTGTATGAAACGCATGAATAGTGACAATGGATTGATGTTTTGCAACAGGAACAGTCCAGTTCGATATGATGGACTGATATTTTGCAAATGAACGATTTACGAGATGGTTTTCCGATTTTACTGAGTAACTCTGTAATTTTCGTTTAATACAATTCGGTTGGCCCACCTGTGTTCTCGTTCACTACAATACATTCACGATTTCAAAATAATAATAATTTTCAGAATTTTTCTATTTGAAAGCATTCGAAAACTCCTATTTTCTTCTTCTTCTTGAATTCAAGGCGAATATTCATGGCAAATCTGTTTGTTATCAATTTAATTTAATATATACCCTTTCAAAAATAAAATTCAAATTCTAAATAAACTGATGTAATTTAATTTTTTTCCCTAGTTTTTTTCAATTGAAAACATGTGTTTGCAATGATAAGCATAATAATAATAATTATTATTATTATTTACGATTGGAAATAAATTATTTTCTAAATTACATACAGATTAATATAGTTTATATTCATATGTATAGATAGATATACATATGTATCAATTAGACATCAATGGGTGGAAAGTGGGTTGAATACTAACAAAGCAATTTAGTTGTGACCTTGAAATAGAAATCAACCGGCAGTCAAGCTAAGCTGCTTACTACATACATCCAAGAAATAAGATTTGAAACAAATGTGTAGTAGATTAAATGTTTAAATTTAAGTATTTTAAGTGAATTGAACAAATTGAACAATGTGGTGGTGTGTGCTACTTATACACGAATGATATAAGTAGTATAGTATAAGAATGGACGTGAAAGAAGAAGAATTTGCACGGTCAGTCAGAAGAGGAAAACGGAATAGCAAATGGAGCAAAAGCAAGAAGAAGTAAATGGAGTAGTACCAACAGGAAGGAAGGAAAGGAAGCAACAACAGGAATGGAAGAAGAAGGATGGAGTGTTGGAAGTCACGACGACTCAAAGATGGTGTGCAAATAGAGGAGTGTTCAATGTAATGTTTTCGTATTTAATTGACAATCTACCGCGCCTACCTCAGTTTTCTCAAATGAACGATACATTGGGTAAGTTCTTTAATTTAAGTACTGAAGTGAATTGAAACATTGAACAATACATCGGGTTCAGTAAAACAATTAAAAAAAACAATCTTCACAATTTTAGAATGTAAATTATGGAGGATAAATGATGATGATGATGATGATGAGAAAATCCGATGGAACGTGTGGGCCTTTGAATTCAATTGTTATAGCTTATCATTAGTTTGTTGTGTAAAAAGGTTTTGTTTTTTCGTTTGGAAAGATACATTTTCAATTCAGTCTACTGAAGTTCAATGACTAGTGTGGTACTGTAACACTGACTTAGTCGTTTCGGAGAAAAACCAGATTTCAAACAGTGGAAGAAACCAGGACGAAATGCTGGAAGTGAATAGGACACACAATAAGGAAATCAACCAACCGAGTCACAAGACAAGCCCTCACTTGGAACCCTCAATATGAAAGGAAAAGAGGAAGACCAAGGAACACATTACACCGAGAATCAGAAACAGATATGAAAAGAATGAACAGCAACTGCATTAAAATAGAACGGAAGGCTAAGGACAGAGTAAGTTGGAGAACTCTGGTCGTTGGCTTATGCTCCATTGGAGGTAACTGTTAGATCCCCAGAACTCGCTTGATAAATGGCTTATTTTGGATTTCATGTTTGCGAGTATGGGCTGATCAGTTGACCTTGAGACCACTCATTTCCATCAGGAAAATCCATGGCTGTGATTGGCTGCTGTGTATTTTAGTGTTCTATTTTCGTAACAGTCCTTAGGACATTTCTATGATGTATAAATAAACGACAGTTGTGTGCTTGATTGTAATTGTGATTGCTGGGTGTTTGTAGAATATACTTTCTACGCTTACCAAGACTTCTGTTTTACAGTTTAGGATTCAAGGTAGCCTACCTGGACGCTAGTTCATTGTCTCGTTCGCGTTTATCGACTAAAGTGAACTCGTAATAGCTTTAAGCGTACCAAGTGACGAACATAACAGTAACAAAAGTAAGTAAGTAAGTATTTAAGTTAGTGAGTAAGAGAGTATCATTTTTTATCACAACTGGGGCTTATCAGGATAGATCAGTGCGATGCTATTAAGTTCACAGGAAACAGGATCCAACAAGAAGACTATCATACTGATTTTGAAAGAGTCAGTATCCTTACATATATAATTATCAATGAAATCTGAAAAGGTAATTGAAAAATTACATATTTTTCAAGAATTACTGATTATGAGCAAGATAAATATTGTTATTTTGTAACTCGTGCATTCACGTATACCCCGAGTAATGATGAAATCAACCCATGTTAGACCACTATGCGAAACAGGAACGCAGTGGATAAATGTTTCGTCTTGAGATGGGACTCATCAGTCGTGAGTATCCACGAACCCTGATCACGGGAATCAAATTCAGGACTAGTGACTAACTTCGTGAGGAAATTCTCGGAGTTCTAGTTGAGAAGACATGACCAGTGGAGTTCAACCCTGTCGGCTGTAAGCAGTAACTACCAAAGACAATCAAGGGTGAGGTCGTGCAAAATCCCTAGATCGATCAGAGTTAGATATGAACAGCGTTGGATACCGGCTGACCCAGTGGTCAGATGGTTAAGCGTTCGCGCACAATACCGAAAGTCATGGGTTCGAATCCTGTGAGTAGCAGCAGGAGTCGTGGATGCGCACTGCTGATGTGATAAGTCCCATACCAGGACGAAATGGCCGTCATTCAGTGCTTCCAGGTTCCTAATGATGGCCTAACAATGATTGATTGAAGATTTCAAAAGTGCATAAACATAAACCTCCAAAACTCTGCCCCAAAATATCAGGACCTTTGGTCTCGTGCGCGAACACTTAATCCTTAGATCACTGAGCCAACAACCATCGATGTCCCTATCCTAGTTCAATCAATCTAAAGTATTGCTTGATCTCCTCACCCATTGTCTCCAGTAAGTAACTGACTACATCTGACACAGCTAAACTCCACTGATCATTACTTCTCACTAGAAATAGTAGAATTTCTTCATAAAGCTATTCACTGATGAACACATGACTGTTAAAATATGTATAATGACAGAATAAACCAAAATCAGGATTTTCAATACAAATGTGAAGACACTTCTACTGTATGGAGCAGAAACTTGGAGAACTACCAAAGCCATCATCCAGAAGATACAAGTGTTTATTAACAGTTGTCTACGCAAAATACTTCAGATTCGTTGGCCAGATACCATCAGCAACAACGAGCTGTGGGAGAGAACAAACTAGATTCCAGTGGAGGAGGAAATCAGGAAGAAGTGGTGGAAGTGGATAGGACACACACTACGAAAAGCATCGAACTGCGTCATAAGACAAGCCCTTATATGGAGCCCTCAATGTCAAAGGAAAAGAGGAAGGCCAAAGAACATATTACACCGATAAATAGAGAAAGATATGAGAGGAATGAACAAACATTGGACAGAACTGGAAAGGGAAGCCGAGGACAGAGTTGGTTGGAGGAAACTGGTGGGCGGCCTATGCTCCATTGGGGGTAACAGGCATAAGTAAGTAAGTAAGTAATGACAGAATACTGAAGTTCATGGTATGCTATCGACTATTTCGGAATAAATATTGTCAATCTACACAACAAATTATCGATTCATGAAGTTTACTCGACAATTGTATGAATAAAAATGATCCTGGAAATAAAAAGATTAGTAGAATTCATTAAGTTTAAAATCATTTAAAAAGTAGTGTTCATCTCTTCTTACTTACTGGTGATTTCCTGTAACCTTTCACACTTGTGCACTGGTCTGTTACATTTGAACAATAACACAACAAACACATATCATCAAACCATGCAGCATCGTTAAATTGTGGCGCTTTACAAATTCCACCTTCTGTAAACAGAAAAAAAATGTGATCAGTTGAAAAGTTGAAGTAGCGGTACATTCACATATAAGCATATAATTATTGCACATTTGAAATCATCAATCAATCATTAGTGTTAGACCACTACCATTAGAAGAAACCTGGAAGCACTGAATGACGGCCGTCTCGTCCTGGTATGAGACTCATCACATCTACAGTGCGCATCCACGACTCCTGAATCTCACAGGATTTGAACTCGGGACCTTCGATATTGTGCGCGAACGCCCAACCATCCGACCACTGCGCCGACATCCAACGGTGTTAATTTCTAACTCTGATTGATCTGCGGATTTTGCGCGACCTCATCCATTTGTCTTTGTTAGTAGTTACTGCCTACACCCGACAGGGTTGAACTCCATTGGTCACGTCTTCTCACTATAACTCCGAGAATTTCTTCAAGAAGCTAGTCATTAGTGAGCACTGTTACGATATTTTCCGGCAGAGTTTTGGAGGTTTGTGTTTTTTTACACATTTGAAATTATCAAACAAACCTCCAAATCTCTGCTCGAAAATATAATTATTGGTTGTAAAAAGGCAGCTAAATATATTTATGTGACTTACAAAAAATCAAAATGAATTTGTATGTGGCATGAGATACTGTCCGGATGCCAAAAAAAAACCCAATGGACGTAATTATTTTAGGAGGCCATTCGCTAAGTCTTTGAAGTAAATGTCTAGTTCACAAGGCAGTGAAACAGCATCAGGAGGTTCAATTTCATAGTGACCCTTGAGCAACAGTAGGATGATACGCCATTTGTTTCATCAAGATCCTAGAGAGATCATTTGTATCAGTGGTGTAAAAGTAAGGTTTACCAACCGCTCTCGATGGATTCTCCACCCGGTTGAAGCCGCTATCGGGCATTTGCTATTCATCCTTTCACCTTCTGTTATGCTGGTCAGGGTAAACGAGAGTGAAGACAAATGATCCAGTGACACGATAGGCTACTCCAACCCTAGCGTCCCAAGACCCCACTAAGTAGAAGAAGAAGTCTTGAAATGGCGTAGAAAGTGTATTCTACAAGCACCCAGAAAATACGATGTCCACAAGCACACAAATCGAGCTAATTTATACATCATTGAAATGTCCTTGTGACAGCTATAAACTAGCGTACTGAAATAATCCGTCAAACAATAACAGTCAAGGATTTTCCGAGTGGGGAATGTGATCTCTAGGTCAACTGAGCAGCCTATGCGCAAAAACGATCCATGTTAGACCACCATTAGAAACTTGGAAGCACTGGACGGCCGTCTCTTCCTGATACGGGACTCATCGAAGTTAGACATTAACACCGTTAGCTAACGGCTCAGTGGTCCGATGGTTGGGAGTTCGCGCGCAAAATTGACAGTCCTTGGTTCAAATCCTGCGTGGTGCATGAGTCGTGGATGCGCACTGCCACTGATGGGTCCCATAACAGGACGAAACAGCCATCCAGTGCTTCCATGTTTCTAATGATGGTCTAACAATGATTGATTGGTGATTTTAATGAGCAAAAACCATTAATCTCCATAACTCTAATTGAAGAATAATGAGCGAAATAGTATGAAAGCAAAACAAACAAATCTCACATGACTTACTAGCTACATTCACTAGAAAATCCGGTGCTAATGCACGTCCACGATTGACAGCTTCACAAGTGTACAAACCACTTGCACGTGGTTCCAAATCAGTTAAAGTTAAATGACTTACAGCCATATTACAATTGATTACCGTGTAATTTATTGAATGTTTCACACCTTCTCTTAAATGTCCCCAATTATATCGCCAACTTATAGTGGGAGGTGGTCGACCATAGGCTACACAAGTTAAAGTTAAATTTCCCGATTGATGACCGATTAAATGTGTTTCACCAGATGGTTCTATGATACTTGGATAACCTTGAAGAATTGAACAAGAAAATCAACAGTTTCATTTTAAGAGAGAAAAATGAATAGTTTGATATAAAACTAGGCACTGAGTATGTACTTACGTATGGAATTACAGCTGTTAGTCAGAATGGAGGATAGGCCAATGAACCAGTATGCTCCAACCTATTCTGTCCTGGGTTTTCCTTCCCAGTTCTGTCCCATTTTTGTTCAGTCATCTCATGTCTGTTTCCATTTCTCGGCTCAATGTGTTCTTTGATCTTCTACTTATCCTATAGCCCTGAAGGTTCTATGTCTAGGCTTGTCTTGTGATACTGTAGAGCCTCCACATATATTCCAGTTCGCTTACATCTAATTTGGTTAAGTCCTTTCGATTAATTTATTTAATCAAGCCATTTGTATTGCAACAATTTATATGTACCATTCGTTCTTATTATTATCTGGTTTGTATGATGAGCTCACATGACGTGTTCCACTTGTCATTTGACCTTGTCACTCATTCGTCGCTTTTATCCATGTGTGTATGCCTATTTCGTTGACCACATGTCTGTCCTATATTTGTCTGACTATATATTCTTAGTCATGCTCTAACTCTTGGAGTTGGCTCATTAGCCTTCTCCAGATCGCTTCCTTCGCCCATTCGTTCGCATTATAATCCTATGAGTTGGCTCATTAGCCTCCTCCAACGCGCTTCGCCTCTTCATTCGCTTCCTTCACCCATTCGTTTTCATTGTAATCTTAGGAATTGGCTCAACAGCCTTCTCCAATTCACGTCGCTTCATTCGTCTTATTCACTGCTTCTCCGCTTCACTTTGTGGTGTGTCCCAAATAAGCGTATCCAACACTACTAGTTCAACTTCTGATTTATAAACCGTCAGACGCTAGTTAGTAACGATTGTCTGGATGAACTAATTACCGAGCTTCAGAACACTCAGTAAATCGACACACTACAATGCAATTGAATGCTTTCCTCAATGCGTGTCCTATCCACCTCCAGCGCTTATTCTTGATTTCTCCCTTTGTTCGAATCTGATTTGTTCTCTTCTACAGTTGGTTGTTGTTGATGGTGTCTAGTCAACAGATCGGAAGTATCTTGCGAAGACAACTGTTAATAAACATCTGTACCCAATGGATGGGAGTTTTGGCTATTCTCTAAGTTTCCGTTTTACACAGCAAAACAGTTGTATTGAAAATGGCAACTTTGGTGTTGGGGTTGTGAGTTGTTTTGATTCCCACATGTAAAAAGTATGTTTGAAATAATCACAATAATTGAAATTTTGGAACTAATTTCCAAGTTTCATCTAACAAGCTTGTCTAGACTTTGTCATATCATAATACTTAGGACAAACTGCGTTTTGCACGACGGTATTAATAAGACGCCAAATACAGTTTTGTGTTCTATCAAGCAGACATACATAAGAGAATGAAAAGCGTATACACAAAACAAAGCGAGGCGAATTGGAGAAGATGAATGAGCCAACTCCATTACGATGAAGCATGACTAAGTATTTATTACTTACTTACTTACTTACGCCTGTTACCCCGAATCGAGCATAGGCCGCCCACCAGTTTTCGCCAACCAACTCTGTCCTGGGCTTCCGTCTCCAGTTCTGTCCAATGTTTGTTCATTCCGCTCATATCTCTCTCTATTTCTCGGCGTAATGTGTTTCTGGGCCTTCCTCTTTTCCTTTTGCCTTGAGGGTTCCATGTGAGGTCTTATCTTGTTACGCAGTTAGGTGCTTTTCATAGTGTGTGTCCTATCCACTTCCACCTCTTCTTCCTGATTTCCTCCTCCACTGGAATCTGGTTTATTCTCTAACACAGTACGTTGTTACTAATGATGTCTGGCCAACGAATCCGAAGTATTTTGCGTAGACAACTGTTAATAAACACTTGTATATTCTGGATGATGGCTTTCGTAGTTCTCCAAGTTTCCGCTCCATACAGTAGAACTGTCTTGACATTTGTATTGAAAATCCTGATTTTGGTTTTGGTTGACAGTTGTTTGGAGTTCGAGGTCTTTTTCAACTGTAGAAATGCAGCTCTTGCTTTGCCAATCCGTGCCCTCATATCTGCATCGGATTTACTTTGGTTGTCGATGATGCTGCCAAGATATGTAAAGGTGTAACGTCCTCCAAGGCATCTCCATCAAGAGTGATTTGGTTGGTGTATGTTGTGTTGCATCAGAGAATTTTGCTTTTTCCTTTATGTATGTTGAGACCTACTGTTGCTGCTGAGGCTGCTGCTACACTGGTCGTCTCCTCTTGCATTTGTTGTTGCGTGTGAGATAGAAGAGCCAGATCATCTGCGAAGTCCAGATCATCCATCTGCATCCTGGCTGTCCAGTTGAAACCGTGCTTCCCTCCAGATGTCGACGTCTTCATAATCCAGTCGATCATCAGGAGAAAAAGAAAGGGTGAGAGTAAGCAACCTTGCCTGACATCGGTCTTCACCTTGAAAGAGTCTGTTAACTGTCCCTAGTGTACGATTTTGCAGTTGAATCCATCACACGGAATTCCGTCTGATGTTAACTATTTTCTCAAGCACACCGTAGTATCTCGAAGAATCCTCCACAGTGTTTTCCTATCCACGCACGCTATTGAATGCTTTCTCGTAGTCGATTAAGTTGATGTAGAGTGGTGAATTCCATTCAATTGATTGTTCCACAATGATCCATAATGTAGCAATTTGGTTAAGTATTCATAGTCAGGCAATAATAATAGACTAGACATGTACTAAGCTAATTGAGCATGCACATACACCAACACACGCCTACAAATATTCAATAGTCAATACTGTGATCGAATCAGTTGAACAAACAACTAATCATTAAAACAAATTTTAAACAAAAAAATAATAATTTCCACTTACTACATTCACTTTCATCATCGCCATTTGGTTCACAATCTGGCACAGAATCACACATAAATGCACGAGCTATTACTTTATCACCTTGTGGACAAGTATAATGTGTACCGTTGCATTGATCATAACTACTTGGAGCTAGTAGGAAAAGTAAACAAAAGTATATACATATATCGTATTAAATCAGCATTCACATTGATGGTTTCAAATGTGCGAAAACAAACACAAATCTCCATTATTCTCTATTTGAAAATATCATAAAATATGCTCATTAGTGACACTAGCTTCGTGAGGAAATTCTCGCAGTTCTAGTTGAGAAGACGTGACCAATGGAGTTCAACCCTGTCGGGTGTAGGCAGTAACTACCAAACACAAATGGGTGAGTTCGTGCAAAATCCCTAGATCAATCAGAGTTAGACATTAACACCATCAGATGCCGGCCCAGTGGTCGGATGGTTAGGCGTTCTCGCACAGTACCACAGGTCCCGCGTTCGTATCCTGCGAGGTGCAGGTGTCGTGGATGCACACTGCTGATGTGATGAGTCCCATACCAGAACGAAATGGCTGTCTTTCAGTGCTTCTTCCAGGTTTCTAATGTTGGTCTAACAATGATTGGTTGATGATTTAAAATGTGTACGAACACTAATCTCCATAACTTTCATTTACAAAACAATCAGTTTCTGGTTTTCAGAACATTTTGATCTCACTATACATATATATATCTGTATTTAACCCAATTCTTTTGGGGCCCGCGAGAGGATAGTAATTGATGGTTAGAGACTCTGAATGACATGGCTCAAAATCGTTAGCAGTGACGCAGGTGCACTGATTCTTTGTTTTCTCTCAATTCCTAACCTTCTGAATTCCTCATCACTTCTATCTTACTCTTTCTAAGTTTAGATCATTAGATTTTACTCCTTGAATAACTGCTTCGAACACTAATCTCTCCGATGACTGCTAACACTTTAACTACCTCTACTACCGTTGGATCGCGATTCAGCGATTCATTGAAATAATGAGTCGATCAGTATCAAACCATCATTCGAAACAAGGAAGCATTGGATGGCTGTTTCATCCTAGTATGAAACTTGGTCGTAGAAATCCACCTCAGGACGCTCAGTCTAGTTCACTTTACTCAGTAAACGAGAGTGAAGACAAACGATCCAGTGACACGACGGGTTACTCTAATCCGAGCGTCCCAAGGCCCCTTATGTAGGGGAAGAAGTCTTGAAAAGACATAGAAAGTGTATTCTACAAGCACCTAGAAAACTGAGGTCCACAAGCACGCGGATCGAGTTTATTTCTACATGATAGAAACGTCCTTGGGAGAGTCACAAAAATAGCGTACTAAAATAACACATCAACCAATGACAGTCAAGGATTTTCACGGTGGGAAATGTAATCTCAAGGTCAACTGATCAGCCTATGCTCGAACGCATAAAATCCGCAATTCGGACCTTTATCAGGCGAGTTCTGGGTATCTAACGACCCCAGCAAATATCTAAAACATACCTTTATGATTTCTCTCCTATATTCTTGATAGTATGAACTACGGGAGAAATCCAGAACTTATCTGTAATATGTCATCTAAGCAAAGCTCCAATCAAAACTTTAATAATCTTAGATAACTCTGAATAAAATGTCTATTAAAAGTCTACTGATCTGCCATCCCTGCCGAGTACTCGATTCCTAACACAAGCACTCGAGTGTAAGCAATAACTACCGAACACAAATGGATGAGTTCGCGCACGAATCCTTAGACTCGTCAGAGTTAGACATGAATACCGTTGGATGGCATCGGTTCAGTGGTCAGTAGGTTAAGCTTTGGCTCATAAGAACGATAGTCCTGGGTTCGAGTCCTGTGAGTGGATGGAGTCGTGGATGCACACAGCCACTGATGAGTCCCATACAAGGACGAAATGACCGTCTTTCAGTGCTTCCAGGTTTCTAACGGTAGTCTAACAATGGTTAATCCGTAATTTCGAAGTGTAAATGTTTGCTATTTACATTTGTTAGGATATTCATCCAATACCCTAATAGAATTTGTGGTCAAATCCTATTGGTCGATTTCTGTTGGTCAAAATTATGGTCGTTTTAACTATCAAAGTCAAATACTTCAATGTTGTCTCTTATTGGTCATCCGGACTGTCAATGTCATTTCAAATGTTACTTCCTATTGGTCGTCTTAACTGTCAATGCCACAGAATTCGATGCTGTTTCCTATTCGACCTAAATGTATAAATACTCATTATGTGTAACATTTTATGACCACGACCAGGACCAGGGCTCGGTCCCGGATCCCTAGTCCGGGATCCTGATTCTCTTCTGGATTCGGACCTCGTACTTTCTGGATGCTTGTAGAATACAGGTTCTACTTCATATCAAGTCTTGTCTTCTTTTACTAAATATGGTGGTTGGGATAACCGGATTTCAGTGGCATGTCGTGTCACCGGATCCTCGATCCTCGCTCTCGTTTACTGACTAGGTAAACTCGTAATAGTTCAAGTATATCAAGTTGACGTGTTTACGTGCAGGCTTAACAATGTTTTACTATATCTGTTGCATTCAAACAAACTCAATTTAACATTGAGCAATGGATTCATTTGAAAAAAAAAATTTAACACAATAACATTTACAATAAACAGCTAACTCACCAAGACAATTCGACTCATCAAAATTATTGCCACAATCATCTTCACCATCACAATGCCAAAATTGTAGATAACAATTTTTCAATGGTTTCACATCATTGACCATTTCACAAACATTTTCATTCACACCACATTCACCTATTTTATTTGGAAGAAATAGGATGTATAGTAAATCAATACAAAGTTTTGAGAAAAGTTGAAAATATTCACAATTGAAGAATCAAAGTACATCTAGAAGTTAGGCATTCTTATGTGAGATCAGAGGTTCTCGGTGCGATTCCTGCGTGCGGGTGTCTTGGATGTGCACTGAAGAGTTCAAAAATCGTACTAAACGGTCGCCCAGTGCTCCTATGTTTCTAATGGTAGTCTAATATTGACTGAGAAGACATATTTTGTAAGATAGTAACCATTTCGTGCTTTCGTGTCAGTCACATACAAGCAGCATGTTATTTGTGTGTAAATATAGTTTTGAAGATAAGGTCAAAATTTTTCTTATTTAGCATGATATTCACTCACTAGAACCATGGTAAACAAAGGTCAACATACAGTTGTTTTGGAATACATAAAGTTAGACTTTTCCGACCAATCAAGATAAGTGTTCAAAGGTTAGGAGAAGTTCAAAGGAATCGAGGAGGGTATGTGTCGACAGTTATTTACAAACAGGATCTAAAATTTCTTTCAGCCACTTTGCTAGCTTATGGTATGGTGAACTTATCATGGACAGGCTTGTGTAGTTTCGGTAAGCCATACATTTGTGGTGTGCATGTACCAATGGGTTTGAGCATTTTATAATGGGACTCGGTGATAAAACCATGAAGCATGAGTAGATGCAGTTCTCGACATATCTGTTTTTCGACCAACTTCACGATATCGATCTGTGTATCGGATATAAATTTAGCGGAGTCTGAGAGGATCACGTTCATTTTCGTTATGTAGTTATCTTTATTCATGACTACTACACCAGAAACTTTGTCTGGTTTGGAGATTGTTATTGTGGAATTGTTCTTAAGTTCCTTCAATGCTTCTTCGTGCTCATTCGTTAGACAAGAATTTTGGTTGATTGGAGTGTTTGCAAATTGCTGGGATATATCAACTAATTTGACTTTGAACCATGCCACATTCTCAGCTGATGTTGGAGTCGAATTTGAGAACTGGCTGTAAAGGTTTTCAAAATTGGCGTCCACCAAATTCTTATCGATTCTTTTAAGTGGTACACTGTAGTTTAGTCCCATTGAAAGAGTGAATGTGTCATGCTATATAAGAAAAATTTTGACCTTATTTTCAAAACTGTATTTACACACGAATAACATGTTGCTTGTATGTGACTGACAAGAAAGCACGAAATGGTACTACTATCTCACAAAATATGTCTTCTCATTTCTCTGTTCAAATTTATCAAAGGGAACCACTGTTTCGATCATTAATTGTCAATCTGTTTTGTATCAATTCGACTGTAAATGATAGTTGATGTGAATTCTGTAATTTTTGCATTATAGTAGTATGAAGATCAGTGTTTTTACACATGGATATCAGTGATTGTGAGACTATCATTTGAAAGAAACCTGGAAGCCGTCAAGTTACGACTGCAGCAACTCGCAGGATCCGAACTCGGGACCTTTGATCTTGCGCACGATCGCTTAACTTCTAAACCACTGAGCTAGTGGTATCCAACTGTGTTAATGTCTAATTCTGATCAATCTCGGGGTTCTTGCACGACCCATACCAGAACTTGACGGCCTTTCTGTGCTTTCAGGTTTATTCTGGTGGTGAATAACAATGGTTCATTCATGATTTCAATTCTGTCTCTATCTTCGGTTTCTATTATTATCATTAGTAACGTTGAAAAATGTATGCACGAATGCTTAACCTCTAGACCACTGAGCTAGTGGCATCCAACGGTTTTAATGTCTAACTCTGATCAGCCTAAGGATTCTTGCGCAACCTCACCTATTGTCTTTGGTAGGTGACTGCCTACTCCCAACAAGGCTGAACTTCACTGATCACAGATTCGTAACAGAAAACCGAAAATTTCTAGGTGAAGCTAGTCACTAGTGAACACATTGTTTCTAGGTTTTGTAATATAGTATTACAGCTCAGTGGTCTAGAGGTTAAGGGTTCGCGTGCAAGACAGAAAGTCCTGGATTCGAATCCTGCGGGTTGCTGCAGTCGTGAATGAACACTGCTGATGAGTCCCTTACCAGAACTTGACGGCCTTCAAGTACTTCCAAGTTTCTTCTAACGGTGATCAAACGATGGTTCAATAATGATTTCAATTCTGTATCTGTTTTCAGTTTATATTATTACCATTAGTAATGTTCAAAAGTGAGTCAATGGATTTCGACTGGTTAGCTTATTTGTATCATATTAGTTAACAGTTTCGATACACCTAGATTTTATGTGAAAACTCTATTCAGATGTCAGAAATGGTGGCAAAATATCTTTTGCAGTTTAAATCATGAACTGATCCAAGGTAGAACGACATCAGAAATGAGGATACAGTGAACTGCCCCTAAGAAACAGTGCGCATCTACGACCTATGTACATGTGAATCGAATCCTGAATCTTTGGTCTCGTGCGCAAACGTCTTACCTCTAGCTTAGACCAATTCATGATATCAACTATGAAAATAATACAACTTCCACAATTTCCCTTCAGTCACAACGTAACTGTCTGTGTTTTCTGCTAATTTTCAAAATGTCGTTCAGTAAATTTAAGTATATGACGAAAAATATTTCTCTGAAATTTCACAAGGTTTATGTAATCGTTTATGGATATTTAACTCCCTTATTGGGTTCGTAAATTCCAATAGGACATACATTGTGGAAAGCACCTAAATGCGTCACAAGACAAGCCCTCATTTGAAGACATGAGAAGAATGAACAGACACTGAACTGAACAAGGAAGGAAGGCTTAAGGTAGAGTAGGTTAGAGAACACCTTGTCGGTGGCCTATGCTCAATTTTGGGGTGACAGGGGTAAGTAAGTAAGTACATAAGTAATTAAGTAAGTAATTAAGTAAGTAAGTAATTAAGTAAGTAAGTAAGTAAGTAAGTAAGTAGGTAAGTAAGTGAGTAAGTAAGTAAGTAGGTAAGTAAGTAGGTAAAGTATTACGTTTGTAAATTCCTAACAGGGAAACCTCCGGATTACTAATCTCATAACCATATAATGAAATGACTAACGAGTCTAAACAAGTTAATTTTTTAATTTGAAAAAGAAACGAGAATCAAAATTGTTTAACTTACTACATTTCGAAGGAATTTCATCGTAACCATCTTCACAATCAACTACTCCATCACAAAATCTTGTCTCTTCTAAACATTCTTGTGAACCACATGGTCGAAAGCCTGGTGCACAGACTTCTTGCACATACAATTTTGCATAACCTTTGCTATACTATGAAAGTTTACACAAAATCAATAGGGTTAAAGTAGGATAGTTTAGTTGCCAAATAGTTTCGGTATTTTAAGAAAGTAATTGATTTTGAAAATATAGTATTATACAAGACCGGTTTAAGGCAAAGTTGCTTACTCTCACCTTTTTTCATTGTCATGATGATCGACTGGATTATGAAACGTCAACATCTGGAGCGAAGAACGAGATACGGTGGACGGCTAGGATGCAGCCGGACGACCTGGACATCGCAGATGACCTGACTCTTCTATGGCACACAACAACAAATGCAGGAGAAGAAGTCCAGTGTAGCAACAGTAGGTCTCAACATACATAAAGGAAAAAGCAAAATTTTACGATGCAGCACAACATGAGCCAACCAAATCACATTTGATGGAGATGCCTTGAAGGATGTTGACACCTTTACATATCTGGGCAGCATCATCGAACAGAAAGGTGGATTATCCACAAGATACAAGTATTTATTAACAGTTATCTACGCAAACAACTTCAGATTCGTTGACCAGACACCATCAGCAACAACGAACTGTGGAGAGAATAAACCAGATTCCAATGGAGGAGGAAATCAGGAAGAAGCAGTGGAAATATATAAGACACACGCTGCGAAAAGCACCTAACTGCGTCACAAGACAAGCCCTCACTCGGAACCCTCAAGGTCAGAGGAAAAGGAGAAAGTCAAAGAACACATTACGCCGAGAAATAGAGAATGACAATGAGAAGAATGAAAGAAAACTGGAAATAACTAGAAAGGGGAGCTCAGGACAGAGTAGGTTACAGAATATTGGTGGGCGGCCTATGCTCCATTGGGGGGAACAGGCGAAAGTAAGTAAGTAAGTAAGTAATAGTATTATACGTGTTTAACAAATATAAACAGATTAATTACTGGCATGAAATCGAACGATGATGCCTGGTGTAGGTGTAAGCTGGAAGAAAGTTTGGTGCGACCAGACCGAAAACATCGTTCAAAATCCATGAAGTCATTGACAAGTGGACTGAGCCTTGCTGGTAGGTGTGGATTATCTGGTAACTGCTGGTTAGAGACCTTGAATGACAGCTGAATATCGGTTGTAGTGGCGTAGGTGCATCCACTCTTTGAGTCTGCTCAAATTCTAATCTTCTTAATACTTCATCACCTTTATCTTTCTCTTTTGTTAAGTTTATTTCACTGGATTCTTCTTCTTCATTAATATCTTCGAACCCTAGTCCATTCCATTACCACTAAGACTCCTACTATGTCTAAGGACTTTGAATTGACTATTTGTCAGGGACGTAAGATCCCCAGAACTCATTTGATAAAGGTTTTATTTACGGATTTTTTATGTTTTCGCGCATAGGCTGCTCTGTTGACCTTGAGACTACATTTACCACCTAGAAAATCCTTGACTGTCACTGGCTGATGGATTATTTCGGTACGCTATTTTGTGACTCTCACTAGGACGTTTCTATCATGTATAAATAAACTCGATTTGTGTGCTTATCAACCTCGTATTTTTTGGTTGCTTGTAGAATACACTTTCTACGCCTTATCAAGACTTCTTCCTCTACTTAGTGGGACCTTGGGACGCTCAGATTAAAGTAGCCTATCATGTCACTGGATCATTTGTCTTCACTCTCGTTTACCTTGTAAGGTGAACTCGTAATAATAGCATTCAATCATATCAGCACAACACAATTTGATCTCTGTGTGTGCTAATGTGCTATGATAACTTGAACTGATGAACTTAAGTACATACGAAGTCCTACGTTGCAGCTGACTGACTGGTCTGAAATTATCAATCATGTGCTGACATTAGTGTGTCTTTTTAATGACTATATTATATTCATATATAAATTTTAAAACGAAAGCAGAAAACTAGTAAACTGAATAATTTTGAATTGAAACTAGTTAGATTTTATACGAGTTCCAAATTCAGTTGTAAAATACTTAACTCGTCATTTTGGATACTCGACTCAACTCGAAAACCGTTATCCATCATACATTGACTGAAGAAATAACCATATTTATGCACTTAGAATATAAAAACTTTAGTAATTGCTCGACGCATTAGTGTTTATACCCGGAGGGTTATGCATGAGGTTAGTAACCCCATCTCATGAGCATATAACTCGTTATAAAACGCTAGCTAGAAACATATTTCGCTAGTCAGCGACCTATTCTTCATTAGTGGTAATAGGCGTAAACAAGTAAATTAAGTAATATATACATTATTTAATAAGAAAAAATGTATTACTTACACCATCTGTACACATATAAGACACATTATGATCAAATCGACCAACATCTTTAACAACTAATAAAGCTCTACCACCATTCGTTCCTATCACTTCTTCTTTACCAGGACGTAAATCTTGACGATCTGTACGCATCCAGAATACTTTACCGCCTTGCTTACCGGTAACTGTAGATAATTCACATAGAAATTGTACAGTTGTTCCAGGACGTGCTTTAACTTCTTCAGGTGTTACAGTCAAATCTAAAATATGAAAAACAATTTAAAATTATATAGTTAGTCGTAACATAAATATTTATTAACAGTTGTCTATGCAAAATACTTCGGATTCCTTGGCCAGACACCATCAACAACAACCTGTTGCGGAAGAGGACAAACCAGATTCCAGCGGAGGAGGAAATAAGAAAGAAGAACTGGAAGTAAATAGGACAGACATTGAGGAAAGCTCTGGACTGTATCACAAGACAAGCCCTCACATGGAAACCTCAAGGTCAAATGAAAAGAGGAAGACCATGGAACACATTACGCCGAGAGCTAGAAAGGAGACAGACTTGAGAAGAATGAACAAACGTTGGACAGAACTAGAAAGTGAAGCCCAGGACAGGGTAGGTTGGAGAATGGTGGTCATTGGCCTATTCTCGACTGGGTGTAACAGATGTAAGTAAGTACGTAATAAACTTTGAATAAATAAAATCTTATCAAGATTTACAAAAATTTATTAAACTCGCTGATGTTCATTACTAATATTCTGTTAAAATAGTGGTCGAAAGTTAACAATAATTGAAGCCAAAATCGGAATCATCTACTGGGTGTATATGTATTTTAGAGCTGATATTCACTCCGGAATTCAAAATCGTCCGTGAGTTATCCACTTAACTACTGAGAGTGAATTTGATGCCCATGTATTCATCAAAACAGATCGAATTTCAGTCAAAAATAGCAATAATGAAATGAAACGTAGCATTGGATTATAATAGTAATAGGGAAGCACTGGACAACCGTTTCGTCCTGGTATGGGACTCATCAGAAGTGCGCATTCACGACTCCTACACCTTGCGGGATTCGAACCCAGGGCCTTTGGTCTTGTGTAACTTAACAGTCTTCACAACCCTGTTATGCAATTACCTATGCTCACTAGTGACTAGCTCCGTGAGGAATCTTCTGTGAGTTCTAGTGGAAAGTCGTGACCAGTGAAGTTCAACCAGTTCGGGTGTAGAAAGTAATGACCGAAGACAGCGAATGAGGTTGCGCAAGACCGTGATTTGATTGAACTTAGACATTGATACCGTTAAATGCCACCGGCTCAGTGGTCCAGAGGTTAGACGTTCGCGCGAAGGATCGAAGGTCCTAGGTTCGAATCCTGCGAGGTGAGGGAGTCGTGAATACGCTCTGCTGGTGAGTCCCATAGCAGGAGGAAACGATCGTCTTTCAGTGCTTCCAGGTTTCTAATGGTAGTCGAACATTAATCGATTCAGTATTTCAAATGTGTAACTTAACAATTTTCACAACCCTATAATATAATAGTAATGTCGATTACATTACACTATGTAAGTTACAACTTTTTAAAGTTTGCACATGGTATTATCACTGTGTAGTGCGTATACTTTTATGTCGAGCCCACATGGCTTGTTCCAATGCCGTCGGAAAAATTAACTGATCTATTCTACCTGACTTATGCTTCGCTCGTGTTTGAACCTTATCGGGCAGTCGCTTCTCTCTTGGTTGTTTCTATTCAAGTATGGATTTGCGCATGCTTACTTCATCGACAACCAAGGTAGATCCGATGCAGATGTGAAGGCGCCGATCGACAAATCAAGAGCTGCATTTATACAATTGAAAAATATCTGCAACTCCAAACAACTTTCAACCAAAACCAAAATCAGAGTTTTCAATACAAATGTCAAGACAGTTCTACTGTATGAAGCGGAAACTTGGAGAACTACGAAAGCCATCATCCATAAGATACAGGTGTTTATTAATAATTGTTTACGCTAAATACTTCGGATTCGTTGGTCAAACACTATCAGCAACAACTTATTGTGGGAGAGAACAAACCAGATTCCTTCAGTGGAGGAGGAAATCAGGAAGAAGCTGTAGGAGTGGATAAGACACACACTACGAAAAGCAAGACAAGCCCTCACTTGGAACCCTCAAGGTAATTTTTAGTTGAGTAGCGGCTAGCAGTAAAATCCAATAAACCGAGCTTATCTTTGACCAATCAGCTAAACTTACCTACATCCTAATTCTGATACTAACCAACTACGCCTGGAGCCCCTCCGGTCCCATGTCCGGATAAAAGCAGAGGGTAAGGCGTCGGATTAGCGACCGTTAAAGAAGAAACGCTAATCATAAAAGGTAATTCGAACCATTTATACTCTACCCTGTGAGTCTATATGCATGTACATATATACATATATAAGTGAACAGAAAATATACCGCTGATTGGTCTAATTTAATTAAAATTTGATTAAAAGGCAATTCGATAAATAAGCGACCATTTAGTGAGGAATGTTATTACATAGTTGAGGAAGACCAAAAAAACACACATTACCGCGAGAAATGGGAACAGATATGAGGAGAATGAACAACACTCAGACAGAAGTAGAAAGGAAGACCCAGTAAAGAGTAGGTTGGAGAATAATGGTCGGCGATGGCCTATGCTTCATGAGGGGCAACAAACGAAAGAAATTAGGCAAGTATTTTGTGAGGATATTCATCAAATATCCTAAAGAAATTGTTTTGTAAGACTAATTCTATTGGTCAATATTTAAGGTCGTCCTAAACTATCAAGTTCACACAATTTTAAATATATTTTCCTATTGGTTAGCATTCAAGGTCGACCTAACTGTATAAATATGCATTATCTGTAAAGTTTTATGCTACTCTTCTTCTTCTGTACAAAACCACGATTTTCTGGTTGCTTGTTGAACACACTTTCTATGCCATATCAAGACGTTTTGATACCGTTAATTGGGGGTTTGGGATCCTCGGACTAGAGTAGCCTATCGCGTCAGTGGATCACTTGTCTTAGCTCTCGTTTACCGACTAGGGTGAACTTGTTAAAGTTTCAAGCATATCAGTATTTCTGATGCTTACCCAACAATTCGAACTCAATACTCTTCGCTTCAAATGTAAAATCGTCTCGCATGTCTCTAGGTAGCCATAAGACTATCCAATAATTCAAAACAGTGGTTCCCTTTGATAAATTTGAATAGAGAAATAAGAAGACATATTTTGTGAGATAGTAGTACCATTTCGTGCTTTCTCGTCAGTCACATACAATAATTAATAATTTGATTTATAAGTGTTGGTATTTCCCTTTTGTCAATGGTAACAACTGACACTGATCAGTTTCGTACAGAAGTTGATAATTCGTTAGTTAGGGAGAAAATCAACCAATCAATCAATCAATAAAAATATTTGTTAACTAACCTCTTGTTTTTACAATCAATTTCGCTGTATCTTTCAAATTCAACGCTCTACACACATAAACACCTTCATGATATTTTTGAACATTCAGTATGCTTAAAAATGATGTGTGTGGAGTTGCGGAAGGATTATCAATCTTGACATCAGGATGCAGTGGAATTTCTTGTGTCCCGCCTTCTGGTATAAAATACCAATCGATCAATTGATTCCCGTTTTCTGTTCCATCTAATCGACAATGAAATTCCGCGATATCATTCACATTTGCCCATAGTTCCTCTTCTTTTGGTAGAACGCTTAGGGAGGCGATAGCTGAATAAATTATAAAAAGTAGTATTTTTAAGTAGTATAGTACTATTGTCAAAAAAAATAACTTACACAGCTTGATGAATATTAATTCAAATGTTTGTCTTTTCTTAGAACGTAATCATTCCGTACCATCCTAGATGGCGATGGCCGTTTCACCCTCGTATGGAACTCATCAGTGGCAGTGCGCTCCTGCTACACGCAGGATTCTAACCCTGGACCATCGGTCTTGTGCGCAAACGGCCCAACTCCAGACCACTGGCATACAACAGTGTTAATGTCTAACTTTGATCAATCTAAGGATTGTTGCTCAACCTCATCCCTTGTCTTTGGTGTAGGTAGCTGCCTACAGCCGACAGGGTTAAATCACTTTAGCAGTCTCTCCAACTTCAATATCTTGGCTGGTCAAGTTTATCTGAGATTCCAAAAACAATGACAAGTATTCTCTTTTAGCTATGGTAATTTACTGTATATTTTTACGACACATATACCATCCAAACTGCTTGTGTTACATCGAGCTTAAGGTAATTCTATTAAACTTCTAAATGTATGATTTAACACTGTTGGATGCCAATGACGGCTTAGTATTCCATAGGTTAAGCGTTCGCTCTTGACCGAAGGTCCTTGGATCGAATCCCACGATCACAGGTCGTGAATGTGCACTGCCACTGATGAATCTCTTACTAGGATGAAACAGCTGTCCAATGCTCTCAGGTTTCTAATAGTAATCTAACAAGGATCGATTCATGTATATACATACATATAGATAAACACACCTGTTTTGTTCAGTAATAAAAAATTTACATTTTACAAAAACAACTATTTTGTTCATGCAATCAACATACTATTTTCATTCCTTAATTTCTTAAAACAATCTGATTACCTTTTTAAATTAAAATGTTACAATGCATGTGTTCATTTTAAAAAAAATGTTTTTGAAAAGCAACTGTATAAACAATCCCCAAGGCATAATAATAATACTAATTTGAAGAATGGATTTATGACTTTTTTTAATGGGAAATTTTTTAATTCTGAATAAACTACTGATCGTTAAGATTGTAGGCGAATAAGTTTACAAGTAGTTTGTGAAATAACATTGTGTGTAATAACGCAAACCTCTAAAACTGTGCCCCGAAATATCGTAACAGTGCTCATTAGTGACTAGCTTCGTGAGAAAATTCTAGGAGTTCTAGTTGAGAAGACGTGACCAATGGAGTTCATAACCCTGTCGGGTGTAGGCAGCAACTACCAAAGACAATCAAGGGTGAGTTCTCGCAAAATTCCTAGATCAATCAGAGTTAGAGATTAACACCGTTGGATGTCGGCTCAGTGGTTCGATGATTAGGCGTTCGCCTACAATATCAAAGGTCCTGGGTTCGAATTTCGCAGGGTGCAGGAGTAGTCGATGCCCACTGCTGGTGAGTAGTCCCATACCAGGACGAAACTGCCGTCCAGTGCGTGCTTCCAGGTTTCTTCTAATGGTGGTCTAACAATGATTGATTGATGATTTCAAATGTGTAAAAACGCAAACCTCCAAAACTCTGCCCCAAAATAACAATGTAATTATATTTGTGATGTTATTATTTCAAAAAAAAAGGTCAGGTTTCTACAAATGAATCAGTTAGATTTACACTTTTTTGATGAAAATCAATTAGAACAACATCGATAATAATAAAACAGTGGTATTGTTTACGATTAGATCGTCATCAGGCTGCGCTACTCTCTCTCTCTAATATACATGAATATATTTATATATGAAAATGTTAAACCACCAATCAAGGAAATTTATGAGTCAGTAATCACGATAAAATGAAATATAGATTACGTCACTACATATAATAGGCAAAAGTACAAGTGGATAGTAGGAAGACAGGTATACTGATAGTGTGGTGTGTGCTACTTATACGAACGATATAAGTAGTATAAGAATGGACGTGAAAGAAGAGGTCTTACGGTCAGAAGAGGAAAACGGAAAGCAAATAGAGCAAAAACAAGAAGTAAATGGAGTACACCAACAGAGGAAGGAAAGGAAGCAACAACGGGAATGGAAGAAGAAGGATGGAGTGTTGGAAGTCACGACGACTCAAAGATGGTGTGCAAATAGAGTGTTCAATGTAATGTTTTCGTTTTTAGTTGACTCAAAGTGTAAATTTGCATCAGACAATCTTCCTCGCCTGCCCCTTATAAAGTACGATGCCAAAGGTTTTATCAATAGTAGGTCAAAGGTGGATGAATAGACTTCAAACAAACATTAAAAACATCAAAATCATTACGTAATCAGCAAATGTGTAAAAATAAAATAAAAATAAAAAATATATAATGTCAATCGTTTGTTACGTCATATTCGGCCACGGAAGAGCTAGGGGTGTTACGAAGTTCTTCTGAACACAATAATTGGGGTTAAATGTACGCATTCCTATGGCTTCTGCTATGCGTGTAGGAGACGGGATCGAACTCCGTCGGAAAATGATGGAGATATACGGGAAAGATCACTCGAAAAGATCTAGACTTATCTGCAGTATGACCACTATCAACCAGGTATGCTAAGATCGAACTGCGTATTATTTCTGACTGACCCTTCGTAAACCATGCTGGGAATGTTCACTCATTCATTGGGTAAGTTGCCTTGTAGTACGTCCTATATAGCTATCTCCACAGGAGCAGCTGAATTTGTAAATGCACATAGAGGAGGCCAGCTCAGGTAACTTATCTTTCGTTTGAGTAAACATCGCTGGTCAACTTGACAAGGTCAACGCAAGGTTGGCTGCATTGAATGTTCTATTAATTGCTCTTATTAATCTGTCCTGCAGAGTATCGCAGGCCACATCTCCGTTGAATTGTAACTTCATAAATAGTGGTTTCTTTCGGACGGTCGAAATTACTGACTTCTTATTTACACCAACCATATACTTCCGTATGAATTCACTGGGGTAGCCGATCTCGATCAGTGAGTTGTTGATAAATTGCAGCTCCTGACTTAAAGTATCCATTGAACATAACATATTTGCTCTGTAAGTGAGACATCTAACCAAATTTCTTTTGTAGCGGATAGGTGAAAAACTACAAAAGTGCGTGTGTATTGGCAAGCATTGGGATTTTTTCTATACACGCTTCTACTTAATGAACCATCACTTCGCCTACTTAGTGTGATGTTAAGGAAAGTCAGTTTTTTATCATATTCCCCTTCACCAGTGAACGTGATTGCCGGATGTACACTGTTGAATTGTTCTAAGAGTTCTAAGTTTTAAAAAACTGTGATCATCAGTGACTAGCTTTTTGAGACGATTCTCGGAGTCCCAGTGAGAAGACGTTACCAGTGGAGTTATCTAGCAAAGACATTGGACGAGGTTGCGCGAAATCCTGAGATTGGTCAAAGTACGCCATTAAAAGCGGTGGATGCCACCGGCTCAGTGGTCTGGAGGTGAGCCGTTTGCGTGCAAGATTGATGGTCCTGCGTTCAAATCCTGCATGTAGCAGAAGCCGTGGATGTGGTTACGAAAGACCGCAGATTGATCAGAGTTAGACATTAATACCGTTGGATGCCACTGGCTCAGTGATCTATAGGTTAAGTTTTCACGTTCAAAACCGAAGGTCCTGGGTTTTAATCCTGAGCGTGACAGGAGTCGTGTATGTTCACTGTTGACGAGTCCCATACCACGACTAAACGGCCATTCAGTGCTTCCAGGTTTTTAATGGTTACCTAGCAATGATTTATCCATGATTTTAAGGTGGAACTACGATCTCCATGAAATATTCTAATGTATTAGAACCATTGTGAACTACTTTAAGACTCCGATCATAGATCTGTCCGAATACCAATCAGTATTGATTAACTCCATAACGAAGTGCCACGCAATCACTAATCTTAGTACTTCGATGTCACATGAACTATGTTGGGATTTCAGGTGATTGGATGTAATTTTTAGGAAAGTATCTTTGATATAGGTTTAGTTACATATCTTCAGAAAGCATAACTATAATCCTTAGAGGATTGATCCTTCTTTCGGGATTTGATTCCCAAATTCAAAGCTTCCCCGTGCGAGAATGTATCGCTAAGTTATTTAGAACATGACTGAGCATTCAACAGAATTAAGATATCCACAATTGATCTATCGCTGAATAGTGACTACCTACTTACGTACGTACGCCTGTTACCCCCTATGGTGCATAGGCCGCCTATCAGCATTTTCTAACCTACTCCGTCCTGGGCTCTCTCCTCCAGTTCTATCCAATCGCTGTTCATCTGCCTCCAATTCTCGGTGTATTGTAACTTTTGGTTTTACTATTTTCCTTTGGCCTTGAGGATTCCAAGTGATAGCTTGTCTTATGACACAGTTGGGTGGTTTCTTCAAGTTGTGTGCTAGCTACCTTCACTGCATTTCCCTGATTTCTCCCACAAATGGAATCTGCTTTGTTCTGTCCCCCAGTAGGTTGTTACTGATAGGGTCTAATCAAAATCTATTTTAATCCACACCACAGTTTCGTTAGATTTCACCAAAGTATTTATATCATAGAACATTGCACAATACAGTTCAAATGTTCATCTATTATGTTACTCAAGTTGATATAACAGGAGTAATATATGCCTCTTTATTATACACAGTAGGGATATGAGTGACTGGATACTCGAACGACACATTACACAAAGACTTGATCACGTTAAACTGGATACACCATTCAAGACCAAACCAGAAAACCTGATTATAAGCGCTACACAATTACAAGCAGTCACTTATATTCAGTGCAACCGTGTCGAATTTATGAGGTAGGTAACCAACCACCAAAACTAATGAGTGAAGTTAGGCATTTTTCTGGATTGACTGAAGTTAGACATTAAAACTGTTGCATGCCGGTTCAGTGGTCTACAAGTTAAACGTTCTTTCTAAAGACCGAAGGTCCTGTGTTCGATTATTGTTGTGGTGCGAGCTACTCACAAGTAGTATATGACGTGAGTGTCAACGTAATGTCTGGCAAGCAGAAGATGGGGGAAGATCAAGAAAGGATCAAGAAAGGAAGAGTTAGAAGAACACAATGGAATTTGTATGAAACGCATGAATAGTGACAATGGATTGATGTTTTGCAACAGGAACAGTCCAGTTCGATATGATGGACTGATGTTTTGCAAATTAACAATTTACGATATGGTTTTCCTATTTTACTGAGTAACTCTGTAATTTTCGTTAAATACAATCAGGTTGCATCACCTGGGTTCTCGTTCACTACATTTGGTGTCGCTGCCTGCTCGAAGGAAGCAGTTCCCGTGGCCGAAAGGGGTTGAAGGGCGGAGATTTACGGAGCTTCCTGGAGGAGTTTGAGGCCGCGGTGGAGCTGGTGGAGCCCAAGGCGGAGTTGGCGGTGCTGGGGACGCTGCGGGGAGGTGATGCGAAGGCGGTATACGACAGCCTGGACGGTGCCGCCGGGAAGACGGCGTGGGAGATGGTCACCGGGTGGCTGATGACGGAGTTCGACAGCCCGGTGGACATGGAGGAGGTGCCGCAGAGGTGCCGGTTGGCAAAGCTGTCGGTTGATGGTGACCCGTTGGTGCTTGCTGTGGAGCTCACGATGTTGCTGCGCCGTACGCTGTCGAGTATGGGCGGGGAGTCAGGGGCATAGTTGTCGGCGTCGCAATTTATCGAGTGTGCCTGCCGCCGTGCCCCAGCAATGGGAACTAGTAAACGCTACACGTTGGATAGATGCAGTACCCATTCCAGACCAGCGGGCAAGAACAATGACCGAAGTAGTAATCCGGCATTTTGTAGCTCGTCACGGAATACGGAAGGTGATAAGTAGTATATGACGTGAGTGTAAACGTAATGTCTGCCAGCATAATATGGGGGAAGATCAAGAAAGGAAGAGTTAGAAGAACACAATGGAATTTGTATGAAATGCATGAATAGTGAAATGTCAGACAATGGACTGATGAGTTGCAACAGGAACATTCCAGTTCGATATGATGATGAACTGATATTTTGCAAATGAATGATTTACGATATGGTTTTCCGATTTTACTGAGTAACTCTGTAATTTTCGTTAAATACAATCCGGTTGCCCCAACCTGTGTTTTCGTTCACTACATCGTGTCCGGATTAAGTGAATGCGAACTGTTGAAGAATTCAGAGAGTGGTGCCAGATTTCTAATGCCAGTCTAACAATGATTCACTCATGATATCACAATGAAACCCGACAATCTCCACAACTCTACATATTCGTTCAAATTCAATGATTAGTCACCTTTTCTTTTCAATATCCACACATCACAAATGATGGTGATAGGTCACTATGCTGTCATGTCATTGAAATTAGTTTAGAAGCCGATGAAAAGTACACTTTGAAACAAAACTACAAACTACTGAACATATATGTTTACATCATAATGTAGAAATGCATAGAAATATACACATTATGGACTATGAAATAACTGTCATCTCTTGTAAATTTTCATAGTAGATAATACTTATTTGTACAGTAAACAAATCATCGTTATATGTATATAAAAATTTCGATATCGAAATGCAATTTTTATCGTCAAAACAAACATTCTAATCTCTCCATCTCTCTCTCTCTGTTTCGAGTGATATTTGAAATTCTGTTTTTGTTATTCGTACATTGTGGTTATCACATTTTTCAAAAGGTCAACATTTTTGTGTATATATCAGCTTAATAATAATAAAAACAACACAATTTGCACTTATATTTCTCCACCTCTCTCTTTAAAATGTCAACCTTAAATAGTAGTAGTCATCTTATGCATGAATGTATCTATTGACAAATGTTAGTACTTGATTGCAAAGTTTTTACAATATTTGACTTCATATTGTCTTTGATGATGGTGGCTATGAGGATGATGGTGAGGATATTTCCAAAATAAGCACACAACCGGAAATTAACGAACACTGACTGGAATCTTCGATGCAACACATCATGAACCAACCAAATCACTCTTGATGGAGATGCTGCCTTGGAGGACGTTAACACCTTTACATTATCTATTTGGGCAGCATCATCGACGACAATCAAGGTGGATCCGATGCAGATGTGAGGGCGCGGATCGGCAAAGCAAGGGCTGCATTTCTACAGTTGAAAAATATCTGGACAAATCCAATAGACTATATATACATATATATAAGTTAACTTACTTGGTGCTCTAATGATATGACCTCGTAGTTTTTTGGAATTCTGTTGACATTCATATAAACCTTCATGAATATTGCCCATTTCTTTAATTGCAATTACACTTGTACGTAATTTATCTAAACGATTTGTACCAGTCGGTAAAGTTCCACCATTGAATGTCCAAATCACCTAAAGATCACGTGAGAATTTTAACGGAAATAAGCAAATAAAACTTATTATCAGGTATAACAACTTCAGCTATAGTTCAAAAATGTTCATCATTCATAAAAATATTCCTGAATGTTGCGCAAGACCGTGAATTTTATCGAAGTTAGACATTAAACACCGTTAGATACGTGTTACGCTCGTCACTTGATGTGCTTGAATGCTATTACGAGTTCACCTTACAAGGTAAACGAGAACGAGACAATGATCCAGTGACATGATAGGTTACTCTAATCCAAGCGTCCCAAGGCTCTACTAAGTGGATGAAGAAGTCTTGATATGGCGTAGAAAGTGTATTCTACAAGCATTTATTTATGCATCATAGTAACGTCCTTGGGAGAGCCACAAAAATAGCGTACTAAAATAATATATCAACCAATAACAGCCAAGGATTTTCCGAGGAGGAAATGTAATCTTAACGTCAGCTGACCAGGCCATGAATAAAATGCGAAATTAAGGCTTTTGTCAAGTGAGTTCTGGGGATATAACCTCCCCAACAATACCGGCTTGGTGGTCCAAAAGTTAGGCGTTCACGTGCAAGATCGAAGGGTGCAGTTGTGTTGGACGTACACGGCCACTGACAAGTCCCATACTAGGACGAAATGGCCGTCTTTCAATGCTTCCAGCTTTCTTCTAATGGCAGTCTAACATTGATCGATTCATGATTTCATGTAAAATACTCATCGATTCAATCTATAGGTAATTTTGAATTTTGTATTCACGCATGATGGAGATCGTTGTTTGTAAAACATTGAATCAATGAAATAAATCATTGTCAGACCAACATTAGAAGAAACTTGGAAGTACTGATACGGGACTCCTCAGCAGTGCGCATCCTTGATTCCTGCTACTCTCGGGATTCGAACCTAGATCTTTTGATCTCTGTAGAGTAATCAACTTCAGTCATCAGTCTACATTTTTAAAAATTTGATATCCGATATTTAGATTCGAACGTTTGAATATTTTTGTTTGAGGTAACAATCAGTTGAAGATTCAAACTGTCATTATTCTATGGTTCTTATGTTTGTTTTATTGAAATTCGATTCAGCTCCCAATTCTATCATGTTTTATTCAATATTCAACGTTTGCTATTGTTTAAATGTATACACTTTGTTGATACGTGCACATTTCAGTTTAGACCTTCAAGCAAAATATATATGTAAATGGGCTTGAGGCATTCAGCATACTGAGTTTATATTTTGTGTTAGTAGATACTTACTTACTTATCAACCAGGCATAGCCCCCCTCACTCATGATGCAGTTAAAGTTAACCTGTTTGATTTGAATCAGCCTCACTTAACTACTAGTGTGGTGTGAGCTACTTATAAGCAGTATATGACGGGAGTGCCAACGTAATGTCCGGCTGCAGAATAGGGGGGAAGACCAAGAAAGGGAGAGTTCGGAACACAATGGAATTTGTATGAAACGCATGAATAGTGATAATGGATTGATGTTTTGCAACAGGAACATTCCAGTTCGATATGATGGACTGATATTTTGCAAATGAACGATTTACGATATGGTTTTCCTATTTTACTGAGTAACTCTGTAATTTTCGTTAAATACAATTCGGTTGTCCTCACCTGTGTTCTCCTTCACTACAGTAGTAGCTGGTTTCAGGAGGAAAATCTCAGTGTTCTAATGAGATGTAACCAATGCCACTCAACTGAGTCGAGTGTGACGTACTTACCTACCGAAGACAGCGGATAATGACCACACATTCAGTTTTAGACTATTTTAACTGATCCATTTCATCTGTTTCATTGATTTCTAACCCTGTCTCTTGACGATATCTGATGTTAAGAACACTAACGACGGTGATTATACCATTTATTAACATTAATAAATTGTCTATAATATAACATGATCTTATCTTTCTGAGACAGTGTATGGGTTTATCATAATAATTCATGAAGTGGGTTTTTATTTCAGTCAATACATATACATATATATATATAAAAACCACCCCGTCTGGAGCCCCTCTGGAGCTACTGCCGATCCCAAGCCCACATAAAGCAGGAGGGTTGGTGACCCCATCCCGTAGAAAGCTAACTCGTTAAATAAAACGCCAACCAGAAAAAATAATTCAAACAATCTTAACTATGCCCTGAGAGTCAAAAGGTCTTAATTTAGAAGTTATGTCTCATAATGAAAGCCGAGTTGCTTCAGAAGTCGCAGGTCCGATGCCCCTCCTCACAACCAGGGCACCTATTCATTTAGGTACATGGTATTTCCGTACAATATGGAACACGGGAAAAACCATTCAAGTTGTTGCGGAAATGAAAAGATACAATCTGGTAATACTTGGATCCAATGAAATACATTAGACATAGGTTGAACAACAAAGACTAGCTTCGCTAGAGTTGTTGTTACACTCCAACCATAAAGAAGAAAATGCCCTACCCATACAAGGAGTTGCATTGATGCTATCTAAACAAGCACTGATAGGATGGGAATTTCATGAACCCGGGATCATCAAAGCCTCCCTCAAAACAAACAAAGATGGCATTGCAATCGATAACATTCAATTCAGCGAGCGGCCTGTGCTCCACTAAGGGAAACAGGCAAAGGTAAGTAAGTAGTATATATATATGATATTAAAATAATTTCAAATTGTTTTAAATTTGGTTTTTAAATGAGAAACAATTCTTTTTTTTCATACATTTGCTCCTGTTCCAACAAAATCTTTCTCTAATTCACAGTGTAATTCTAAAGATTCACCATTTCGATAACTGAAAATTTCCGTGGTTCTTTCCGTCAATTCTATAATAACACAAGGTAGAAAAATAAAAGCAGAACAGTAAATGATAGACAGTAGTATCATGAAAAATAATTTTGAGGAATCATTGAACCTCTGTTTTCATTCACGTATAAAAGATTCATCAACAGTGCCAATCCATGACACTCGTAAACGAGAAACGTACCCTGGTCTCGCTCACTTGCGTGCGTGCGCGCGCACGCAAACATTTTACCTCTAGACACCACTGACTGAGTCAATAACATTCATTAGTGTTAATATGTCTAACGTGTTTTTACTAAACCTTTATCTATTTATTGTCTGGCGTCCAGCACATGTGGATAAAACTGAAAATTAAGGCTGAGAAAAAAGTAGGTTGGAGAATGTTGGTCGGCGATACCTATACTCCATGATGAGTAAAAGACGTAAGTAAGCACGCAAATAAGTTCATCATATAGTTTTTGAATAGTTCTAAATGAGGATACAGCTGGACATAGATTTCTGTTTAGTGATTTTTTAGCGAGTTAATTTTCTAAGTGTTACGCATGCCTGTGAACACGTCATTTTGATATGCTTGAAGTAATAAGAGTTTACCATAGTCGGAATACGTGAGTGAGGATCGAGGATCGGGCAACACGACATGCTACTCAAATCCGATTATCCCAACTCCCGATTGAGTATAAGAAGTAGACTTGATATGAAGTAAAACATGCATTCTACAAGCATCAAGAAAGTACGAAGTCCGAGTCCAGGAGAGAATCAGGATCCCGGACTAGGGATCCGGGTCCTGGTCATAAAGCGTTACAGATCAGTCAGTCAGTCAGATGCAACGTAGAACTTCGTACGTAAGTACATCAGTTCATGTTGCCATACCACATCAGCACAGAGACATAATTGTCAATTCAAATACAATAGTAGAAGAGATAGTAAAAGTTTTAGAGGTAATCGGAGAGGTTAGGATTAGAAGGTATTATTCAATAAGTATGATTCATTGAGAAAAGTTGAGAAAGTCAAAACTAGAGGTGTTGAAGAATCCAGAAGATTAGGATTTGAGAGAACACAATGAATAAATGCACCGACGCCATTGCAAATAGTTTTGAGTCATGTAATTCAAGGTCTCTAACCATCGATTATTATCATCTCGCGGACCCCAACCAGGTAGTCGACAATTACAGACATGGCTAAGTCCACTTGTTAATGACTACATGGATTTCTGCCATGTTTTGGTTTGGCCGCCCCTAACTTTCTTCCAACCTACTCCTACACCACCAAACAAAGCTCTTCGAGGCAGTCGGTGGTTAGGCCTACGCAACGCAGGTCGACCATAAAACTGACCAGTAGGAATTAACCAATAGGAATTGACCAATAAAATTCTCTTATGATAGTGGATGAATATCCTAACACTACGGGGTGGGATCGCTAACCCCATGCCCTGCCGGCACTAGCCTAAGAGGGGCTCCAGGCTCACAAAGATGACTAAAATTTACTAGATGTCCAACAATTGACGATTTCATATTCACCTTTCAATAACCGTATTACATACCATTATCAAGATTTTCTCACATTTCACTTGCAAACATTTGATAGACAGTAGAATGAATGAATTAAATCCCATACCCATTAATCACTATAATTAAATTATATTTTTAAGAGAAAAATAAAAAATTATTCTCAATTATTTTCATTTATGTCATTAATCATTCCATGTCTTTTCATTTCTCTCTACTGAATACATTCTCCAGTTAGTCTTATTAGTAGTATATACATAAACTTCCTATCTCTCTCTCTCTCTCACTGATTGACTGACTAACGAGTTATTCCTGTTGTAAAATGTTTTAATAAAATCAACATCAAACTTGTTCATAGTTTGTTTGTTCACATTAAAAAGTAATTGGCAAATTAAGCTTTACATTTCGGATTTATGTGTAAAATTTATTACTATTATCAGTATTTTTATTAGTAGTAGTAATTGAAAGTTTTTATTCCCGTCTTCTGAATGAATAATTTATAAATAAACACTACTAATTAGGTCAATAGATAGTAATTAGTAAACAACATTTATTATTCATAATAATGTTGTGAAATTTTGTGACAGTTAAGTAAAATATTACTTAATAAATATATTATTTAATAAATAGTAGTAGTTGTATACAATATATATATGTAAAATTGGAATTGTATGCGAAATTGAACAATGAACGGTTCAATGTTCAACTATTTTTTTTGATACACAATTTCAAATTACTGTTCTTCAGTCAGTCAGATGAAACGTAGAACTTCGTATGTAAGTACATCAGTTCATGTCGCCATACCACATCAGCACAGACACCCAATTGTCAATTCAAATCCCATAATAGAAGCAGAGGTAGTAAAGGTATTAGAAGTAATCGGAGATGTTAGGATTAGAAGATATTATTCAAGAAGTATGATTCAGTGAGAAAAGTTTAGAAAGTCAAAACTAGAGGGGTTGAAGAATCCAGAAGATTAGGATTTGAGAGAACACAAAGAATAAATGCACTGGCGCCATTGCGAACGATTTTGAGCCATGTCATTCAAGGTCTCTAACCATCGATTATTATCATCTCGCGGACCCCAACCAGGTAGTCGACTACTACCGACATGGCTCAGTCCACTTGTCAGTGACTTCATGAGTTTCTGTCATGCTTTGGTCTGGCCATCCCTAGCTTACGTCCAACCTATTCCTACACCGTTAAATATAGCTCGACGAGGCAGTCGGTGGTTAGGCGTACGCAGCACATGTCCCAACCACCTCAACTGATGAAGTTTCAATACTACATCTATTGATCTGCCATTCTTACCTAGCACTCGATTCCTAATAACAGCGTTGCTCACTCGCTTGTCCCACGAAATACGAGCAATGCTTCGAAGGCATTTCAAATGAACATACACACATATATAAATAAATACTAATTAGGTCAATACATAGTAATTAGTAAACATTATTATTCATAATAATGTTGTGAAATTTTGTGACAGTTAAAATAAATATTACTTAATAAATATATTATTTAATTAACAGTAGTAGTTGTATACAAAATATATATATATATATATATATATATATATATATATATGTAAAATTGGAATTGTTTGCGAAATTGAACAATGAACGAACGATTCAATGTTCAACTATTTTTTTGATACACAATTTCAAATTACTGTTCATCATCATTCAAATTTATTTATATTTATATATTTAGTGTTTTAATTATTGTTTTCTCAAAATTATAAATTACATTATAAATTTTATGAATACAATTTTGAAGATGATCAACATAGAAGGAAATAGTAGTAGTGTGGTGCGCGCTACTTATAAGTAGTATATGACGCGAGTGTAAACGTAATGTCTGGCAGCAGAAGATGAGGGAAGATCAAGAAAGGAAGAGTGGGAACACAATGGGATTTGTATGAAACGCATGAATAGTGAAATGTCAGACAATGGATTGATGTTTTGCAAAAGGAACAGTCCAGTTCGATATGATGGATTGATATTTTGCAAATTAACGATTTACGATATGGTTTTCCTATTTTACTGAGTAACTCTGTAATTTGCGATAAATACAATTCGGTTGCCCTCATCTGTGTTCTCCTTCACTACACTAGTACTAGACTCTTCAGTATTGAACAACCACAACCTAATCACTTTGACTTATTTTTTCTGGTTAGCGTTAAGGCATGGGGCCGCCAACCCGATGCCCAACCCTCCTCTTTAATCCGTGCTTGGCAATGGCAGTAGCTCTAGAGGGGCTACTCAAAACAACTGTCAACAAACACCAAAATCATAATTTTCAATACAAATGTCAAGAAAGATCAACTATGTGGAGTGAAAACTTGGAGAACTACGAAAGCCACCATCCAGAAGATACAAGTGTTTATTAACAATTGTCTACGCAAAATACTTCGGATCCTTTGACCAGACACTATCATCAACAATCTACTGTGGGAAAGAACAAATCACATTCTAACGGAGGAGGAAATCAGGAAAAAGCACTGGGAGTGGATTAGACACACACTGAAGAAAGCACCCAACCGCAAAACAAGACAAGTCATCAGAGTAAAAGGAAAAGAGGAAGCATAAGCAACACATTACGCTGAGGGATGGAGACAAGCGTGAAAAGAATGAACGATAATTGGACAGAACTGGAAAAGGAGACGCAGGACAGAGTAGGTTGGAGAATACTGGTCGGTGGCGTAAGTAAGTAAGTAACTAAGTACAACCTTACCACTACGGATCGGACTCAGAACCTTCTGTTTCACTTGTAGATGCCTAACCTGTAGACTGATAATAAGCCGTGACTGGTGAAGTTCAGACGACTAGAGCATGATACAGTTATCCACCTTGCAGACTGTTTCACGTATATGAACAAATTCATCGATTCCCAAATAGGATTTTATTTAAAAATATTTGGTGAATATAATTTCTACAAAATAACAACGGAAATTCAATACTTACCCATCTTTCCAGTTGTACCAAGAGGTTTCGGTTCTAAATCCAGTTGAATTGACCCGACAGTTTCGCCAGTTTCAGATGAAACAGCTTCACAAGTAATCAATGTATCACGTTTAACACCCTCATCTGGCACATGATCAATGATGAGTTGACGAACTATTGTCTCACTATCACCAATCTTTCCCTCTTCAACTGTTGACCATTGATAATTGTAAGTGGATGTCGTGGCTTCGTTCGATGGCATATGACATTGTAAAATCACAGATGGATCATCAGGATCAATTCTTCGTGATATTGTAATATATGGAGTGGCTGTGAACAATGACGAAATTAAATATTCATTAAGCATCATCATAGGGTGCGTTTTGTGGAAATCATGAACTTAACAATGTTAGAAACTTGGAAGCACTGGAAGACCGTTTGGAAAACTGTTTAACTCTGATCTGACATCAGAGAACCAACTGTCGAGTAATGAACTCCACCTGGGGCTCCTCCGGGCCTGCTGTCGATCCCAAGCCAGGATAGAGGAGGAGAGTTAGGCATGGAGTAGGCAACCCTATCGCGTAGGAAACTTACTCGCTTAAAAAACGCTAACCGGTAAGTAGAGTAATCGAATGATGTAGTTAGTATTTGCTTCTGGTTGGTCATTTATTGTGACAGCAGAAAGATGCTGGTTTAGAGTCAGCTACAATACAGATTTTCTTCAATCTTTGTATATCAGAATGTATTACTGATGCGCTATACATAACGTCCTTAATGTCATATCAAAATAGCTAGTGAAACTCGCTTTTTTGTCCCAGTGTTCATACCCATCCAACCAATGACACTAGAAGATGGATGAAGTTGGGAATGTAAGCTCTACCAGATAATGAACACGTGGTCTATTGGTTAAGCATTCACTGTGAACATGACCCTTGGTGTGACAAAGCATTTGAGTAGTTCTTCTTAGCTTAAAGCTGTTTTTGGAAGTTAACACATGGTAAAAACTCATGAAATTTAACAATCTTCACAAAATCCGTTTCCCTTAAAAGTATTTTATTTTCTCAAGTCGACCATCGATGTCTACCCAAACGAAGGATAGGCGTTCGCGCACAATACCTAAGGTCCCGGGTTCGAATCCCGTGAGATGCAGGAGTCGTGGATGCCCATACTAGAACGAAACGGCCATCCAGTGCTTCCAGGTTTCTAATGGTGGTCTAACAATGATTGATTGATGACTTAAAATTTGTAAGTTACTGGAGTTGGCTTCCCCTATGTGCATTTACAAATTCAGCTGCTCCTGTGTAGATAGCAGCTATTTCAGGCGTACTACCAGGCCACTTACACTACGAATGAGCGAATATCTCCCAGCATGGTTTACGAGGGGCCAGTTAAAAACAATACGCATTTCTATCTTAGCACATCTGGTTGACAGTGGTCATATTGTAGACAAGTCTAGATCTTTTCGACTGATCTTTCTCGTATATCTCTATCATTCCCCAAACGTAGTTCGATCCCGTCTCCTACACGCACAGCAGAAGCCATAGGAGATCCTTACATTCAACCCCAATTATTGTGTTCAGAAGAAATTCGTGACTACCCTATCTCTTCCGTGGCCGGACATGACTTACTCAACGTTTTAGATTTTATTTTGTTATGATTAGCATCATTTTCACATTCTGTATTTGTTGGTAAGTTTTTGCCTCTTCCCGTTTATATTCTTCACTATCTAATTATTGTTACACACTTCTGATTACGGGTCCCAGGTTTGAATCCTGCGAGATGCAGAAGTCGTGGATGCTCACTGCTACTGATGAGTCCCATACCGGGACGAAACGGATGTCCAGTACTCCCAGGTTTCTAACGGTGGTCTAACAATGATTGATTGATGATTTCAAATCCGTAAAAACACAAATCTCCAAAGCTCTTCCTGAAAATGATTTTAATGTTTAGTAATGATTATTTAAAGGCTATTTATCCACCTTTGACCTACTATCTCCAATGACGAACTGTTGATAAGACTTTTCTTACCACTAACAGTACTTCTCTGTCCTCCTACTATTAACTTGTACATTTTCGCCTATTATATGTAATGACCTGATATCTATTTCATTTCAGTTTGTGATTACTGACTCATAAATTGCCTTGATCGGTGGTTTAACATTTTCATATATATAAATATATTCATGTATACTAGAGAGAGAGTAGCTCAGCCTGATGACAATCTAATTGGTGATACAACACTATTGTTCGCTTAAATCAGTGTTACACATTTTTTGAAACCATGAATCGATCAATGTTAGACCACCATTAGAAACCTGGAAGCACTGAAAGACGGCCGTTTCGTCCTGGTATGGGACTCCTCAGCAGTGCGCATCCACGACCCCTGCACCCCGCAGGATTCGAACCCGGGACCTTCGGTGTTGTGTGCGAATGCCCTAACCGTGGTTTCAGAAGATGTGTAACTTAACATTCTTCACAACCCCGTAATGTAAATCAGTGTTGTTCTAATTTCATTTTAAATGATTTTGTGAAAAGGTTTACTCTAAAGGTAATTTTTTTCCATTTACAAGTATCATCAATCAGATAATTTTTTTGAGAAAAAAATTATCAAACAATTTGACAGATGGTAATTTCTAGTTTTGGGAATTTTTTAGGAGTTTGTAGTTAGCAAACATAATCACATGCACAAATTACAAGCTGGCTAAAAATTGAAAACAGCTGCTGTGGACAAATGAAATAGTTGTTCACTATATATATGTTGAATAGCTCTAGGGATTTCTTTAAATAACGATCATGTTGGAATACCTATTCATCGACCTAGCTGAAAGTTCTAGTGAGAAGATGTGATCAGTGCAGTTCATCTGTGTCGGATGCGAGGCAGTTACCCTCCGAAGACAATGATTGATGGTCTGGTGATTATGGTGAATCGTTTGAAGTGAGACATTAACACTGTTGAATGTGGACTCAGTCAGTGGTCAAAAAGTTAAGCGTTCACGTTCGAGACGGAGTGTCGTGAGTTGGATTCCCCTTCTGTGGCGTTGCAGATGTGCACAGATGCACAGATGAGTCTGATACTCGAACAAAACTAGTTTTAAATAACAGTTTGATATTGATCAGTTCATGATTTTTAATGAAATCAATTTGAAAATCACTCAAATGCTTATCAGTTTTACTTACAATCAATTGATCTACGTGTACGTTTTAAACGAATTTGTTGATCTGATGATGATGATGATGATGATGTTGTATTCAGCTGATCTATCCAACCATATTGACATAGTGGTAGAATATGTTTGGTGTTATATGGCGTGTTATGTGTAGTTTGTTCAAATTTATCATTGTATTCATTCACAATCACATTGCCGATAGGATATTCCCATATGACAAAAGTATTATCATTTGGTACATTAGGACAATGGAAATATTTCGATGTGGCGGAATGAATTAATTTTGCAAAATTAATTTCTAAAATATTGAAAACAAAATTGAAAGAAAAGAAATTATGGTATATATATATAATGAAAGATATTTTAAAAATAATTGTCTGAAAATAATCAGCGAATGTAACGCCCAGCCGATCTACAACATCGGCAGGAATATATGTTTCTTTAGGATCTACCATATCAGGCAAGTCAATTGGAGAATGGTAAGACTAAAAGCAGCAAGTCAAGATCTGAGAGTGAAGTTGCACTGCTGATTGTGTAGTGAAGGAGAACATAGGTGAGGGCAACCGAATGGTGTTTGACGAAAATTACACATTTACTCAGCAAAATAGGAAAACCATATCGTAAATCGTTAATTTGCAAATCTTCAATCCATCATCAATCCATTGTCTGACATTTCACTCACTATTCATGCGTTTCATACAACTTCCATTGTGCTCCGACTCTTCCTTTGTTGATCTTCCCCCATCTTCTGCTGCCAGACATTACGTTTACACTCGCGTCATATACTAATTATAAGTAGCGCACACCACAAATGTAGACGGGTGTGACAGAGGTAAGGTGTTTCCCTCGGACAACTAGCGTTTGTAGCGATGCTGTCTTCCCTTAGGGAAAGAAGGGGTTAGAAAAGGTCGACCATAAAAATGTCACACCTCACATTACCTCACAGATTTCCATCTCCAACAGCAAGTTAATTTGGAGAGCGTAGCTAACACACCAAAAACTTCCCATCAAGAGGACGTGCATGACCGGCCTTAAACATTTGTCCTTTATGATATGTGGTCACGCTCCCAGGTCTCTATGACCAGGTTCCTCGAGAAGTAACCTTACACGGTGTTGGCAGCCTGGAAGTGACATTCGCCTTCATACTAGGTAAAAGCACACCAGACTAAGTCGGTCACAATCTAATCCTTCCTTCCTGACTAACTACATGTTTGAATTAATCTCATTTTTATATCATTAGTAATTGTAATGTAAGTACACATTTAGTGCGTACTTAGTGTGTACTTTTCATTTTGAAGGAAACTTCACACTCTTTTTTTAACATTCAGGCATCAATTTAAAAAAACTAGTTGAATTTATTTACGGTAGTTTGTACACAAAACTACTCCTGGATCCCTTCTAGGGTCGCTGCCGGTCCAAAGCCCAAAATAAAGGAGAAGGTTTAGGCATGGGGTTAGTGACCTCATCCTGTAGAAATCCAACTCGTTAAAAATACACTAACCACAAAAATTAATTCGCTGGTTGGCGAGCTATGTTCCATTAGGGATAACAAGCGTAAGTAAGTAAGTTTGTACACTTTCGTGCTTTCGCGTCAGTCAAATGCAAGCAACATATTATTTGTGTAAATACAGTTATGAAGATAAGAATCAATCAGACGAAAAATACCTCCACTTCACTAGTTTCTGCCCCATACAATATAAACGTTCTGTTGTTAAAACTTTATTCGCTCGAGCAAGTAGAATCTGCACTGCTGATACATTGAACGACGAATTCAAGCTTATTACTGAGGCACTTAAATCAAACGGATATTCCGAAACGTTTACTGGTCATCTGAACACAACTATGACGAAGCTGATAGCAACTGATATACCCAAGAAACCAGTGTACCTACAGTTACATTTCAAGGGTGATCATTGCATGAAAATTACAACCAAACAGACTGCAGCTGCAATAAAAAAGACCTTCAATGCAGCTAATCTGAGGCTTATCACAACAACTCGATCGATCTCAGTTACCCCAACCAAGTCTCCAAGACCGATTAAGTTCAAATCCCACTGTATTTACTAATCCACATGTAACTGTGGAGAAAGTTACTTAGGGAGGACAGATCGCCGATTGGAGGACAGGATACGGGAACATGTTCTAAAATGGTTAATCAAACTTAGCCCGTCATCTCAAGATCGATCAAGAAACCCAGCCTCGTCCATTGCAAAACATCTAATGATGAGTGGTCATCAAATTGACCCAAAATCAGCTTCTAGAGTTGTGACATGTCATCAAAACCCACACACACATTGAAACTACTCGAAGCTATGTTGATTGGTCGGAAAAGTCCAACTTTATGTGTTCAAAAACAACTGTATGTTGAACTTTGTTTACCATAGTTCTAGTGAGTGAGTGAATATCATGCTAAATAAGAAATTTTGACCTTATTTTCAAAACTGTATTTACACACGAATAAATAACATGTTGCTTGTATGTGACCTGACGAGAAAGCACGAAATGGTACTACTAACTCACAAAATATGTCTTCTCATTTCCCTGTTCAAATTTATCAAAGTGAACCACTGTTTTAAAATATTTTTGACATCCTATTTGCGACTTGTCCGTAGGTGAATGCACCTTGCCACTTTTCAGAGTTGATGTTCACTCAAGGACTCGAACTCAGCAACGTTCGCTTCAAACGCCATTGCGTTATCCACTCATCTACTGAATCCAGATAGCCACTTACTGATAAACTGGGACGAAATGCAAATTCTGAATTCCAATGCCAGCCATCATCACGTCTATACTACTAATAAAGCCTTTTAATCTAGTAACAGATTTGAGGCAATTCACACAGAATGTACATTCACCAAAATTTGAGACTAATCAATGTCAAGCGTAAACATCAATTGTTAAAAATAGTTTAGATTTGATTCATCAAAAAAAAATCACTATGATCAATCAATCAATCAATACACTGTGCCAAATTGAATTCGATTCAATGTTCAATGGATACTTGAAAATCCATTCAAGTCAAATGAATGTAAACATTCGTATCCAGCGGAAAAAAAAACAGTAAACCAGAATGAATAATTTACAAAATGATTTAAATTAATTTATTGTGTGTAAATCTTTTATACACGTCCATATCACTACTAATGTATATCATGAATGTTTTGTTTATACTAACTATTTTGGGGAAAAAAATAAATATATCACTAGGTTTTTGAAATTTACAATCGATGAATTGATTGAAACGAAATTCGAATGAACATCAGTGAAATGTATGATTTTCGTGGTGGTGATGGTGTTTTTGATTCTCTGAGCTGGATGTTTTGGTTGTGGAGCTTTCATCATTGCTCTTCTACTGAACAACATCATCGTTAGCACAAACTTCAGACTTCGATGTGAAGTACAAGCTCTATACTCGAACACCACTGGTCGAGTGAGAGCGTATGGTGAACTGTCATCTGAATTCTCTACATCAAGTGATATCCGTCAGGGATGTCCACTTTCTCCATTCTTGTTTAACTTTGTCGTAGATATGCTCTTAGAGTTAACATTAAGCTCTTCAGATTTTTCAGGGGTTGACCTTCTACCTGGAAATCCGCTTACTGATCTAGAATATGCCGAAGACATAGTTCTACTTGGTGAAGAGGCTGACAAAATGCAGAGTCTTCTGACCACCCAAAGCAACAATGCAAGCGTGTTCGGGATGCGGTTCACCCCGTCGAAATGCAAAAGGTCGCTTCACGATTGGGTCGCATCGGTACCTGAACTAGTGATAAGGAGTGAAGTAGTCGAACTTGTCGACCGCTTCACTTATCTTGGGAGTCTCATCAGCGCTGATGGCCTGAAGACTGACGAAATCTCAGCTCGGATACAGAAGGCTCGATTGAATTTTGCCAACCTGCGTCACTTATGGTGTAGGCGAGATATCCGTTTGCTGACTAAAGGACGGGTGAACTGAGCAGCAGTTCGCTCCGTTCTCCTATATGGATGCGAAACATGGCCGTTAAGAGTAGAAGATGTTCGTAGGTTACTAGTATTCGATCATAGATGTCTTAGAAGCACTGATCGTATATTGTGGGACAACCGAGTAAGCAATGCTGTCGTTAGGAAACGAGTACTAGGTAACGATGGCAAATCAATAGATGAAGTAGTGAAACTTCATCAGTTGAGATGGTTGGGACATGTGTTACGAATGCCTAACCACCGACTGCCTCGACGAGCTATGTTTTGTGGTGTAGGAGTAGGTTGGACCAGACCAAAACATGACAGAAATCCATGAAGTCATTGACAAGTGGACTGAGTCATGTTGGTAGACGTAGGCTACCTGGTCGGGGTCCGCGAGAAGAAAGTCACCAATGGTTAGAGACCTTGAAAGTCATGGCTCAAAATCGTTTGCAATGGCGCAAGTGAATCCATTCGTTGTGCTCTCTCAAATTCTAACCTTCTGAATTCCTCATAATGTCTATCTTTCTCCTTCTAAATTTATCTCACTGAATCATACTTTTTGAATAATATCTTCAAACCCTAGTCTTCTTCATTACCATTAATACCTCTACTATCTTTATCACTATGGGATTTGATTTGACATTTGCGTCTCTGTGCTGATGTGGTATGGCATCATGAACTTATGTACATACGTACGAAGTTCTACGTTGCAACTGACTGACTGACCATATGCGGACTTCATTTCATCAATCTGAAGTTTCATGCTGATGATGTTTTTGTTCAAAAGAGGAACCACGATAGCTGCACAACCAAAACATCCAGCTCAGAGAATGAAACTCTACCACAGTTATTATTTTTAGTTAAAAGTAGCTTTGTTGAAAAAAAATCTCTAACATATATTGCTAATTCAAACGATGAATATTATTCATACCTGACATAAAATTACTTGACCATAATTCAATTTTTTGCACTGGCAAATACCGATGCAATGATGTTGAATACTCTGAACAGAAATAAGTACCCAAATCATTGACTGTCAATGTGTGAATTTTTAAATGGGAATTTGTTTGTCCATTGATTTGTAAGCCAGGCAAATGATACCACACTATACGTGTATTATTTGTAAGGAATTGAGATCCTGTTGGATTGCATATGATTGTTAACGGCTCACCGAGAACACCTTCAATAATTTGAGTTTCTTTACGTTCATAGACAAATGATTCATAAACTGTAATTCAGAAAAGAGAACAAATAAGGCATGAATAATTTTCGGAATATGGTTAAACAGTATCATAATGATAAGTTACATAGTTGAATGGCCATTTTTCAGGATTTAATCAGAGGACATAAATTGAAGAATGAGGGATAGGGGTTCTGTTTTATTGCTAAGTGGTTCATTCATATCAATATATAGTCGGTATTTATATTATCAGCCTATGGAATTATAAAAATAGTCTTTAAACCTATTTTATTTTGAATCAACAAGTGCTTTATAGGCTGACCGAAGTTCTTTGGTTTGTTTCCTAAGAGTGGTGGGTGTCTTAGATACTCCCTGTTGATTAGTGTTATACCAAGACGAAACGACCGTTTCCTGCTTCCAGGTTTCTAATGGCAGTCTAAGAATGATCAACTCATGAATACACAGCAACTCAACAATCTCCACAACCCTTATAACACTAGGCTATGGTAAAGAATTGTTGGGGATGTTAGATCCCTAGAACTCGCTTAATAAATATCTTTATTTCGGATTTATTTCTTGGAACGATCAGTTGACCTTGAGATCACATGTTCCACCAGGAAAATCCTTGGCTGTGATTGGCTGCTGTGTATTTTAGTGTGCTATTTTTGTAACTGTTCCAGGGACGTCTCTATAGAGTATAACAAAAACGCAATTTGAGTGCTTGGGTTCATTGTGTGCTGGCTGGGTGTTTATAGAATAAACTTTTCACGTTATATCAAGACTTCTTGCTGGTACAATTGGATCAATGGATCATAATAGCCTACCCTAGACGCTGGTTCATTGTTTTGTTCTCGTTATTCGACTAAGGTGCACCCGTAATAATTTTAAGCATACCTAGTGACTAGCATCACATGAATATAGTTATTGTGACAATTAGTTTCGAAAGTTTCACTGAAAAACTATCATGTTTCGGAAGCACTGTATGATTAAAAATGTGTTAGCTAAATATTTTACAAAGTTATTTCATTTTTTAGACAACGCGAATTGATTTTGTGTGGAAATTCTCGGATACCTAGTGAGAAAACGTGACCAGTGGAATTCAACAAGGTCGGGTATATGCAGTATCTATCAAAGACAATGGGTGAGGTTTCACAAAAGCTTCAGATTGATCAGAGCTGGACATTAATGCCTTTGGATGCTGCTGGCTCAATGGTTCAGAGGTTAGGCATTCGTGCGCAAGGTCGAATCCTGTGAGTAGCAGGAGTTGCGGATTCACATTATGAATGAGTCCCATACCAGGACGAAACAGCCCTCCACTGCTTCCAGGTTTCTTCTAAGGGTGATCTAACATCGATTTGATTCATGATTTCCATGTAAAGTCATTTCACCTAAAATACCACCAGTATTATTTCATATTGAGTAAACAAGTCAAGTTAACGTTTTCCCTAAATGAAATATATTTTTATATTTGTGGTTCACACCTGCAATGGTTATGGGTGAGCACTGGCATAGAGGAGTCGCATACTAGAACGGAATGGCCGTCCCCCAATACTTTCAACTTTCGAATAGTGATCTCGCTTAGATCAGTTCATTAGGACAAGTAATTGTGTTTCAGAGGAACACACACTAACATTCTAACCTTTTCAAGCACTAACAAGCTTACAGTCAATTGAAAGTTAGTGAAATTTTTATCAAAAACAAAGGGACTAGTTTAGGAAAAAATATATTGGTAGGAAATTACGATTGGATCTACTTTCACTGCATCTAATGATCATACTGAGGCAATCTGCATAGGACGCTCATATGTCAACAAAAACTGATAACATTTCAGGCAAACTATCAACAACTGCATAAATAATCCAAACCGTTTCAAACTGAATGATAAACCGTTAAATGTTAGGATGAGTAATTTGAAGTGTCTATATTGGAAAGTGCTTATGCGGTAAATTAAAGTATACGATTAATGATCAGAAGGAAAATTTGAATTAAGAGGTTGTGGAGATTGTTAAGTTACTTTTTGAAATCATGAATCGACTAATGTTAGACTACCATTAAAAGAAACCTGGAAGAACTAGGCACAGCCGTTTCGTCCTAGTATGGGACTCATCAGCAGGATTCGAACCCAGGACGAACGCTTAACCTCTAGGCCACTGAGCTGGTATCTAGCAGTGTTAATGTCTAAACTTTGATCAATCCATGGATTTTTGCACAACCTCTTCCACTGTCTTCGGTGTGAAGCAGTGCTTACTGAACGACCTTGTCTCGAACCCTCCCAGTAGCCAGAATCATGGATGTGCACTGATGATGAGTCCCAGACAATGACGAAACGATCATATGGAGAGTTTCCAGTTGGTTTAACAGTGATCAATTCATAATGGTGTTTGAAGCGAACAGTACTGGGTTCGAATCCCGTCATGAACATCAATTTTGCGATTTGACTAGTGTATCCAGATGAAGATGAGTCCCGTATAGGACTAAACTTTCGTCTTGAACTCTACAGTTAGCCACTATCATCCCCCTGTGCTATTAATTAGAGGTAATTTAAGACTTTTGCCGAAAATTTTTAAGTCTATACTTAGTTGTTATCAGTTAGATCATTTTTAATCCCTAAACACTGCTAAAAAAAGGAATTACTACTGATCAGTAGTAATCGATTGAAAATCACAAAATAAATAAATTGAAATAAATTTCACAATATTTATTGAACGTATACACACATGATTACAATAAGTGGATAGTACTCACAAAAACACATGTCAAAAATGTATCATAACACTTATCTCAAATGAGCAATGGAATGCAGTAAATAAAAATTTTGAGTAGTATCTACAAGTATGTTTCAATTCAACTCTTAATTACATAAATCTTGCCTGTTTATCGTTTCAATAGTATGTATGTATAAATATAACTCCGCCTGGAGCCCCTTGGTGGAGCTACTGCTAGTCCCAAGCCCAAATAGAAGGGTAGGATTGGGCTTTGGGATAGAGACCCTATCCTGTAGAAGAATACTGGTCAGCGGCCTATGCTCCGTTCGGGATAACATCTGTAAGTGCATCAGTAAGTAAGTAAGTAAGTAAGTAAGAAAGTAAGTAAGTAAGTTAGTCAGCAAGTAAGTAAGTAAGTAAGTAATAAACCGTGAATCAAACGTTGTAATATGGCTTACAAATCAATCAGGACACAATATATGTATGTCACATGTATCTTAATGTGAGATTTCTGTAAACAAGTATTCTGCAAAAATATACGATTAGTTATTATTGATTATTGAAATATTTTTATCTATTAGAACGAGAAAAAATTTGAGGGCTTGTCTCGTGACGTAGTTGGGTGCTTTACGCAATGTGTGTCCTATCCACTCCTACAGCTTCTTCCTGATTTCCTCCTCCACTCGAATCTGGTTTGTTCTCTCCCACAGTAGGTTGTTGCTGATCGTGTCTGGCCAACGAATACGAAGTATTTTGCGTAGACAACTGTTAATAAACACTTGTATCTTCTGGATGATGCCTTTCGTAGTTCTCCAAATTTCCACTGCATACAGTAGAACTGTCTTGACATTTGTATTGAAAATCCTGATTTTGGTTTTGGTTGAAAGTTGTTTGGAGTTCCAGATATTTTCAACTGTAGAAATGCAGCCCTTGCTTTGCCAATAATTAAATAATCGATACAGAGACATACACATAAACATAGCCCCTAGATGTTCTGGTACGGTAGAGAATGGGGAGAGAGTCCAATATCTCTTCCTCACTATCTCTCTCTTGAAATGCTCTCATTTGGCTATGCGTATATATAATCACTACCAGGGAATTCACTTTCACTACATTCCTATGGAGGTGTTAGTGTTTACGAAATTCATGGGAAGAAAAGTGAATGTCCAATGAAGGCTTAAACCCGGTTCGTTGGTGAAGATGATTCATTAAAAGGGAGCTGAGAAACTCCAACCCAAAAACAATGGCGCGCTTGGGCTTTTCAATCCTGATGGGACAAGTAGAATCTGGACTAGTAGTGGTTTTGTTACCGACTACTACGGGGTCGAATTTCTTTATGTCGCTCCACTACCTACTACTTATTTAATCACTAACCAGTATTCTTCAACCTACTCTATGCTGGGCCTCCCTATCCATTTCTGTTCAATTTTTATTTATCCTTCTCATGTATGTCTCCATTTCCCAACGAAATGTGTACCTTGGCCTTCTTCGTCTCCTTTCACCTTGCGAGTTTTAAGAGAGGGATTGTCTTGTGACGTAGTTGGGTACTTTCCGTAGTATGCGTCCTATCCACTTCCGCAGCTTCTACCTGATTTCCTCCTCCGCTGGAATCTGGTTTGTTCTCTTCCACAGTAGGTAGTTAGTGAAAGTATCTGGCCAGAGGATTCGAAGTGTTTCGCGTAGACAACTGGTAATGAATACTTCTATCTTCTGATGACGGCTTTCGTAGTTCTCCAAGTTTCCGTCCTATACAGTAGAAATGTCTTGACATTTGTATTGAAAATCCTGATTTTGATGTTGGTTGATAGTTATTTTGAGTTCTAGATGTTGTTTAGTTGTAGAAATGCAGCCCTTGCTTTGCCAATCCGCTCCCTCACATCTGCATCGGATCCACCTTGATTGTCGATGATGCTGCCCAGATATGTAAAGGTATTAACGTCTTTCTAGGCATCTGCATCAAGTGTCATTTGGTTGGTGCATGTTGTGTTTTATCAGAGAATCTCTCTTTTCCCTTTATTTATGTTGAGACCTGCTGCTGCTTCTGAGGCTGCTCCTACACTGGTCGTCTTCTCTTACATTTATTTTTGAGTGTGTGAGTGTGAATTAAACTGGAACTGACCTCTTGAACAAACCAAGTAGTATGATTTTGGGGACCCAGTCAGTAACACAAGCACCCTCACCAAGTCAACAATTTGTATGGCGCATAAATGCTTAGATGCTACTTTGTACCCGATATTTATGTGATTAAATAGAAACAACCGTACAGATCACAAGCTAATTCCTTGGTTTAAAAAATGTCACACTGATATCAGAGCATTCATCTTAGCATTCATCAAATCATTT